AAGTCAGGAAAGCCGGGGGAAAGAGAACCCCCCTCAGTCTACTCCTCGCCCAAGGCGAGGGCATATTTGCCCTCTCGCTCTACTCCTCTCACACTCACAAATTCTCACTTTGTTACCTTTTTCTTTTTCGGTTTCTCCAGGGCTTGAACCATCGACTGTATACTTGGCAGATCATCGTCTTCACCACTACACCACCAGTTCTTGTGGTGAAAGCCTAGAGTTTTTTATTTTACTTAATCCTTTTTGGAAGGATCTTTGATGAAATAAAAGAAAAAAATCATTCCCATGTGAGACTTGAACCATCGCCATCAAACTCGGAGAGCACTGCCTTTTCAAGTAGACCGCACGATCTTGCGATGAAACGCTGTATTTTTTTATATTACTGAATACCTATAGGATCTCAAATGAATAACAATTCACTTTATTATGTCTTTAACGTTCATGATTTATTTTCTCGTCGAAAACGCACACAATATTAGCCATTTGTGTTGTCGCTAAAGTATATTACAGTTGTGCAGTTCTCTAAAACACTACCTTCCCAATTGCCATAAGTTAGTTATATGCGTCCCAGATGAAGCTAATGGTTACGGTGCGATTTTTTTGTATTTTTAATGAAGTGAAGTCAAGTAAAGTACCAAAGTTAACAATGCATTTTAAAAGAAAAAAGTACAAGAATTAAGAATAGCCGAATTCATATTAGGGCGGGAAACTCATCTTAGACGGGAAAGTTTATAGTAAAAACCCGTCTGAATATGAATTGGGATATGGATAAGTTTATACGTATGATGGGTCGGGTAATGCGTAATCATTACGATAATAATTGTGTTTATTTTTCGTAGTCTTGTTCCGTCCTTGACCGTGCTGATATTTCTCAAACTAGTCTGATTTACTGATCCTTCTAAATGCGAATTTAAGACGAGTTTCTCTTCCAGACGGGATTCCCGTCTAACTTACCCGTCTCTTAATTTAGTCAGGAAAGTTGCATGGACGGAAAAATTCGGACGAGAAACCCGTCTGTGGGGTTCACATCAGACGAGTTTCCCGTCTTCGATGAGTTTCCCGTCTTTGATGAGTTTCCCGTGTATATGAATTCGGCTAAATGTATATAACTCGTATAGTCATGAGACAACAAGAAAAATTAAAAGAAGTTCAGTTCAAAAGCGTAATTTTCGCAGTTAACCGCGCTAACAAACAAACAGACAGCGGCTCTACAATATTACAGCAACGATTCATAATTATTAATTTAAAAGTTTTTCGAAGAAACGATTAAGTCAAATAGAGAACAATAGCTTATCGACAAACAATGTGGTCGTCAAGCAGTTGTTAAGACGTTCTTTACTGCAAAGGTTCAAATATTAGATTAGCGTATTTTATATTCGACGAACCGGCTGGACGAAGCGGCGAGGAACAGTCTTGAAATAAATATTTAATGTTCGTTTAACTGGATATTTACTTATTTGCAATTTCAGATGAAATGTTTGTTGTCTCATGACTATACACGAGTTATATACATTTAGCCGAATTCATATACACGGGAAACTCATCAAAGACGAGAAACTCATCGAAGACGGGAAACTCGTCTGATGTGAACCCCACAGACGGGTTTCTCGTCCTAATTTTTCCGTCCAACTTTCCCGTCTAAATTAAGAGACGGGTAAGTTAGACGGGAATCCCGTCTGGAAGAGAAACTCGTCTTAAATTCGCATCAGTTAGACGGATCAGTAAATCAGAATAGATTAGAAATATCATCACAATCGAGGACGGAACAAGGCTACGGAAAATAAACACAATTGTTATCGTAATGGTTACGTATTACCCGAACCATGCATCACACGCGTATAAATTTTCCATATTCCAATTCACATTCAGACGGGTTTTTACGGCTATTAACTTTCCAGTCTCAGTAAGATTAGTATTCGGCTATTCTTAATTCTTGTACTCTACTTCGACTTCACTAGTTCACTTCATTAAAAATACAAAACAATCGCACCGTAAGCATTAGCTTCACTTGGGCCACATATAACTAACTTATAGAAGATAGTGCTTCAAGTCACTGCATTCCTGTATGTGATATGTTACAAGCTGCGAATACGATAGTAAAGCCTGTAAAGATACAGTGCGTGAGATTTGAGAAAATAAATGATAAACATTAAAATGAATTCATTTAAATTGTTATTTCATTTGAGATCCTATCAAAAGGTATTTACGTTTCGTCACAGATCCTTCTAAAAAAGGATTAAGTAAAATAAAAAACTCTAGGCTTACACCACAAGAACTGGTGGTGTAGTGGTGAAGACGATGATCTGCCAAGTATACAGTCGATGGTTCAAGCCCTGGAGAAACCGAAAAAGGTAAAAAGTGAGAATTTGTGAGTGTGAGAGGAGTAGAGCGAGAGGGCAAATATGCCCTCGCCTTGGGCGAGGAGTAGACTGAGGGGGGTTCTCTTTCCCCCGGCTTTCCTGACTTTCAAAGCAAGCTTTCTTCAAACATTTAATTGTGCTAGGGGGTAGTTAGGGATATATGAGGATAGGTAAAAGTAGGGATAGATAGGAGTAAATAGGAGGATAAATAGGGGTAAAGAGGTTTAAACGAGTACAAAAAGACTTAAACATTTTATATACTGTTTTCTCACCTATACCCTCCCCCTGCCCCGGGAGCCGAGGCCGCCCAATTACTAAGTCTTTTTGTACTCATATACCCCTCATTCACCCTATCTATCCCCTGATTTCCCTAAAGATTAACTTTGATTTGCAAACATTAATGGCATACAAACCTCCCCCGAGTAACATGCCTACCATACCTTTTTTATTTTTTTTATTTTTCTTTCCACCGCCATGAGGAACGTGCCATACTGTTCTTGATACCACGATCTTGTACTTGATAGTCCACGACTTTACCTCAAGGCTAACTGGTGATTGTTGGAAGCCTACACCAATTTATTCTCCATAACCTTACCATGTAATATTAATAACGAAAATTTTCATCCAAAACGAGATTCGAACCTTTGACTGTCAACACATGAGACTAACATTTTGACCACAACACTAGAAGATTTTGTGCTGAATTGCGATGGTTATTTATTTTACTTCATCCTTTTCACGAAGTTCATAATGAAAAACGGTTATGGTAGGATTCGAACCATCGATTTACCACTTGGGAGACCATTGTCTTCGCCACAACACTACACGATCTTGTGCTGAACGGCTAAGGTTATTTAATTTACTTTATCCTTTTCCCGAAGTCAATATTTTGAAAAACGGTGAAGGTAGGATTCGAACCATCGATTTACCTCTTGGGAGACCATCGTCTTCTCCACAACACTACAAGATCTTGCGCGGAATTGCTATGGTTATTTAATTTACTTTATCCTTTTCGCGAAGCACATAATGAAAAACAGAGGTACTGGGTTCGAACCATCGACTTAACACTATGGTGGCGTTATAATCAAACCTGGCAATAAGCAAGGTTGAGAAGAAGCTTTCCTCGAAATCCGAAGGCTTAGTATATAAGACATTGCTCAATGTGGTGATTGTGGGATTAATATTCGTTCACTGCGACTGCGCAGTGTTTCTGTATACTAAATTTGATTTTTTATCGTTTTCAAATAGCGTTAAAGTATTTTAATAACCGTAAAGTGTCCTTTTTCACTCACTGCATATACTATAAGCTTAAATGGTTGGTTCAGTTAGGAAATGAAGTGATCAAAGAGCATTTAGAATTTTATTGATTTAATAAACGTGTTTTATACCCTCAACAGGATTTAACCACTACCTCTGAACTTACCAGTCACTTGTCTTAACACAGGTAGCCCAAGACAAAATACTTCTTCGTCAAAAAAAAATCTCGGAGAATTTCAAAAAGGTGAAAAAAGAGAGTCTAAAACGCACACAACTTTAAAGCATGTCTGTGTCTTAAGTTAGAGCACTATCTTTCCATGCCTAAGTTAGTTATATGCGGCGCAAGTGAAGCTAATAGTTACGGTGCGATTTTTAATGAAGCGAAGTCAAAGTAAAGTACAAGAATTAACAATGCATTTCAAAATAGGTTTAAAAGATTAAAGTACAAGAATTAAGAATGTATATTTCAATGTGTATAACACGTATAGTCATAAGGCAAGAAGCAAACGCCTTGTACTCTCGTAGATTGCATTCGAAATCGCACTGAGATATCCAGTTAAACAGATATTGATATTTCTTCCCGGATTCGAACCATCGAACAAACATCAACAAGCCAAAGCATTGTCTCACCACTAGTCTACAAGTCCTTGTGTTAAAGCTTTCCATTCGTTCTCTTTTTTACTTGTTTCCTTTAAGTCAGAATGAAAAATATTTCTTCCCGGATTCGAACCATCGAACAGACATCAACATGCTAAAGCATTGTCTCACCACTAGTCTACAAGTCCTTGTGTTAAAGCTTTCCATTTGTTCTTTTTTACTTGTTTTCTTTAAGTCAGAATGAAAAATATTTCTTCCCGGATTCGAACCAATGACATACACCTCACCAAACCATCGCCGTGACCACTAGACCACGAGATCTGGTACAGAAGCCAACGCTAATTTATTGTTTCTAATGATTCTCGTCTGTCGAACACCCACGGGTTTTTAAATTTAACCTAATACTTTTGGAAGAATTTTAAACGAAATAGTAAATTCATCGAGAAAAATAAAAACTTCGCCGGGTTTTGAACCTGCAACTTATCAGCTAAAAGGCCATGTTCTTAACCACTAGGCCACCATAGCTGGTGGAAAACGAAAACGTTTTTATTCCACTTTATCTTATTCCATTTTTCCTTAAAGAATTTTGAATGAATTGGGAATCGAGCCTCCACTTCACCGTTGGGAAGGAATTTCACCCAAAAAAAGGAAAAAGAAAGAGACTGAAGAACTCGCACTAAACCAGTTTTATGCGAGCCGGGTGGATCTAATGGTTACGGTGCAATTTAAAGACTCTGTCTTAGAGGTAGACGTTTTCGCTATTTATTTCACTTTCAAAGGTCATAAGGCAAAACATTTTTTTCGAATTAGTAGCTTCGACTTCGGACTTGCGAAATCCTTGTCTCCACCACTAGTTTTTAATGAAGACTAACAAGTGCTAAAGAATTTATTGTCAAAAAGATCCCGGACAGTTTTCAAATTCAATTCTGTCCAATCCTATTTCAACTTTTAAATTGCCCAAATCTGGTAAGTAACCCAATAAGGTTAGTATTATTAACTAATAATTAAAACTATTTTAAAAGTTTTTAGACAGTTTTTGATCAAAATTTGAAGTTTACAATTCCTACAGTCAAGGAGTGGCATGCATTTGGAAAATTATAAAATAAGTAAAAAATAGTAAAATAGGTAAAGATTATAACCGGTAAAAAGTTACAGTCAATTTGCATAAGTAGGAAGGGAGCAACTCTCTCGCGCGATTGTTGCGAGCTGCACACGCAAGGCCGTGTAGGACTCGGACCAGAATGTATGACGAAACGGTTCCTTGACCATCATTCTTAATTCCTCCTGGTCAATTTTGTCACCGATTCCAATGGACAGAACTTTTACTCCTTGCACTATCAAACCGGATGCCGCCTCATCAAGTCGGATGCCGTCGGGTGCCGGCGTCTGCCGACCGTCCGTGATCACTATGGCAACCTTGATGACGTCAGAACGGATTCGCATGCCACCAGCCCACGTGAATAACTCCCTACCAGCCTTCAGTAATGCCAGATCGATGCGAGTCTTTCCTCTGAGGTGTGGTAAGCCGTCCACTTTACTCTCGAAGTCTTCTATTGACGTTATTTCGCCAAATTTGCTCATAATTTTCGCCTCGTCGCTGTAAATCATCAGAGCCGTATGCGTCTTTTCCGGAGATATGTCGAACGTTTTTGCGACTCGTTTCACGAAGATTTTTGCCTCAACCAACTCGTCTTCCGTTATGCTCCCAGAGGAATCAAGGATGAAGGCGATATCGACTTTAGCCTCGCAATTGCCTGGTCCTAAGATTAGAAGAGAATATATTTACGGCAAGGTGTGGTATGGTATAGTGTGGTGTGGTGTGGTGTGGTGTGGTGTGGTGTGGTGTGGTATGGTATGGTATGGTATGGTATGGTGTGGTATGGTATGGTATGGTATGGTATGGTATGGTATGGTATGGTATGGTATGGTATGGTATGGTATGGTATGGTATGGTATGGTATAGTATGGTATGGTATGGTATGGTATGGTATGGTATGGTATGGTATGGTATGGTATGGTATGGTATGGTATAGTATGGTATGGTATGTTAATTGGTATGGTGTATCGTGTATGGTGTATGGTATGGTATGGTATGGTATGGTATGGTATGGTATGGTATGGTATGGTATGGTATGGTATGGTATGGTATGGTATGGTATGGTATGACAGTGTATGGTCCTGGTATGATATGGCATGGTAAAACGTATTGTGGTTTAATTATGTCATGGTATGGTATGCAGTATGATATATGGCATAATATGATAGCTATAAGTATGGTAGGCAGTATCATAGGGTAGTAAACGAAATCAAACACGTACCAACGTTTTTACAAGTCTCATTTGTCAAAGGAACCAGCTGGTCTCTGAGCTCCTTGAATGACTGAGCCACAAACACGTTTACAGACGATTGCACCACGCTGTGAAGCTCTTGGACGTTCACATTTGGTAAAATTCCAACGGCTAACACAAGCGTGTGACGGTCGTGAAGCCTCGTAGTCACTTCTTGCAGCGAATTATAGTCATTGTTACTGCTCTCGGGGCCGGCCGTAAGCATTAGGAGAACCTTCGGTACTTTACGTCTAGCACCTTGCTCGTAGTTTGATAAGACTTCCTCCGCTAATGCCATTGCTTGAAAACTTCGTCTGCGGCCTGGAAAGCAAATAAAAAACTGAAACTACAACATTAAATTTCTATTTAGGGTATGCTCACACAAGTGAATACGGACACTCGCTTTGTAATACTAATGAAAAGAAAATTAACTGCCCAAAAATTAAAGCTACAAAATTGGCTAAAAATATTTCTAGGCTTAGAGGTACTTAAACTAACAATACGTGCTTTCGTTGAGAGAAACTGGCTTTAAAAGAGTTTTGAGAATGTACATTATGTGCTATGTGCATTATGTAAACAAACGACTTATATTGGGAAAAAAACAGAGAAAATTGTTCAAACAATAAATTAAAGTGGATTTTGAGCTATTTTGTGCTATTTTCACTTCGTAATTAAAGACTAATTGTGAAGTAGTATATATGAGTGGTCAGACATAGCTTACCTCCGACCCGCCCCAGGCCATCAACGGCGTCAATGAAGCCACGGTAATTAATGTATTCGTCCATTCTGATGGCGACCCTAGCACTGTCTCCGTACACAATAACCGCACCACGGCTGCCGTGCTGAAAGATTCGGAACAGCTTCGCCATCGTTTTCACAAATCCCTTAATCTTCTCGAAGTCCTCGTAAGCCACGTTCGTGGAGGAATCCAGGACAAACGCAATATCCGCGGGATAATGACACTTTGTGAACTCTAAACGAGATTAAATCCATCAAAATAAGGGACAAACGGTTGAAGGCCTCTCCTGCCTTCAAACTTTAGCTGTGATAATCATCTTTTGATATCTACAAGACCCTCGACTAAGGGTTTGTTTACATGAGCCCGGTTACCGAGATGTAACGAAACGCAAAACTGACTTTGAAGTATGGAAAAAAGTCTTTTTGAAAGAAAACAATCACATGCTATTGTTAAAATGACTACACGACTACCAGAATCATGTTATTTACTTATTTCAATACCTCAAAGTCCATTTTACGCTTCGTTAAATCTCGGTAACCGGGCTCACGCGAGGAGCCCCTAAAGAAGAATATATTCCAAGACAAGAGTTTGCACGACTTACTTATCTCCTCGCAGGTAATTTGGGTGATATTTTGGATCTTTTTGACAAGCTCATCAAAATTCGCGACCGTGATAACGTCTTCGTCGTATTGAACCATGGCTCGCAGTTCGTTTTTGTCAACCTGAAATTATTTAAGGAAATAATCAGTTGTACTTCCTTCGAACATTACTTTGGTCTTAACAAAGGAATTTTAGAAATGTCTGAGGTATTCATTACGCGACCAGTAAGGCATAAAATTATGTAATGTTTCGTAAAAGCACGTTCTCTCGAAATAGTCTTTATTTGATAAAGTGTGTTCTCTCAAAGATAATCTTGATTTGATAAAATGTGTTCTCAGATGAAAGATAATCTTGTTTTGATAAAGCATTTTCTCTCAAAGATAAACTTGATTTGATAAAGTGTTTTCTCAGATCAAAGATAATCTTGATTTGATAAAGCGTGTTCTCAGATCAAAGATAAACTTGATTTGATAAAATGTGTTCTCTCAAAGATAATCTTGATTTAATAAAGTGAGTTCTCTCCAAGCTGTTCAATGCTGTCCAAGCTGTTCAAGCTGTTCATACACACCTCTGAGCCAATTCCAATGGATATTGTTTTTATACCATCCTTGATCAGTTTATTTGCCGCATCCTTTAACGATACATCACCTTTTGGATTCTGTTTTCCATCAGTCAGGATAAACGCGAGTTTCTTCACGTCTGGCCGCGCTCCACCGTAAAACGGTGAAAATAGATCAGTGTGTGCTTTCTGGAGACCGAGATCTATCCTGGTTTTCTGAAAAGTATTTTATATAAAAATTTAAAGTTCAATCAAGCACTCAACCAACCAACTAACCAGCCAACCATCCAATAAACGAACCAACCAATCAACCAACCAGTCAAACTAACCAATCAATTAACCAACTAACCAATCAATTAACCAACTAACCAATCAACCAATCAACCAACCAACGAACGAACCAACAAACCAACCAACCAATCAATCAACCAATCAAACTAACAAATCAATTAATCAACTAACCAACGAACGAACGCACGAACGAACGAACCAACCAACCAACTAAACAATTAGTCAACCAGTTAACCAGCCAATCAACCAAAACAAACAATTAGTCAACCAACCAACCAACCAACTAACCAACCAATTGACAAACTTGAAATGGTCAATTTATCATTATACTTGTACCTTTCCCATATACTCTAATTCATAAACTGCTTCCTTAAAACTTTTAATATCCATATGATCCGTGAATTTAATAGGTCGCTTGGCAATCTCGCTGTATATCACCACACCAGCATGCGCCCCTGACGAAGAAATATTGAGAGCATTGGCGATTGAATACACGAAGTACTTAGTCTTCACATAATTGGATACACCGATACTGCCAGACGAGTCCACGATGAATGCGAGGTCTGCGGTCACAGGACATGGTATAACACCTAAAGAATATAGAAAACAGAAAGAATGAGAGTACGAAGTCACCATGCATACTTAGGTCGCTTTCCATTAGGCGGCCAAAATGGTCAGAATGGTCGTATTTCAAATTGAAATAGAGTATGGGCTGATAGATTTACGCAAATATTGTAGCGCGTCTTCGGTACGTAACACTAGATTTCCCGTGCTAGGCAGATGTAAATAACGATATACTTAAATGCAGAGTTCTTGAAACAATCTAAAACACCAGTAATCTGTCTGTACCGAAATACAACAGGACCGGTCCGGCCGTTTTTTCCGTATAAAGGAAAGCGCCCTTAGTATACTCAAAAAACTAGGCACCCTCGCAATACCACGACAGAAGTTATCAAAATCGACTGGACTATTGTTCTTTTGCTTACTTTTAGGTGCAGGGCAGAGATCTTGAACCATTTTCTTTGCAACCTGAGTCAAACCGTATGCGTATCTGACCATGAATAAATCGTTCCTCGACTCGACCATCGACTCAAACAACGCTCTATCCCGCGCCTCACGCCTCTCTTCAGAACCAACGAAAGCGATCATCAATTTGGTACCATCGCGTTGTAGACTCTTTGCAGCCCGGCGAACCTAGGACACGAAAAAAACATGGTTAAAACCACAAACGCGTGGTTTGCACAACAAAATTATAGGGACTGAGAGTTCCACGTTACGTCAGAGAAGAAGGATCACTCGAAGAAGATCCTAATTTATGTTTTGGAAATGTTGTAAAACGGAGGACCCCATTCAATAGTGGAAATAGATGGAAGCAAACATATAAATTTGGGGTACCAAATCATAGCAACATAGTTAGATGACCAGGAGATTGGATACAACTGAATTAGAAAGAAAAACGTTTTCTATCTCTTTTGCATTTTCAAGAGCAGACGCAGAAACACAACTTTAAGAATTTTTGTTATATAGCTTCGAATCCTTACGGGCAAACAGAACAGCTGATGCTTCAGCTTTTGTGTTATCAAATTGGCTTGACCCTATCGTGCCCTACTCGTTCACACACTCCAGGTAATTTTACTGGGTCAGTTTTCGAGCACCGCAGTGATTTGGTTAAAAAGTCAAAATTCCTCTTAACCTCTTGAGTTTGGTGAACGTTCCAGCTTCGCCAACTGCCGGTGATCGCGACGACCACGCGCGGGACCCACGAACGCGCGCCCATCGTGGGCACGAACAGTCGATCCCGCACGAAACGTAACGCATCTTCGAGCTTGCTTTTGCCGCCCTGAAATTTCAACCTGTTAATCTTTCTCGTCAGGCTTGTGATTGATCTCGAATAAAAGAAATTTGCTATCGTCGATCGACTTATCGGCTTGCTACCGTAGGGAACGATGGCGATTGACGGACCAATTCTACTGCTTCGAAGCTTGAAATAGGTGATGAAGTTTTGAGAAAATTTTCGTTGTTCTTCGAAGTTGACCTTTGTAAAGTAATTTGAGGAATCCAGGAGAAGGACAATGTCTGCCGGATGGTCACAGTAGTAATCCAAAGCAGCTGAAAGAGAGATCCAAACTTAATCTTATCTTGATCATAATCACGATCTTAATCGGGCTTTGGATTGAAACTAATCTTAGTCATAATCGCAGTAGTTTCTAACATCAATCTTACCATCATTAACATCATAATGTTTAACCTCGTGCAATCTAAATCTCGGTAATCCTAAAGTCTAATCCCGCTCTGACCCCAGTAATATCCTAGTAACCTCAGTAATCTTGACTTGCCTCAAACTGTTATCCTTGAAACGGCAATAATGGTTTTACACTAATGCTATTAAAAACACGAATTAAATCCACTTATTATTGGCCTGTCGTCATAAACAGGACTAATTAAGCAAGGTGCTGATTTGTCGTTGTTTATAGCTAGCAGAAAAGAACTCGCTTAGAACTGCACGACAGGGCTATTACATAGTTTAGTTTTCCTCCTGTAGTAACGCTGGATCAATAAGAGATGATCCTTACTGGATCTCTAGGAAGAACAGCTTAGAACTGATAGAGCTATCCAGTATAAATAAAGTTAGTTTAGTTTAGGTTTTCTTCTGTAGTAACATTGGATCAATAAGAGACTGATCCTTACTGGACCTCTAGAAAGAACAGTTTAGAACTGATAGAGTTATCCAGTATAAATAAAGTTAGTTTAGTTTAGGTTTTCTTCTGTAGTAACATTGGATCAATAAGAGACTGATCCTTACTGGACCTTTAGGAAGAACAGTTTAAAAGTGTTAGAGCTATCCTGTATAAATAAAGTTAGTTTAGTTAGGTTTCCTCCTGTAGTAACACATGATCAATAAGAGATGATTCTTACTGGACCTCTAGGAAGAATAGTTTAGAACTGATAGAGCTATCCGGTATAAATAAAGTTAGTTTAGTTTAGGTTTTCTTTAATTCTTAACAAAATAGACTGAATTTAGAACTCCTGCTCATGACTTAACGCAAAATTAAAGGGCTGACGAACACTTACCTCTTGGCTGAGACTCTATTTCATTCACCAAACCGATCAGCAGAACAACTACACACCAAATCTTTACCATTATCACTCGGTACAAAATGAACAGTTCGCCAAATTAGATAATTCACTAGTCCAAATATTTGACCGTGTTCGCCGTGTGTGTCTGCAAAATGAGAAAGAGTATATTCGTGTCAAGATTAGCCAACGGAAATCCGACACATTATGCACTGTGTGGTAAGGTAAGGCTATAAGTCGATTACCCTGTGTTTAAATTACACACTTTTTGGCCGAATGACAGCCACGCTATTTTGAATCAAAACAACGCGTGTTGAACGCACAGATCTGGCTAGATTTTCAGCCCGGAATCTGCACGAAAATGGTCGTAATTAAGTCCTTATGAAGTCTTAATTGGATGAAATTGGATCAATGACTGGATAAAGGTTGATTAAGTAGACGGAGAGAGTATAAACGCGTGCATGTCATAGTTCTGGTCGAAGTTTTACTTAAAAGATGATAAATTCGATCAAGTAAAAAAACCGGACGATTCGCTTCTCAATGTCAATCAAAACAATCTATTTAAACGTCGTTACATCTAATTTGAAACAACTCAAACTCTCTAATTATGTAATACTCAACCTAATACAATATAACAAAATTTTAATTCAACTAGATTCTATTCATTGATTAAGCTTAAGGGATATTTAGGCTTAGAACTTACTTGATCAAATTTCAACGGATTGCAGCCATGAAAGGAATTGCGATAGGAATTAAGAATTGTTGAGACTTGATCATATTTCATTCAGTCGACCCAAGCTTGACTGGACCACCCACTTTATCGAACTTCATCAACTCCTTGTCATAGAAACATTATTTGTCGATAAATTATTAATGATTTCTTGAAACAAACCATATAAGTAGCCATCTGAAACAGCACGACTGATAAGGTTCATTAAATGTTTTCATGCAATTCAGTTTTCAACGCAGTAGGACAGGGCGGGAAAAAATTACATTCAATATAAATGCAAATTAAAGACTGTTTAAGCTTTGAGATCAGTCATGGGCGATAATCTTTGTTTTCATTTTAAAAAGAACAGTTTCAATACGTGATTGGTCGAATGATTTAGGAAGGATTTTGTTTAAAATCAACAAGCGTTGTTTTCAAATTGAACACGTATGTATAGAAACCATTTTGTGGGCGATTTTGTTCGCTTGACAGATGTGAGCGAGTTAATTAGTTACTGATATTCAAATAAAAGCTCTTAAGCATGAGAACGACCCATTACTCCAGTCTATCTTCATAGTTTTCGATAGACATTTTGAATTGTTGAATTGCAGAACTTATAAGAATCATTCTCATTAATCTTCATCAATCCTTAACCCTAACTTGATATTACCTTCAATTTAAAATGGAAATATTTCGTTGAAAATTTCCGTTATCAAGAAAAATATACCAAGGTGAAGGACAAAAAAAAATGTGATGACAAAGACTTTTCCGGCGAAGGAAATCTTTTTGAAAGTAGTTTTTAATTAATCGAGCTTTAGTCGTTTTTAATTAATCGAGCTTTCGCCTTTCTAAATTTAATTTTGCCACTTTTTTTTTTGACTGAGGCAGTTTGGCTTTTGATGGCGCCTCCGACGGGATAACTTGTTCAATTTAGGCAATTTTAAACGCTGTCCCACCTGCATGAATTAACATTTCGCTTCATCCTGGGCATCTTTTCACCGCACAATTGTCGAAGAACAACATCCTGTTTTAAGCAAGTCAAGCGCCAACGTCATGCGGAGGCCTAGTCAGAAAACTAAGGAATTATCAGTGAAACTACGAACGACTTCATTCAGTGCATATCATTCTAACTTTAGCTATTCCGAGCACGTTTATCTGCTCTTCATATTATAGCTTGATTGAATGACGCCGTTTCGGCACTCAAGACGAACGAGTTCAAATTTCGTCATGGATAAACCAAACAATATGTATTTTTGACGCATGCCGAAAAACAGTATCCCATGCACGCCAAGCGTCAGTCGTAATGAATTTTTTACAAAATTGAAACTAAATTTTATGAATGAATTCATTTCAATAATGAGAACATTGAGATGTCTATATCTTCGTCATAAAGCAATTAAACAAATTTGTCTGCATATATGCAAAATATCTCGCCGTAACGATCATATTGAAATGGTAGACAATTAAGGTGAAACCTAATGACTTTCATATATTTTTTTATAAAAAATGCACGAGTTTTAACAAATAGCTTATTTAAATCCATCTGCACAACGATCATGCGGAGTAGCCCTATAATTCTTTATTGAACCAGTGTTATTACACGAGGAAACCTAAATTAAACTAACTTTATTTATACTGGATAGCTCTATCAGTTCTAAACTGTTTTTCCTGGAGGTCCAGTAAGGATCATCTCTTATTGATCCAGTGTTACTGCAGGAGGAAACCTAAACTAAACTAACTTTATTTATACTGGATAGCTCTATCAGTTCTAAACTGTTCTTTATAGAGGTCCAGTAAGGATCATCTCTTATTGATCCATGCAGTGTTACTACAGGAGGAAAACTAAACTAAACTAACTTTATTTATACTGGATAGCTCTATCAGTTCTAAACTGTTCTTCCTAGAGTTCCGGTAAGGTTCATATCATATTGATCCAGTGTTATTACAGGAGGAAACCTAAACTAAACTAACTTTATTTATACTGGATAGCTCTATCAGTTCTAAACTGTTCTTCCTAGAGATCCAGTAAGGATCATATCATATTGATCCAGTGTTATTACAGGAGGAAACCTAAACTAAACTAACTTTATTTATACTGGATAGCTCTATCAGTTCTAAACTGTTCTTTCTGGAGCTCCAATAAGGATTATCTCTTATTGATCCAGTGTTACTACAGGAGGAAACCTAAACTAAACTAACTTTATTTATACTGGATAGCTCTATCAGTTCTAAACTGTTCTTTCTGGAGCTCCAATAAGGATTATCTCTTATTGATCCAGTGTTACTACAGGAGGAAACCTAAACTAAACTACACTAACTTTATTTATGCTGGATAGCTCTATCAGTTCTAAACTGTTCTTCCTAGAGTTCCGGTAAGGTTCATATCATATTGATCCAGTGTTATTACAGGAGGAAACCTAAACTAAACTAACTTTATTTATACTGGATAGCTCTATCAGTTCTAAACTGTTCTTCCTAGAGATCCAGTAAGGATCATATCATATTGATCCAGTGTTATTACAGGAGGAAACCTAAACTAAACTAACTTTATTTATACTGGATAGCTCTATCAGTTCTAAACTGTTCTTTCTGGAGCTCCAATAAGGATTATCTCTTATTGATCCAGTGTTACTACAGGAGGAAACCTAAACTAAACTAACTTTATTTATACTGGATAGCTCTATCAGTTCTAAACTGTTCTTTCTGGAGCTCCAATAAGGATTATCTCTTATTGATCCAGTGTTACTACAGGAGGAAACCTAAACTAAACTAACTTTATTTATACTGGATAGCTCTATCAGTTCTAAACTGTTCTTCCTAGAGGTCCAGTAAGGATTATCTCTTATTGATCCAGTGTTACTACAGGAGGAAACCTAAGCCTAAAAATTTGGAAATTAAAAACCAGGTGCAATAAATTAACGGAATATACATACGCAGCTGCCTGAAAACAATATGACATATAAAATTTTGATTTCTACATCAAATATTTAAACCTCCAAAACAATCGTCTTAAAAGCTAGCAAAATCTCGAGCACTATTGGGAACAATGTCTGCTTTGAAAGTAATTGCAACATTTACATAAAAGCCAAGAATTCGCACGTGCACTGCGATATATTTAAAAGTCGGTAGCGTCTTGATAAATGTAATTAAACCACCGCTTTCTTGTTTCGATGAGAAAGTTTTTTACACCAAAGCGATTGGCAATTCTCACAACGGCCGTTTTGAAAGCAAGCGGCGTTCTCTTCATAACAATTATATATATACATAACAATTATTCGTACCTCCGTCTAATCAAGCATAGGCATTTCTTATCAAGGAATGGACGCGATTCGGTCATGGGCGTCCAATTTGGAAGAGCAGGTGTATTTGAAAAGATTACTATTACAGAAGGGCTTCATAATAGATTTATAAATCAGATATAACTCAAGTGGGGGAGCCGAAGTCGCGTATACTTTTCGTCCGAACAGATTTGTGAAAATTCAGTTCAAATTCTTCTAGGAGACAGAGCGGACAGACTTTGATCTAGAGGGAATTCGAAATCTTGTACCGTAAACGGTAAGGGTTAATGAATAGATTGAAATTTAAACAGCATTTGCAAACACACACTTAGTGAGGGAAATTGAGATGTTCATTATGTACGATTTTTCAGGTTCAAATAGAAATGATTCGATAAACTTTTGATAAATTTCACACAGAGCTGAAGCTTTAATGCGATATAGCTACCTGCTCTATAGGTGTTTGCATGAATTGAAACAGGCTTGCTGCTCATATAGCCTTCGTATAAAAGACCTGCTCATTTGGACTTGTGGATCTGGAAGGCTCAAAGTCGAAGATTTTACGAAGCTCTTTTCGCGCCAAACAAAGCTTTGGCCTGCCTTTTTTTCGCTATGAACTTTCTTGTCGAATTCTTTGGTCGTTTACTGTCGCTGTATAAACCTTGCCGCCAATTTCCTCGAATTGAAAGCACTTATGAAATAGCCTACACTGTAACGATTATCTAAAAATTGTTTTGTAAATATAGAATTGATTATTTGAGAAGTAAAAACATCAAGAGTAAGTATATATATAAAATATCAATAACATCAACTAAACATAGCTACGTTTCTCAAAGCTGAACTTGGCGGCATAGCCAAAAAGAAAGATAACAACACATGCTGCATGCATGCAGGATACTTTTCAAAGATAAAATTCATTCCATGAATTAAGAAAATATTTAATCCCACTACAGAATAAGAAATAAACGTTTTGGCATGCAATCTAGCTATATTTAAATTTATGATACATATAGCTGCTGTTGTTCTATCAGATGATGTATGCGTTGTAATGTTGTTCCAAGAAAGGTTGAAAAATTGCATCGATTTTCAGGTGTTTTAATGCATGTCATATAGCACGCAAATTAATGAAAACTGAGTATATGCTTTGCACGCTCTACGCGTCTTGGAAGAAAAATTTAACATTCCTTGCCGGCATGCCGCAAATAATTAAACTTCGTTTATGTATATATAAACTTTGCCGATTAATTACATAGAGCATATGCACACGCGTGTTCATATTTACACATGCAAAAGTGTGAATTTTTAAAACGGTTTTATACTTTTTTTTCATGACGAATAGAATATTGACGAACGGAGCTTAGTCTTAGTGCAAGTTTCCCGACCGGCGAACAAAAAACGGATGTTAACGAAACCAGAAAAATATTCGTTTTCTTTATATTTGCATGCTACGGAAAATTCTAAATATCATCGCCGATGCCGATTCAAGCTTGTTAAATATGCTAAAATTCCTGATAAGAAATATAAATATATATAAATATGTCGCGCAGGAAACATCAATAGATCTATGTACAATTGCTATAATGAGGCCGTTGTATTAGACTATCTATATGCTATTTACAAGCGTCTGACAGCGCTATGTAAACAAACGAATTTGCCAACAATTCGTAAAAAAAAGGGGAAGAAAAGTCTAAGTCTACATCGATGGAACCTTGTTATATTTCAACATTATCGCGTCATATGCTTGGCTCTATGCAATTGAACTACTTCAATCAATAAAAATCGTTCGGCCAAAATCAACGGTCTACCTGCATCAAGACTATAGACGTCACATTTTAATACAAATGATTTCAAGTGCTGTTTATGACATGTTATGGCCATTCTTAAAGCTATACGTTGACTGTGGACTTTTATCAATTTTCATCACCCCACGAGCCACGTCACTGTCTGTGTTATTTTGAAAGAATTGTCCTTCTTTTCGAAGTAAAAGGTAAACTACTCTCTTTGATGAGAAACATGCAGAATTCTCCGTAATCTTAGTTGAATGAAACCTATGTATGAATCGGTCCTCTGCGATTTGCGCACGCCTATTTATAATACGGGCGAAAAACGCGTCTAAAAACTGGCCATATAGAAACTAATTACAAATACTAATCATATTACAATGAGATTCTTAAAACCCCGTCGCTTTGCAATGTCTATAATATATACTTTTCAACAACACGTTATTTTTCGTACTTTCTAGCATGCTGTTACTTATCAAATTATATCAGATTAGCTGTATATATATATTTTCTTTGGAAGAAACTAGAAAAAACAACATTTCAATGATCGTTACTCCTGTTCCTATCAATATCCCAATAACAATTGTTTGGTAAATAGTTTGAATACGGCGCCGCCCGTTAATTAAACGCTACAATTGCCGTCCAATATAATTTCAATTCCTTTATTCATCCGGGCCAATATCAACAGTTATGCCTTAGGTTACATGATGGCGAGCATACGTCTTCGTCCTCGTTTACAGAGATAAACTATAAACCGTATTTAACTAAATAAATATATATATGTATATATAAAAAATTTTTCAATCTTTCGAAAGCACGTCATCCATTATAATTATCAATATATGAATCTATAGAATATTAAATCATTGCTATACGTAAGTAAAATGAATGAATATTTAGATCTTATTTCGAGAGAGGAAATGTTCTTAAAAACTATGCTTAAATGAAATAAACTATGCTCAATGAATAAACAAGAGAAAAAAACGAAAAAGCGATGCGTCTGTGTATCTAAGGCCTAAGTCAAACATCGCTCTACTTATGCGTCGAACCAAATGCAAATGAGCTCAAACAAACTAACAAAGACATTATAATTCATTTGAATTAGGTAGACTACAGGGTGTATAAAAAAAGAAGACTTTAGAGATTGAACTATATTGTTATAGTTTAAATGCCTGATTATTTTTTAAGCCCACGCGGGCACACAAACATTCACAATCGAATAAAATCTAATGCATGGCACGAATTAATATACATATAAATTATAACAACAGTTTAATTTCTAAAGGTCTTATTTTTTCTGATACATCCTGTATCTTATAACAACGCGATTCACTAGACCATACACAAACGTGATAAAAACTGAACCGGCTTAATCTCTCCCAGCAGAGCGGTACGTTGGTACCTTAAATTCTTTTAATCGAACGCTTTGAATCAGCCGAGCATGTCAATACATTTACATGAGCCCGGTTACCCGAGATTCAACGAAGCGTGGGATGATTTTGAGGTATTGAAATGAGCAGAAAACATGATCCTGCAGTCGTATAATCACCACAACAATAGCATGTGCTTGTTTGGTGTCATAAAGACTTATTTCAATACCTCAAAGTCCTCTCACGCTTCGTTGAATCTCGGGTGACCGGGCTCATGTAAACAGCCCCTTAAAATGAAGGTTTCTAATCAAAATGGAAGCCCTTTAGGGTATTCAGCGTATCTATAAGCCCCCCAGCGAGACCCTATCCGCGTGGTTCTTAATTAAATGTTGTGATATATACAAGAAAAATCCAAGCTTAATCAAGTTATCTTGATCACATTTCATCTGAACTGATCCGAGAAATACATATGCAATGCACGGGTCTTGTTTTTAGATGAAAACTGTCCTTAGCTCCATTCATCGAGCATCGTTTTTTAAGATTACTATATGAACTGTGTATAAAAACATCAAGTTAAAATTACAGATTCATTCATTTGACCAATTTTTTATTGTTAAAATACCAAAATATTCGTTGTTTAACCAAGTTTTTAGTTGTTTAAGTTTGATTAAAATTGATCAAAAAGGGATGATTCAATTTTACAGACAATTAATTTAAACTAGTTGTTTTTACAGAGAGTTCATTCTCGCGACAGAATTATCATCAGTCAGATCATCCACCAATTAAGATGTCCACGCATGTTGGGAACGTAAGTACATCATCCACGACACCTACAACCTCCGACCTGGATGGTACTGATGGCATCACCGATGCTGAGATTTTCACCCTCGTTGTGATGCTGGTGGTGATGGTACTGTCGCTAGTTGGTAACTTGTTGGTGATCGGTGCCGTGAGAATACGAGAATCGTTGAGAACTCCCAACAACATCTTCCTGGTGAATTTGGCGTTGGCCGACCTCGGACAAGGAATCATTGCGATACCACTGCGCATGACCGAGATTTTTAACCGAGGTATATATACAATTGTACTGTTCTTAACTGAAATACTGTTGCATGTACACTATGAAGTTTCCCGTATTCAAACTAAGAAACCAAAAGATGCTTTGAATAAACGCTATAACTCTCGACTGTTGCATGTACTGTAAAATCTCGGGCCGGTTGTATCAAGCCCGTTTAGCTTAAACGGCGGTTAAGTTCAAAATAGAAAGCAAGTAGTCTATCGTTTTATTCAAGAAGCAAGCTAAATGTTTTTAACCTTAATACAAAGCTACTGTTTCTAACTACATATGCAGTGCATAATATTCAAGTTGACTCATTCAAGAGGGTAGTAAGAGTGTTATTTAATTTTGGCTTATCCACCGTTTAAGCTAAACAGGCTTAATACAACCGCCCCCAGCTGAACAGGAATGTAAATTAATCGACGTATCAGGCGATGATCTAAACACATGCAAACTATTAACAAAGGTACAGAGCCGCTGGTTCCATGTCTCATGGTCCTCTACGTAACCATCCTGTTCTTTGGCGTTTCCATGATCACCGTCGCCATGATATCCACGGACCGCTTCATCGCGATACGATGGCCGTTCTTGTACGTGCAGTACTTCACCAAAGGAAGCGTTCTGACAAGCATAATCTGCACCTGGTTATTCATGGTCATCTTTTCAAGCGTTCCCTACCTCGGGGCGGCCGTTACGCCGGAAATTCCGACGAAATTCTGCTTTTATTCCCAGTACCTGTCTCAGGCCTATCTCCTGACGATGTTTTCCTTGATAAACATACTGATTATCATCATATTGCTGTTCACCAACATCTATCTTCTCAAGCAAACATTGAGACATATCATCAAGATCAAATCCCAGGTCGTGCCGATGTCTTGGGACGAGAATAGCCACAACAGGTAATTCTGATTGCAGTGATAATTCACTGCCATCCACAAAATTTAATTCTTCGAGAGAAGAGTTTGACGTTCCAGGACCCGGAATATGTAGCACTGTCGTGCTTCCAAAGAAATTCAATAGCCAAATTATCAATAGCCAAATATCAAATAGCCAAAGTAAGAAAACTATAGAAAACCATGCTTCCTTCGGCTTTTTTCCCAAGGTGGAAAAACCACGGATATATTGACAGTGAATCTCTATAACACTTGTCAATTTACTTGTCAATTTACAATGAACTCCATTTGTATTATGTCTGTACATGTTTCAATCTCCCCGTGAGGGAACAGCAATCCAGAAATGTATCTAGACAGTTTCCAGGTTCCCCAATCAACAGAGTAAGTTACATTGAAAACAGCTGTTTTAAAAGATCCGTATTTCCATTCAATAGTGACTATTTCAAAGATCCCTGTTTCTAAACTTGCTTGAGAACGTTCAATTTGGATTATTCGAGCTGAAATGACTATCTTCGCAGAATTATGTTTCGTTTCGCTTGTAAAGAAACAGCAATCGAATGCATTTAAACAGCTTCCTGACTATCCTCTTAGGTCTGAGGAGACGTCACAGACACAACAGGCCCAAGGCACGACCCAGCCATCATCCTTAGATACCCCCAATCGTACCCGAGCGAGGTACCATCGCGAAATCAAGGCAACCAAAGTAACCATCGCTGTGGTCGGATTCACCATCGTGCTGACCACGCCCATCATGGTGATCGATCTTGTATCAGTCTGGTGTCCCATCTGTTCACCATCGATCATAACCAGGATCGCGGTTGCCATGGCGTACGCGAACTCTTGCGTCAATCCCTGGATTTTTGCTGGATTCAACAGACTCTATCGGGAGACTTATGTTGAAGTCCTCAAAAGAATCAGAAAAGTCCTCCTGTGTCGGTCTTAAAGTGTATACTGGATTGATGTAGAAGGTCTCCGTGACGGTTCTCCGATGGACAACTTGGAAATTGGTACCAGCAGGATCATGCCAGCATCTCTTGTTGGTGCATGAGAATTTGTACAGCATGGTCTCTATTTTGTCTTAATTGTCGTGAACGAGTCATTTTCACAGTTTCACCGATGTTAAATAGTCCGAGTGTTAATTAGTATTTATTTCCTGTATTGAAACCGGCCAAGGTTGACTGCATAGCATTATTAGCATAGGAATATTATATTACATCAAACGCTCAAGAATCTGCCATCGTAAGCGCATAAATTTATGATTGAATCGAATAAAAAAGCGGGCGAATAAAAATACAATATGTGATATTTTGATATTTGATATATGTGTACTATTGGCAAAGTAATCAATAAGAGAAAATAAAACGATTTCGTGACACAAAGACCAAACCGAGAGTATAATGTAACTTTAGCCGAGGGATGACGCAAGACAAAAGGAAGAGGAGATTGTAGATTAGACAGTTAATGTGAAAGTTATTTAAGACTCGAAGTCGTGCTTATTTTCCTGACTTACATGACGAAATGCAGCAAAATGTCGAAATATCAAATTCCTAATTTTCCACTGACTGTCTAGACCTGCGCCCCACTGGAACGCGATTTACTCATGCGCGAGCCGCGCACACGCTTGAATGCACTGGGTCTATAAGAATATTTGAGTGGTGATCGATATCTATAGCAATGCTAGAAGATTCCTATAGGCATTCGTGTGGGGGGGTACTCGAGATTACGAAATATCACTTACGTCTGCGAACCGTTGAACGTGTCATAAATTAAAAAAAAAAGAAAGATCATATACGTAGCTAACAGTCCTAAAAAACGTTTCCTGTGCTGCACACCCTATAGAACATGACGAAGGAAAAGTATAGGAAGATGTTTATACAATGAAAGCTGTTATTTTCGATAAGCTAAAAGCGACTCCCCATGCAGGCGTTTTTACAAGGGAATACATATATGATATATGTACGTACACTCACACAAAGTTTCTAAATTGTTACATAATTAATTTTATGCCAGTAAAAACACACTAAAGGGCTGTTTACATGAGCCCGGTTAGGCGGTTACCCGAGATTCAACGAAGCGTGAGAGGACTTTGAGGTATTGACATAAGTCTGTATGAAACCAAACAAGCACATGTTATTGTTGTGGTGATTATACGACGTAAAAGCCTTAGCTAAATGACATTTATAACACGTTTATATAAAACCAGCGAATGAACAGTTGTATAGGGGCTAGAGTTGGGTTCTGTAGGCGATTTAGGGGCTGTTTACATGAGCCCGGTTACTCGAGAGATGAGATGATTTTGAGGTATTGAAATGAGCAGATAACATGATCCAGGCAGTGCGTGTGAGTACGTGCGTGTGAGTACGTGCGTGTGAGTACGTGCGTGTGAGTACGTGGGCGTGAGTATGTGAACGTAACGCACGTACACGAAACGCAACATTGGAAATCTGGCCAAACTGAGAAAGGGCCCTGGCCTGTTTGATCTAAGCCGTTCAACAAGTGAAATCTCTCCTTTTTCACGCCCTGATCACCCACTTTAATAAACGATATGTTTCATAGAACTGTCGAACAAGGTCGTCTAAATTGTCTTCAGGTTCCCACCCGGTTAATAGAGACATTTAGCGGTTTGCCGTACGTAGCCTGCTGTTGTTGCAAATTTGACATTTAGTTAGCGGTCATTGACCTATACCTTATGTTAGAACGATTCAGAATTGGCATCCAGTAAACAGTTTTGCTATTAAATTGCTGCTAGCTATTTCTAATGCTTTAATTTTTTTAAAATCAAATGTCGTTTACACATGGAAAAGTTGAAAAGAACGACCATTTTAATAACCGACTATCGACCTACGATACGATATCGTGGTAAACCGCCATATTGCAAATCGTGTTATTGTCTATTGAATAGTGGTAGCCGCTTTCTTAAAGAAAATCGGTAAACTCATTGAAACAAGCTAGAAAATTAACACAAAGAAGATTTGGATATCCAATATGTCTACTAGGAATGTTTATACGTGAAACGAGACACTATTGCGATGACAATTCGCTGAGGTAAATGAGCTACGTGGAAATACACCTCCAGCAGTGGAAAACTAGCCTGCGTGACTGAAACCCAAAAATGTTAACATGTTTCTTTTCTTAAACCAAAACATGTAATCATTGAAACACTATAGGATACAATCCTTACAACAAAACTGAACAATGGATGGTTATATGGACTCTTTCAACAATTTTGATATTGAGTATTGTGTTTAAGTCTCATGGCTCAGTTTAAATAATTATACTTTGTTAAATCCTTATTGTTGTTTTAAACTTCAATGCATTGTACATTTCCATAGAACTGAGTCAATATAGCTTTAGCTTATGCCTATGGCCTTATGCCTTATAGGTGAACAGTACTAGTATCGATATCGTATCGAAAATATCGATAGAAAAATATCGATATCGTATCGAATCATAAAATCCCAGTATCGCCCACCAGTACTGCGTGCAGCCCGACTTTAAACGTCAAAAGGCAAAATTTCAATGTCAAGCCGGTCTACGGTTGAAGAAAAAACGTCAAACTAAATGTCTCTAAAAAAATATTCGCGTGGCCGGATGAGGACATGGAAGCCTAGCACTTCTGTGAATAACGGGTTTTTTACGCTTAAAAATCTTGGGAAATGTTTGTTCCTGTTAAATAAAGCAGGGCTATCTGATTTTTATGTTGACACACCGCATGCAGAATCTCAAAGCGATAGAAACAAGACGCGCGATAGACCTTTGAACTAAATCTATATGTGTTAATATGTCTTACCGGTATGTTAATTAATATTCCGCTCCAGTCAAAGTAGATCGTATCGTGGTGTAAAATAACAAAAATGTGTCGACATAATATTTGCATTTCAAATATAAAGGAATTTGTCGTCAAATTGATTGGGCCGTTTAATTCGTATATGAGCGTCAATTCATACGACGATAATTATAGAATATCCCAAGACTGACTAAGCATTTAACGTTGGAAGAAGAAACAGGAAAATACTGGAAGGCTTTGCTCAATTTGTTGCGATTTGTATCGATGAGCTTTGGTGAGTAGCTACATAAATATTTCAAGTCTTTTTTTCTCTGCTACATAAGCGCACGGGTATCTAACATCATCTGAACCCAAGTATATTATCTGAGTCTGACTAACTCGATTGCCAATTTAATCGAGAGGATGGCACGTAATTATACGAATAAAATTACCCATCTCTTAGCGAAGAGACAGGTTATTTCCTATGGAAGTATAAAAGCTTATTTTCCTAGCTAGAATAAATACGAACATATGTCAAGATACACGGTCGACTTATTCGACGAAACGATCTCTCATATTCAATATCAATTACGTTATCCCAAGTAGATAAATTCGCGGACACAAAATTTAATCCTATTTGCAAATTGAGAGAGCTATCTGCGGTTTGTGTTTAAGTTACTGACCTGAAGGCCATGGTTTAGTAGTCAATTTTAGGTGGAATTCTATATGATACAAAGATCAATTATAAGATCTAAATAATCTGTTACTCCTTCCAAATCGTTGATATTCTATATAGAATTTAGAAATTTAGCAAATATTAGAAACTGATAATTCTAAACAGCTTTAAGACACCTCTGAATCACATCTTACTGCACTGTTCTTCGCTGTACATAAATTCGTACGATTAGTTTTGACTTAGTTTCAAGACGTTGCTGTAGTAACGTCGTAACAACTGTCCAAACTGCTTGCTTTGCAAATCGAGTTATGTTTGCATTTGAAGTTAACTCCAGGAACTTAGGGATTACAGAATTTGTGGGTTTTTTTTCCTGACAAAAACCCCCGCAAAAATGGAAAGAGCTTACGGCATTAATACTTGTTAGGCCGGCTTCTTTGAACCCGGAGATTTGCGTTCAGTTATCCACATGCTGAGGAAATGCTTCGAAATCTCCGTCGTATAGGTGGGTGAGAAATTCGTCCTATATCATTACAGTCGATCAAATTTCTCCGCATTTTTTCGATCGACTGCTTTCTCGAAAGTTTCCTTCTTGGCGAAATTAAAGTGAAGTCGGTGCATCGAATTGGAAATTATACCTCTATAACAAATCAATCTCAAGAGCGGAAAGGGGGATATTAAGGTATTGCATTTTATTTACCACGGTGGAAATTCTGACCGAGCTGTCAGGTCAAGATCGCTCCATTATGTGATGTTTAGGAACTCAGTTTAGTCTTGATGTCTCAAAGTGATAACTGATTGTGTATATAACCCAGGTGATGTTAATAATATTATGATAGTCAGTGCTACCCTTTTTTCAGTGCCACCGGGTATAAGCTGAAAAAATTGGCTCTGACCCAGTGAACTGTAATAAAACCTGGAACGCTATAACTGCTGTAGTTACCACTGTACTTAGTTGAAGCAAAAAAACTGAGTTTTTGACTCAGTTTTAACTCAGATTAGTTCTCTTAGGGCGAGTTAGTTTGCCCGAGAACGACAGCTCGGCCAAAATGATTGGCACTAATTTTGACTCAGTTCTAACTCAGACTAGTTCTCTTAGGGCAAGTTAGTTTGCCCGAGAACGACAGCTCGGCCAAAATGATTGGCACTAATTTTGACTCAGTTTTAACTCAGACTAGTTCTCTTAGGGCGAGTTAGTTTGCCCGAGAACGACAGCTCGTCCCAAATGATTGGCACTAATTTTGACTCAGTTCTAACTCAGACTAGTTTTCTTAGGGCAAGTTAGTTTGCCTGAGAACGACAGCTCGGCCAAAATGATTGGCACTAATGCATATACTATACATTAATCCTTCACTTTAGTTCTGATGCATGAAAGGGGAAACAATTAATCATTGTGAATGGCTCGAAAAAAATATTTACTTACCTGGGGGCGGTTGTTCGAAAGGCGTTTAGCTTAAGCGGTTGATAGGCCAACGTTTAAAAACATTCTCATATGTCTTGTGAACTACTGAGCCTACATCTTACGCATTAAATATATTCTTCCATTGAAAATAAGACAATTTACATCGAAATATTTCAATTCAGCTGTTAAATGGAAACACAATAAAAATAATTACCGAGAATTTGCAAGTTTTTCGGTAGCTATCTTTCCATTTTTTAAATATCTACCTTTCTTTCCGAAATCTTGAAAATTCCACACAGAAGAGTGATTTTCACTGGCTTCGTTTTAACGTATCGCCGAGCGTTTTAGGGCAAGTTTTCTCTTTCTCTCGTATTTCTCAACTCAAAACTCTCAGAAAAAAACATTTAGGGAAATATAGGAATGTGTGTGTTTATCACTGCCTACGGATCGCTAGTACCCAGGCCTGTTGCCTCCCCTGGACGCGTTGCATAATCCTTATTTGTAATTGAATACGACAGAATTCTCTTATCGATTCACTTCATCTTCTTCTCAAACTTGAGGTCAAACAATTATCTAAAACATTCAAGCTCTTATCGCTACGTGGCAAGACTGCTTAAAAGCGCAACAGTTTCACTCTGGCTCGAGAGATTAGCGAAAACTTCAAATCCGCTTTGTGATGTAGATGGTTAAGGACTCTTTGGGAACAAAAGGGTACGTATTTGATCAAATCATATCTCCAATGCTTTGTCAGCAAGTAAGAAATTGCTGGCACTCCACTATTATTATTTGCGAGTATCATGTTCCTCGCCAAAAGAAAACATTGAAAACGTTCAGCCATCTCTAGAACGTTCTAGTTGAATTCGCATGAAATCGAGTAAGGGTTTAGATTTGAGAATTCAGCTTCTTCCTTTCTCGTTGCCTGGTACAAGAAAAACTTCGCCCAAAGCAGTTCTCGCAAAGGCATCAGTTACCAAAGCACGGTGGTAGTCTCAACTGTGTGACACGCGCTTACCATTGTCATAATTATCACCCACGTTGATCCTTTTAGTCCATTTACCTTCAGGGCATAGGACGGGAGATGATTTATTACAGCTAGACATTTCCCGGAGAGTTATTCGTCTGAGTTGGAGTTAGGTCGTTGTTAGTCCTCGTTTGTAGTTGCCACTTGCTACTGGTTTACAACTTTACGGAGGTCTAGTACATGCCCTTTGACATTATCCGACCGAGGGTTGTATGTTTTGAGAGGGGTTTTCGTCGAAAGAACAACTTTTTCAGAAAGAAGCAGTCGAGAAAAGCATATCAAACACAAACTCTCATGCAGATAAAATCCCCATGCAGCGTTCAAAATATACATATGCAAGTTCAAACCGCTGATCTATAAACAAGTACTAGATGGTGCAATTGTTTAGCGCATAATAACTCTACGTTGCACAATCACAGTGCTATCAGGTTTTCTATTATGTTCAGATATTTATCATATTACCATTAATACTAATGCATGACCTACATTTCCCATCTCGTCTCTCGCGAGCATCAATGCCTCTATCCCCGTCACACAAGAAATGTACTCCGCTATCCTTATATAATGTACCCCGCTATCCTCATATAATGTACCCCGCTATCCTCATATAATGTACCCCGCTATCCTCATATGTACATAGCTTATTCGTATCTACAAGGGCATGTTTGTGTCATAGATACTAAAGCAAGGATGTTATCTGGAATGCCAATAACACCTGAATATAATAAAATCTTATCTTGGGCGTATGCAGTATCTATTCACTTCAAGGAACTCTTTAATTAACTGAACTCGCACCTGTATTTGATTTGTAATCGCGATAAAAGAGATGATAAACAAAAATTAATAAAAAAGACAGTTCTGAATAGTGTTCACGATTGTTATAATTAAAAAGCAAGCGTCTATGCCTGTTCGTATTTTATTTGGTCCAATTCTATCAGTGCAGAACCAATTCACTTGACCTGATGGATGTTTTATATTTGCAATGTATATGGACAGCAAATCAACTAGCCCGAATACAGACCTACAAATCCAACCAAAGCCAATGCAGTACTGCTTTATCAATAACAGACTACATTCCATTCGTCAGAAGTGAATTGGATCTGACAAAGTTAGATCGTGTAAACAGGTCTTTAGGTTTCAAAACTAATAATGGAATGAGAGTCAAATATCGTTTATTATGAAATCGATCAAGTGTGTTTACAGGTTTCTGCCTGAACCAAACTATCTTTTAAATAAATCAAATGTTGATAGTTTCCTAGGAGAGCGAAGACAGACACAACGTATTTAAGTTTCAAATTATTTACAAGTAAAACAGTCGAAATGCATTACCCAATCCGAAGGGATAACTTTGAAAAATCTTTGGAATAGCTTAAAGTCGAACAAGGCTAAGTTGCTTAAAAATATTCAAAGATTCATCTAGTATGAATTTTCGTTTTCACCACAAGATGATAAGAATTGAGATGAATTGTGATGAAAGACGACTTTGATTAAATATTTGTTGTATTTAACTATCCTTTTTTTAAAAATTTTTAAAATTTATCCATCTCACAATCGTCCGAATTCCCACAAGGTTACTACAAGAGGAAATCAAATTATGGTGTTTACCTTAAACAGGATAGCTTTATCCGTTTAAGTTTTCTCTCAACACTTGAACTCAGTAATCTTTTTACGAATAATTCGTCCAAAGTTTGAGGTACGTCAAGTATCTCGGTATTTTGCATATCTGTGATATTCAGGAGAATCGAAAGATGTGCAGGACATTGCCTTTAGAAAGTCAAGAAACTCGATTTTTATCGGTTGTGACCAGTAAACTGGTATAAAACCTGGAACGCTAACTTGACCACCGTCTTTGAAGCCAAATTTCAAGATAGTTTTTTGAGTTTTTGAACATTTGAGACGGACGTAAAAAGTGATTATCTACGAATGTCTAGAACTATGTAAAATACAAATTGAACGAGAAACAGAGCCCAAAACTCAGTTTTTTGTATCTATCTTTGGCTTCAACTAAGTATAACGCTGAACTATAAGAGTTAGCATTGGATGTTACCTACAGTATATGTCATTTTGGGGGGCCAAAAAGGCGAAATAAATAGCTTTAATTTTGCACTAAATTTGACGTCTGGTAATATTTCTTTTGGAGCGAATTTATTGCGTTTTAGTTTAATCTTCACAAATATGCAAAGTCCCAAACACTACATGTATACTTTAAGCGATTATCCTTCACGTGTCGATAGACTATAATAGCTTAATATGTTTTGGCATTTCACTCGTTATCTTTTCACATCTTTGGACAAAAACAGCAATGTTCAGGTGATGATGTAACCTTTGACCAAAAGAAAATTCCCAGATTAATGAGCGTCTTTGATAAATGTTGTATTCTCGACTGTACCTCCCACGGTGAGCGCGGTGTGGCGGAGTCTGGTCACAAACTACTGAACTATATAGATATGGATGATATCTTAGCCTGACCTCGGCTCTGGACGGAAGAGTTTAGAACTGATAGAGCTATCCATTATAAATAAAGTTAGTTTAGTTTAGGTTTCCTCCTGTAGGAACACTGGATCAATAAGAGATGATCCTTACTGGACCTCTATAGGAAGAACAGTTTAGAACTGATAGAGCTATCCATTATAAATAAAGTTAGTTTAGTTTAGGTTTCCTCCTGTAGTAATACTGGATCAAGAAGAGATGATCCTTACTGCACCTCTAGGAAGAACAGTTTAGAACTGATAGAGCTATCCAGTATAAATAAAGTTGGTTTAGTTTAGGTTTCCTCCTGTAGTAACACATGATCAATAAGAGATGATCCTTACTGGATCTCTAGGAAGAACAGTTTAGAACTGATAGAGCTATCCAGTATAAATAAAGTTAGTTTAGTTTAGGTTTCCTCCTGTAGTAACACTGGATTTGATTTTGTATCCTATAAGATATGATCCTATGAACCCAATTCGACTCAATCATAATCATTTGTCGTTCAGTTCTCGCTCAAGCCCTGAGCCTCAAGTACACACGCCAAAATTCCTCTTAATTAGTAACCAATTTCCTTATCAAAACAACCCAGCGTATATCAGTCCTAACCAATTTCCGTCATACGAGGCAACGTGTTTACAATGACTAGCTTCTGCCCACGCTTTTGAGATCATTGCGGATTGATTCGATCTCTTTATATGTGTCGAAAATTCCTGGGAACAACGATAAGAACAAAGCCTTTTATCTGATGTCACTGGGATTAAAACGCAGAAATGCCTGAATGCCTTCGTCTCCCGATTCGTCTATTAGCTCACGGACCTAATCGGGTTCTTTAAACGTCGGGCCTTAAATCGGGATCCATTAGTTACCAAGTTTCATATATTTTATCCTGAACATTAGCTGATTAGCAAAAAATCTCTGATTACGCTAATGGCTCGATAAGCTCTGTCAAAAAGCGATTGTAATCGCTGTACCAGTGGGAAGAACAGCTTGGAATTCATGTTAACTATCCATTAACCCGTAGGACCCATATGAAACAGTTTCGAACCCAAAGAGTATGAATAAAGTTAGTTTATTTTAGGTTTCCTTCTGTAGTAACACTGGATCAATAAGAGATGATCCTTACTGGACCTCTAGGAAGAACAGTTTAGAAATAATACAAATAAAGTACCAATAAAACTAACTAGTATCAATGAAGTTAGTTCACTTTAAGCTTTAACACTGAGTGCATCAACTTTAACATACGTTTTATTTTACCCACTCACTCCCACTATCCTTATTTAATAAGGTGACCTATCCATCAGAGAGTTCGTCATAATAGTGCTTACAAAGTAAAAGCTTTAAGTAGGATTAAAGAGTCCTCACGAGATGAATGATTTTCTTGTGAAACGCGTTATATACGTGATATTCTAGTATCTCCCTTTATTACAGATCGTCTGCCTGATTGCGAGGAGCAAAAGAAGACATGAAAGTCTTGCGAGATTGTCTGCTGATCCTGATCCACGTAAAAGCTATTGCCGTGTACACGAAAGGAACCACAGGTAGGTGTCGAATCGAGAAATCGTAAGCATCGCCGTGAGCGCTTCATGTGAAACGACATACGGTGTGTAGTATGGAGAGATTTAAACGAGTATTTATAAACAAACGTCTCTTCGAACTTTAGATTCATGCTTTGATTATACATAATGTACTATGCATGTTATACTTTTGTAAATATACAATCAATGTACATTTTTAAATGTGAAACTCTTACGTCTGTCCAAGGGTTATTATCTTCATTTAAGACTAGTAGAAATGCGGATATTATGCTAATGTTCCCACAAGATAGCGTTTGTCACAGACGATACTGTGAGATGTACCACATAAGAACCGAGTAAGATGCCAAAACTATACTTTTGAATTAGTTTAATACAACAGAAGATTCGCGGAATCAAATGTACACGTATATCTTGCTTGAATGACTTCACGAAACCATGTGTCATGTGCTTTAATTAACCCAGTTAATCTAACATAATCTATGTCTCAAAAGTTGACAGTAAACGGGTATTTTAAAAATCGTCAAACAACATTAGTCACTACGAACACAGGCGAACAAATTCATATCTATTTCTAGCATCTAACAACGCTTCAGTCATCATTAGAGAGGTTGTTTTAACTTTTAACACAATAAATTATGGAGTCATTGAGCAATATGATAATGTAATAATGTAATAATTACACATTATTAGCGTACTAAAATTACTGCATGTTGATTGGCTGAGAGGACTACAATTATTTCATTAATTTTACTGCGGTATAATGAACAAGGAGGAATTTCGTTTTGAACTAATTCGCATTTACATTTTTCAGGCAGAGCCAATCAGAATTCCTAAATTTTAATACTTCATGTAAAATGGCAAATGATGTAACTTTTTACCGGAAGTAGTCAAGATTTATGCATTCTGATTGGCTTACTGGAAATGTAAACGAATTTGCTGATTGGTGTAAAACGAAATCCTCTCTTGTTAGTACAAAGCGCATACTAAAATTCCACCATTATTAAATATCTACTTTGTGCTTCGTAATATGTCAGATCATATTGAAATAGCAAATGTAGTGACTGCAATGGTATGTTTACCATCCTTATAAATAGATGTAATAAAGACATGTAGTATTGATCGCTATTAATGCGGCATACTTTATATTCTCTTCTTACAAAAAATATTAGCCCTACATTGGTAGCTTACAAATATAATATTTGCTATTTTTCAGGTTTTTTTTTTGAAATTTTTGTTATTTTTTTGAAGTGTTATTATTTGTGTTAGTTTGTTATTTTTTGTTTATTTTAATTATTAAATTTATTGAGAGGACAATGTATTCATTATCCTTAAATCCTAAAGCTAAATCTGAGTAATCCTCATAATCTTTGAGATCAAATAGCCTGTAATCCTCTACAAAATATACAAATAAACCTAAATCCTAAATCCCTAACGGGGCCTCGTTAAGTTTGAGTTATTTTCTTACTTGCAGTTCCGGGTCATGAAGGAACGTCCTTCTTAATGGGGTTTCTCGAAATGGACAACGACAAGGGGATATCGAGGATCTGCGTGACCTCGGGTGAACCATCGCTAATAACCATAAAAATCCCGTACCTAAGCAGAAATATCACAACGCGCGTCACTCCCGGAGTTACGACAAAAATCGACTTGCCCACGACAATACGCATGCGTGGACTATCTCGCGAGGACAAAGGCATCTTGATTGCTAGCGACAACACGATATCCGTATACGCGACAAACGCGCGGGCCAAATCGCGAGATGCTTACGTCATTTTCCCGACCTCCGCGCTAGGCACCGAATACGTGGTGACAACATATGAACCGATAAACAAAGCCCTTGTCGGCATTATAGCCCTACGAGATAATACCCTGATTCAAATTAAGCTACGTCTAGAGGGAAGTATCACGTACAAGGGTAAAGTGTTTACAAATGGGGATATACTGAGGATATTTTTGAATAAACAACAAACATTCCAGCTTCAACATAAACGAGATCTTACAGGTACGTTTGTGGTCTCCTCAGGACCTGTAGTGGTAATAGGGGGTAATATACGCACCAAGGTCCCAACGACTGTAAGCGGTCTCTCGCACCTCGCTACCCAGCTGGTACCAGTCTCCAAATGGGGCACGCGGTTCATGACGTCACCAATAGCAGGGCGAAAACGAGACGGGGACCTCCTCAAGATCGTTGCGGCCTTTGATAATACAACCGTGTCGGTACACGGTGAACAGAACTTCACCCTGAACGCAGGGGGGTGGCGTTTGCTCAACGTTGGTCATAGTGAGACCAGGTACATTGTTTTCACCGAGCCCGCGATGCTCCTGCAGTACAATAGGGGATCTTCAGGGAGAATCCACTCAGAGCCATTCTCCCTGATGGTCCCCCCTATTGCGCAATATGCAAAGGACTTCAACTTGCCGATTCCAGTGGATCTTAAGAGACCACCGTTTGTCAACTATCTAAGCTTCATAGTGAAGACCTCGGAAGTAAGGTATGTTGTTTTTGACAGGGGATATTGCAATGGAAACCTGACACAGGTTCCAATACCAAGCACCAACTACAGCGTATACTGGTGCCCGCTTCGTACAATAAACGTGTCGAAGACGATCTCAATAAGCAATGCTTCGAAAGGAGGAGGGATTGCTCCGTACATCGTCGGCCACACAGACAAAGACGGTTATGGCTACTTGGGAGGAATGGAAATGAGGGATGTGAATTGTCGTCGTCTCTTCCCGGAGGGGATAACGACGGATAACAGTTGTGATTGGGGGATGTATAGGAACACTGTTAATATCACTAGCTGTGATCCCAATTTATCCATAGCTCAAATTCCTATACCCAAAAGTGAATACTTGAAAGATTGCGAGATTAAAACCAGCACTCTTAAGGAAAACTGCGAGAGAAAGGTTATTAGAACTTGGAGATTGAACTCATCTATAGTAGCAAAACAAGAAATAAGATGGAAGAAACTAAAACCTATGCTCGTATTTTCAACATTCATTCGTATCAATACATCTGATCTGTCTGCGTTGGAGGGCGATGTGCGCAACATGTCACGACTGTGTCCTGGGGATAGATTGGATTTCAATGACACCACGCGTGTCCGGGGGAATGGGACGAAGTTGGTAAAAAGACTGTGGATAATACGAGAGGAATGTGGACGAATTACAACAGCCAGACAAAGTATCATAGGTAGGAATTATTGCGGCTCACGGGTGTGTTTTCACGCCCTGTAGCTAAAAATTGAATGTTCCAATATATCGTTTTGTGAATGTCTTTTACCTTTTAAATTCAATTTAGGGATCACAGCCTTTATTTTGGTTTCCTCCTGCAGTAACACTAGATCAATAACAACCTCTAAGAAAAATTCCTGTAGTAATTAATTCTAGATTAATAAGAGATGATCCTTACTGGAGCTCTAGGAAGAACAGTTTAGAACTGATAGAGCTATTCAGTATAAATAAAGTTAGTTTAGTTTAAGTTTCCTTCTGTAGTAACACTGGATCAATAAGAGATGATCCTTACTGGACCTCTAGGAGGAACAGTTTAGAACTGCTAGAGATATCAATTACAAAAAATTTAGGTTTCCCTGTTGTAAATCTGGTTAAATACAATGCTGTTCATTTTCTCTTATATCAAGTACCTGCCACTGACGATGTTCAATGCGAAGAACATAAATCAAGCGTGTCGCTGGCCCTGATTCTAAGTCTATCACTGGGAATCTTTTTACTCGTGTTGGTAATAGTATGCATCTTTATGTAAGTATATCAAATCAGGGGAATATTGTTGTCCTAAATCCTAATATTATAACTGTAATGAGGCATATCACCCTGAAGGGAGGTTTACTAGCACTGAGATCCAGACAGACTGGTATTGAGTGCAACAGCCAGTAAGACTAGTCAGACTGGTATTGGTACAACAGTCAGTAAGACTAGTCAGACTGGTATTGATTGCAACAGTCAGTAAGACTAGTATTGGTTGCAACAGTCAGTAAGACTAGTCAGACTGGTATTGATTGCAACAGTCAGTAAGACTAGTATTGATTGCAACAGTCAGTAAGATTAGTCAGACTGGTATTAGTAGCAACAGTCAGTAGGGAGGTTAAGATCGACTTCCGCTACGAGTACCGATACCAATATTCAGTCATGCGCATGCGCAGACTTAACAATCGTCCAAAATGTGATAACACCGGAAATCGCGAGTACCGTTTTGGGGCTGAAAATGGAAGTGGATAGGTAGGCGAAGTACCGAATTATATTTACTGTATTATTGCATTTCCTGCAGTTTTTTCTAATAATATTATTTAGTTTTTAGTTGTGTAATGTTTCTGCTTTGTTTGTTGAGATTAAGGATTGTGATTAAAGTTTTTGATGTGAATATAGCCGCTATACTCCGCCGTGTTTATTTACTTCTTACGGAAGTCACAATCTTAACGCTTTAAAGTTTCCGCGCTGCCAAACAGTAATACGTCATGTATTTTTGTATCGGTACTGGTAGTGGAAGTAGATCTTAACCTCCCTATTAAGACTAGTGAGACTGCGATGTTTCACAGCGGTCTTTCACAACAAAGTCTTGCCTCGGGTTTGATGTACATATTAAAGTCCTGCGTCAGCGAGGCGTCTTTTTAATCACCGACTCTCATTATCGTTCTTTTAGCACAAAAAGACGGAAGACAGACGCACCCATTAATATCTACCTATCTTTGCAGAGCGTGGAAGAAACATGTGTCGAGAACGCTAACAATATCCACGCAACCAGCTCGTCAGACCGTTGTCAAGGAGACCGCGGCAAGTGACGAAGACTTTTACATAAGGAATAATGCAAACAGCATTGAGAACGGCGCTTATACGGAGATAAACGGCAACGCAAACCACATTACATACAAAAGAGACAAAGAGTCTTCACTCTTTTGTCCACGGAATATGGAAGAACATCCGTCACGCCGGAGCTAGGGGCTCGTGAAAACGATGTAGAACGCCCGGGGTTCTATGCTGCTCTTTGTTGAAGCGACCGAGCTTTTGGAAAGTTACCGAGATCGGGAATACAAAGCGGTTAATTGACAGCTGAGGACCGGCATTATATGAAAAAAACTATGGAAGATCGTAAAACATTTAGTTAAAATGCTGTTTTCAAATGTAGACTAATTGACGAAGCTGATTAGAAGAGTTTTAAGGGGAGGTAGTAAAAATGAAACTATACAACCCGATTTCAATTTGCCATTGTATTCATCCATCTTTATCCCATCTTATCCATTAACATATCCGGTTCACTCCGCTCACCACTGACCTCAAAACCGAGACTGGATAATGCACGAGTTTTATGTTGCAAAATAGATTAGGGATTAAGGTTCGGGTTTTGGATTAGCGTTCAAAATTAGGATTGAGGACAAAGAGAAATAATTGGTGATCGTAACCGCTATATCCGTTTGCTACCTAAACATCCATCCAGACAGAGTTTTGAGATCAGTGCGAGGATCCGAAAAAGTCAACCACTACATTTCTTCTTTGGGCGAATCGGGTCCTTCCTCGTCGTGTTTCGTAAAATAGTCCAGTTTCTCTTTGGGGTCAGGTACAATAGTGTCCGCCCCAGGTTTCCACCCTGCCGGGCACACCTCACCGTGTTTATCCGTATATTGGAAGGCCTGAACCAATCGTAAGGTCTCGTCGACTGATCGGCCGACCTGATGACGCAAAAATATGCTTTTTAAATTAATTTTATATAAAAGAAAAATAATCGATACTAGTAATAATAATAGTTATAACAGCAACGGCAATCAATAATAATCATCATAATAGTAAATATCAACCGATGATATTTTTATATTTACTATATCGTAAGGCAGTTTAAGTATCCTGTATAAATATGTATGTTTAAATGAAAAAATAAAAAAATAATCAAAATTGCTGTAATGATGACGGCAATCAATAATAATAATAATAATGATAATAATAATAATAATAATCAAAATTGCAAAATAATCGATGATACAATATTATTATCAGGACTATCATTAATAGCAGTAAAGTATCCTGTATAAATATGTTTAAATGAAAAAATAATAATCACAACTGCGCAATGATCACGGCAATCAATAATAACAATAATAATCATAATAATAATGTTTATCATAATTGTAACAATAATATATTAAAACCATAATATTCATAATTCATAGAAAAATCATAAGAAAAATCATAGAAAAAAATCATAATAAAAATCATAATAAAAATAATAATAAAAATAATAATAAAAATCTTAATAAAAATCATAACATTCATAACTAATAATAATCAGAAAAAGCTCCCGAAAATACTTGATAGTAGATACAGTATTTAGGATCACCAGTTTCGCATCTTTCGCAGCAGCTTGCTTTATAAAACTAAATATTATTACACTTAAAACATTCATCCTTTCAAATCTTCTACCTACTGTATCACCCTAATTCTTACAACCAACCATTTTCTAGTTCAATCTTCCATTAAATACGCGACTCTCATGAGTTTGGCCGGCACGTGCAGCGAGCTTATCCTCGACTATTAGAACTCTTATTACGGTGTATTTTGCAGGCCAATTGGTTGAATGAGCAATTATGTCTGGCTAAAATATATTTTAGTCCATGTGCTTCTACAGTACTGTACGTTCAATGTATTTCAGGATGATCCGAAATACATTTCACCTGCTTTGCAAGTTTACGATTAAAAACCTTTTGAAATTATTAAAATAGTGACAGTGTGAAACAGCTGATGTTCTTGGGCAAAAATACCTGTTTTGGGCCTTGGGTTTGGCCAAAAACATACGTATTTATGCCTGGAACAAGGACTCTTATAATAACGTGATAGGACTGAGCTTTATAGCATGTGTACTGTACATAATATAATGCACTTACCGGCAGATCATTCATCGTTATCTGTCTTAAAACTCCTTTGTCATCAATAATGAAGAGTCCTCTGCACAAAAAAATGAAAAGGTTCTTGCAACAACCCCGGAATATGTATGCCTAATGGTACATATGGATCAGATGCATAAATTCACCAGGGGGGGGGTATGAAATATGAATCCTTACACACTCAATACAGAAGGTGCATATATATGACCTAATGGTACATACAGATGACCACTAAAATATGATGAATATCCTGTGTCAAGAGAGGGAGAGAGAGGACAAACATCAAGAAGGATCTTTGATATGACCCTAATTCGTCTCACAGGCGTGGTCCATTGTGCTCAGGGGGGAGAGTGTAAGGCAATGGGGTGATTCCTACCTCAAGGTGTGTCCTTCGTTTTCCAACAAGACTCCATAATCTTTTGCAATTTGATGGTTTAAATCAGAGAGCAGAGGATAGGCGAGTTTTCCCAAACCACCATCTTTCCTTGGAGTGTTTATCCTATACACAAAGTGGAAAGAGAAAAAAGTATGTTTTAATGATGAAAATGCTGTGGTATGAATCACAGATATCACACATCTCCTGAACAGTCAGACTGAAATGTTCAAAGTAAATTTGGGAAAAACATTTTTTTCCATTCTTGACCATTTCAACATCAACTATTATAAACACGAGATTTAAGTTCCCAATGAAATACTGAGGAAAAGTTGTGAAAAATTATTATTTCTGGCATAAAATAAAAACCCCATGTTGAAGTCTTGGTATGGCTTTCATCAAAATTGCCAGGCAGAGGTTATGTATATCTTGCTCGGTTGTACATGTAGAGAACCTATAGAGAGCCTAGAGAACCTATACTTTTTCTTGACCATCTAATGCGTACCTTTATAACTAATGAAGTCAAACCATATTCACATTACGGCTCTATTTTAATTCACCTACCATGCTAGATGTGTAAAGACTGAATCCACTGAACAAGCAACAACCTCTGTGTTGATTTTACGAAACTCTTCAATGCGGTTGCTGAAGGCGATGATTTCAGTGGGGCATACAAATGTGCTACGGAAAAAAGTAAATGATCGAGTTTTATGAATTAATTCCATGCTCACTTAAAACTATCTTATGTGGATGGTGGGTGTAAAACCTCATAGGGACCCCTGGGGGGTTTTACATGCCTTTCCCTAACAGGATTTTCAATTCTAAATACTGTAGACATAAACACAAAGCATATGTGGTGATTTCTACTTACAAGTCCAATGGGTAGAAGAAAAACACCAAATATTTACCTAAAATAGATTTTAATTAAAGCTTATTTAGGAAATTATCTCTAATCAAAAAGTAAAGGAAAGAGCTTGAAAAATTTGTGCTTTTAGAAGCCATACTGTCATATTTCTCTTTTAAAACACTTGAAACAGTTAATAAAAATCATATTACATAAAACTATAAAAAAATTGTGTTATGAAAAGCACAAAGGATTCCAAAGCATGTTTTAATAAAAATAAAAGGATTTTTGTACCTACCGTGGAAATCTGTTATGTTTAATGATTTGAATTCGCCATTAACGACTGCAACTCCCTCCCAAAATGGAGCTGGTTTTGCAACTAATGATAAAAAGATATTGGGTCTTAGTTTTTGCACTTGACATATTACAGGATTATCATAAATTTCGTAAAAATTTGATCAAATGACCGCTGTGGAAACATGACTTCTAGCATGATCAGGAGGATGTTATTATAAAGTTTAGTTAAATGCGAGAAGTAATCCAAGGGTTGAATGGTAAGTAAAATGCCAGAGGTTAAAAAACCCACTGAATTCTATCTACATTGGTAGTGTGCAAGGGCCATTAGGAAGAGTACCATTTTGGTAATAATGCTGCTGTTCAACCCTCTATAAATATTGATTTAATAGTAAAGAGCAAGAATAAGATGGTGGGAATTGTCAGTATATTTAACTAAACCATTATAGTGCCAAATATGCAGCCTGTCAATAATTCTATCATCACAAAATTTCATTCTTGGAAGCAAAAATCTGAGAGAAACTAAGCTTTTATGAAAAACTGCATTGCAAATATGTTATGCCTCTGGCACAGAAAGCATTTGTAAGTAAAGATGAGATAACAAGAAAAATCTCCTCTGATATTGGGGGCATCTCTGATCCTATTGTTTATATTGTATTATATTCGAAAAAAATCGTTAGAAATATATTAACAAGTCTTTTTAACAATACGCAGCCTTATCAAACAATAAATCTCTTTAAAGAAAGCATACCTTTAGTTTAAATAATTAAAGCTTTCAAGTACTATTCAACACGTGGAGATAACGCTGTGGAAATGCTCTTATTATAACAAAACGATAAACATTTTAAACGAAATAAAACATACATCGTTGTTGATCGGCTGTTAATTTCCCCACGTATACTAGACATAAGTACGGATGGGGTAATCTTAGTCATGCATAGTACATTCCCATACGATCATTTGCATGTTTTAATGACAACACGTGTATCTGTTTTGAATAAACAATGAAAACAAAAAGGTCTAAGATGCCTTTTGAAAACCCACAATATGGCACGAAATTACTCCGTAATTACCAACGAAAATGACCTAAACACATAGCTAACTTGTGCAAATTTATTACAATACCCTTCGGGTGAAAATAATTATGTGTCGTACAAAGAAAATCGGCCGCTTACTTTGAGCCTTGCTCCAATGCAAAGCGTGTTCACTCGTCTTTCTTTCCTGTGGGTAAACTTGACCTCCAGCGTAAACCCGGCACGATTCCTCGCCGTCAACTTTGTTGGCGAATGACAGCGCCAGAGAATAGAACAGAAACACCCCAAGGAAGAGTGCTACTTGCGTTTTCAAATCGATAAATAGAAAGGAATGCATTTTTGATCGCAAATCGATCCCAAAGACCTTTAAATTTCGAGCCGCGAAAAGACGAATTATTTTTTTCACACGAGCGCCTGCAGAACAATGACGTGTCACGATTGCAATACTTCGTCTTATACAAAAGATTTAGACCCAAACTACCAAGGCGACAGAGGATGCAAGCCGGTAGTGAACTCTTATAAAGCGTAGGATTGACCCGTTTACGCTTACAATTTTTTCTGCGATTTTGTGGGAAATTTCCTTCTTTTGATAGATGTGAACGAGTGAATTAGTTACTGATGTTTAAATAGGAGCTCGTACACATCAGAGCATTCGTAACTTATTACTCGTTCACATTTATCAAAAGGAGAAAGTCGTACGTTAAAATTCGCAAGTGTAAACGAGTCTATTAGAGTTGACGAGAGTATTTGTGGTTAAAACCGAGCGTCATATTACTCATATAGGGAGTTGTATATTGTAATGATGCTGTGGAAACGTCCAGGTACGCTAGAGGGATCAGAGGGAAACAAAGGGGAGCTGGAGTGGGGTTGCATGTCACTTCTTAAACAGTGTGACTGATTGTTATCACGATGTTATGATGATACAGTAAATTCTCTCATTCATTCCACGGTTTCAACGAGGGGCTATACATATTCTATTCCACAAGGGTAAAATCTACTACTAATGTATTAGTTAAGTCATAAATCAATAAGTTCTTTAAAATGAAAAAATCCTCTGTTCCCTCGAGAAAAGGCAAGGGACACGGCCCCCCTCTTGTCCTCCCCTCTTGCCCTCCCCCCGAGCTCCCCCCAGCAGGCGTCCCTGGAACGTGGAAAATGTGAAACGCACTTGGTATTTGCGCAGGTGAGAACATCCAATACTAATTAAAATGACGCGTTTGCTCACATCTCATTGCAAATGTCAACACTTCCAGATCGAATTTCATCTGACAAAAACACGGGATTGCATACGAAAACAAATACGTCGTTTACACTGGCTTTCAAAGACTAAAGGTCGAACAGTTTAACATTAATTTGATAAGCGATTTTAAACGCACCGCAATTGGTCTACAAACTCATTTGCGCGGTTCATTTTCGGCGTCCAGGATTGAAACCTTCCCGGTTCGTGTTCAACTGTCGTGTATCCGTGTCTCAACAGGATTAGGAAATACAGACACGCGCTCCGCGATCATCTACAGCATAACGAGATATGATATAAAACTACTCCCTGTACTGCTGTGCGACGCTTCTTGAGAACCGAACAGGGCCGTAAAATCATGAAACAACACGAGAACGGACGGTCGTTGGCCAATTCGAGAACTCAAGATCGCCTAATAGCAAGCGAAACATTTCAATACGTGACTACTAACCCCAAGAAATACGGTGTGGCGAGCACGCGAAACGAACGACAACTTGCGAAGACCATGGATTCGCTTCATCTGCAAAAGAATCGGCGAATAGCGAAACTTAGTTCGCAAATACACGAAGTTAAAGTCCATCAGTGGAAACTCAAGGAAAGAGACGATGCTGTTCGAGACCTACGAACGACTGAAGAGATGCAACAAGGTATGTACCACGCATGTGAAAACGAAAAAGCGAATGTACAAATAACAAATGTAATCACGAATATTCTTACAAGAGATCAAAGAATTGGGTCAGGCATGATGCAGTTCAATTCAAAACAGGATAAAAATGAGGACCGCATCTTTCGAATCATATATGTTTATCGCATCTTGATCTTGCAGACTCTGTAGTCGAAGCGAAATTTGCCTTTTGTTTTTATGCTTTTCACATTTTAGGTTGCTGGTAGGTTCAATTATTAAAACTCAACCGTCAACTGACTGTTTTATTCAGTATTAGAATAAGAAAAGAACCATTCTTGTATTACATCTAGAATGATATTATCAGCGTCCACTATAGTCTGTCATAAATCTCGATCACTAGCTTCTCTACTCGTTTTTTTTTGCCGATTAACGACCTTTAAAATTAGCGAACTTTTCGAGCCAACTGCTTTGTTTTATGAATACTTCATTCATCGTGCACGGCAGCAAAACATAGCAATGAGTTATTGAAAATATCGTGTGGTGATCGAGGAAAGATTTCTAAGTTGGCTAGACTAGGGGTCATATAAACTGTCCTAACTTGGCCATGAATGGCAAATGTTTAGATTTGTGAGTGAGAAATGATGTACACGTAGCTCAATAATTCATCAAGTTTAATGGCTTTTTTCAAGTGGCGCATTACACTTAACCTGAAGTCTAACACCTTCTGTCATCCACCATCTCACCACGCTAAACTTTACCGATTATTACTAGGTTCAAAACCAAAAGATATCGGGAAAGACGGCGATCAGAAACACGGAAAATCTCAAACACAAGGAGCTCTGGGTCGTTCGATAAGAAAGTATTCAGGTGCTCAAAACGAAGTGGGATTAAATTTAAGAAAAAACAGGCCTTCTGCGCATATTTCTACCAAAACCTCGCGTTCAAAAGCCGGCAACGGACATGGTAGAATTGTTAGACATGACAAAAGAAACACAGTTGGTCTAAAGTCGAGTGAAGTCGTAGAATTGAACAAGATTCCCGCAGGGTCAATTGCAAATCGTCATACATTTACAACGAAAAGCACATTAATCGATTACTCTTTGAAAAATATGCCATCACGGAAGAATCCACGTGTGTTGCAGCAATACAAGTGTAAGTCGTATAATCTCGTGGGCCCCAAGAAATTTGTCGGAAAACGATCAAAAACACCGGGAGACGACACAAAACACGCAAAAGAAGCTTCGAATGAGCTTCAGGGTACAAATGATACCCGTGAGAAACTTTTAACGACCAATGCGAACCCCATTGGTAAAATAAACACCGCTCACCATGCTCGACCGCGGTCCGGACAAGTGCCGAAAGCTTTCGAAACGGATACGATGAATCACGATCATGCTGCGAATGGGAAGAGGCATATCGTTCGCGAGGGAAGTGCCGTCGATAAGGAGGACGACGTCTCGGAGGCGGGGGTTTCCGATCAGGAAACGAGAGGTCGCGATGAACGACCGAGCGTGGTAGAAGAGAATTGGGCAGAGACGCTGAAATCGTGTCGGTATTTGAGAAAACCCCGAGGTTACGAGACGCCAGAAATTCCTATTGAATCTGTATTTCAGAATGACTGATAATCTGATAATCCATCCGACAAAACAGAATATTATTGTGATTTCGTCAGTCTAAACCTCATTAATTCTAAAATAACTTTCGAGAAAGTCCATTCCACTTTGTAGACTGGCGTTTTCTTTGAAGTTTTGCTTTAACCAAAGATTAAAAGCTAACAAGCATTTGAGCATTTGAGCGATGGCCGAGCTGGTAAAATTGAACGAAATAAACATGACGAATTGACATATCGCATTTGTATCTTTTCCGCTTTATGTTGGGTACGCTTAAACTTGGGTTACACCACAAAAGTTTGTGATAACAACTCGAGATTTGAGAAAGATCATCCATCTTGACGAATTTAGACAAAGAAAAGATAATCCGTTTGTTTGCACGCGTTTAAACACTGGTTGAATACCACACGAACTGTTTTTCCTTGCCTAAATTCCTCCAAACAGACTAACCATTCCCAGATATTAACTTCATCAGAGATATTGGAACCTTACATGGATAAATCATAAGTTTTAAATGATTGGAAGTGAATAGAGCCATCCGAGATTCTTGCAGTGTTTTTACCTTTTACTTTTTATTATTCTAACCCATGAAGTGTTTTCCCACCCCTAAAAGATCTTAATTGTAGTGCTAATCACTTAAATATCTTCCCGAATTAAATTCTCATCCATTAACTTCCTCAGTTATGTCATCTTTAGCGTAATTGCAAATGATATATTTCGTTGCATATGCATTAATTACATATCGTGGTGCAAGCGTTCATTTTATTACTGCAATAGTGTTATTTTGACCGAAAGGTTCATCCCAAGTTTCCTTGAAGTTGCAAACAGCGTCCACCTAAATCTTTTGATGTGAAAAATGTATTCACGACTTTGAAAAGATAGAGTCGAATGTCTGTATGATTAAACGACAATTTGCAACGCTACTTCTTAAGGGAAACATAGTCAAAACTATTTGGTGAGTTTAAACAGTCAACTAGCTACGAACTGAATTCAAGATCTGAAGTAAACAAGTCTGTATATCAAAAGCGGACTACAGCATAAGTTTCGCTCTAAAGGAATAAAAGTTTATTATATTTCCACAAAAACAAACCTACTTTTAATATAATGTTTATTCTATGCTGCTTTTTAACAGCTTCGCAACAAAGCAGGAGTCGATCTGCCAGGAAGTGAAAAATGGGTCTCCCAAATCCGTTGGAAAATTATGGAAAGCACAACAGCGTTTTTGTTGAAACGAGTCGAGCAGTTTCGAAGAAAGCAGGAATAGTTTTACCAAAAATCACCACCTCACAAACAGCCCCGGCTCAGATATACGGAGATTTGGCAAGAAAAAAATCAGTTCAAGATTTTCCAGAGTTTTTCCGCCCTGAATACGAAAGTTTGCATCGAAAATCGTCAGTTTTGCTAACGCCTATTTTTGGGTATCAAAATGAGAAAAATCGATTGGTGACGCCATCGTGCTCGTCGCCTTCCGACAGTGATCGCTACTCATCGGACACGGACGATGATTCCGAATTCTCGGATTCTTCGGAGTTCTCCGATTGGGATTCCGGTTTCCTAGAAACATTGAACAAAGAAGTGGGCAAGCGCGTCGTATCAGGAATGGTTTTGAGCACGCAATGCGGACAGAGAACCCAAGATATTTCCGAGAAAAATTTAGGGAAAAGAGTGGAGACATTTCTTGGGCGCTCTGTGCCGGTCTCCGTGATTTCATCGCAGACGACAAGATCGCGACATGGATTGCTCACGCCACTTGCGTCGTCACGGCAACAACGTGGTGATACTTGGTGTATGAGGCAGCAAAAGATTTCGAAGGTTTTAAGCGACAGCATGAGGGCGATGTATACCAAAAGTCGGGAGGGAAAATGTCGTTATACACGGGCGCCACTCACCCCAATTCCATCCATAGACTGGGTTTTCGACAATTGCAGGAAAAGTGACAGCATTTCATCGCCAACACACCGCTAAACTTTATATAAACAACGGAAAAATTTAGATTGAAACCATTCAGACTGTCCGCCATTTTGAGTTGTCATAAACATTGCACGTCGACTCATTTCGCACAAACATTTTATTTACAGCAAAAACTCAGGAATGCATAATTACGAGCGATATGAGAAACGAAAAACAAATGAAAACAATTAATTAAGCATAGAGAATCTTGTAAACGCTAGTTAGTCACGGGACTAGTTTAAAATTGCTAATATGACGCGTAAAATTGAACATTCTGTTCTGTTCACTAAATTAGACCTGGAGAAATATATTGTGTACTACGTAAAAAACCTTTTTTCCATAATAATACCAGGAGCGGGAAGTCTGATGTTACACGAAGTTTCATTTGCTCCGTAATTTTGCTGAGCCCGCCAAACTTTGTTCAATGATACGGCTGTTACCAAAACCATAGACAATTGTAATAAAACTCTACATTTTAATTCGTATATTTCTTACATATCATTCGACGTAAACAACTGTAGGTTTCACAAAATTACTAAAATTTATATATAAAACTTTCAAAACTATATCATTCAAGATTTAAAACGCTCTAAGCTATTTTTGGCATTTACAGTCGTCCATTAATATCAATATATTTTGGCCAAGAGAAATTTTGATTACATATCTCGCTGCTTGACCAAGGTTGACATCATTGTTTAATTGCGGCAAATATATTTCTAACCTTATAGGTGTTCCGTTATTTCACTATACAATATTGCTTGATTTTTTCAATTTCGTGCTTGTCTCAGGGTTGATCTAAGTTCTTGCGCCTGGAATATACAACATAATATGTTTATGCATTTACTTCTATGCAAACTGTGTGCAGCAATTATTTCCTTCTTACCTCCAAGAGTTTCCTTTGCGTGTACTGGACTTTCTGTGCCTATCACCCCCCCCCGTGACCTGCCTATCACCCCCTGTGACCTGCCAACCCCCCGTTACCTTCGTACCATAAACCACCCACCCACCATCCTACCCCCTCTCTTCCTTTCTACCCCACCCTCTTACCTTCGTACCAGAACCTACCCCCTCACCTTCCTACCCCCCCTCTCTTTTTTCTCCTACCATACCCCCTCTATTTCCCCGACCTGTTCCTATGTTTACTGTGTTGAGAGGTAGCAAGCAAGGTGGGGGGGGGGTCCACCCTGCACACCGAATAATCTGATTGACTTACCGGGGTATATTCTCTGCACACCCTTGTACTCTCTTCCACAAACTTCAGTGACAGTGAAATGCCGTTCGAGCAGCATTCCTTTTTCCTGACAATCCTTCTTCGAAATGTTATCCCTGTACGCGACCCTCACCCGTTCCTGGCTGCAGGGGCTTTCCACCTCGGGCTTGCCCGTCACCCGAAGGCTGATTGGTCGGACGCAGCCGTTCGGAACGTGGATCGGGAAGTGAACGAGCAGCTTGGGTCTGGTGATCTTGATAATCTGGGTCAAATACACGACATTGCCACAACCATCAGAAGCCTGCCATGTTCGGTTGATCAGCTGAACACAGTTTTCCTCATGGACGCTGTCGCGGAAAGTTAAACGCAAGGCTCCCTTATAATCACATTCGGCCGATTTTATGACCGTTGGTCGCGGAACAAGGGCATCAACCTATGAAACAAAGGATTTATACGCTTACATATGTCCTATATTCATGTTTGTCGTCGGATAAGTTACAATGAACGAGACACAAACAATACTAGTAAACTCAAGACTAAGCATGTATTGACTCTTGTAATGTATATTCACTTGGTTACCATTGATTGAATCTCTGTAACGTGTCCCAACGTTTATACTCTATCTACTGCAAAAGGACTTTGCTCGTAGGTAGAAGAGTACTGCCAGTCGAAGCGTGTATTATTATGTTTACTACAATTAAAGTTATTAAACTATTCAAAATACACTAGTGGTTTAAAGGGTCTTAAATTCGAGTGGTATTATACACACTTCAAATTGAAGCCAGGAACAGTTGATGGAAAAATGAGTCAACTATAGGTCCTCCGGCAGGAATCGAACCTACGCTTTTGCGATGCCGGTGCAATGCTCTTGGCAAGAGCATTGCACCGGCATCGCAAAAGCGTAGGTTCGATTCCTGCCGAAGGACCTATAGTTGACTCATTTTTCCATCAACTGTTCCTGGCTTGAATTTGAAGTGTGTATAATACCACTCGAAATTAAGACCCTTTAAACCACTAGAACATTCCTGCATCGAGTGAAGTGCCAAAAATCATTATTGATTTACCCTATTCAAAATACACTTAAAGGATTCATTCGCTGGACATATTATTTTTACTGTATTGACACAGAGGTTAACTCCTAAAACTTACCTCAAACGCACAACTCTCGTATTCATAGTAAGGTTCATCGAGTTCAATCGTCGGTGGGAATGTCGCCAAATCTTCATCGATTCTTCCATCACCATCATCGTCAACCCCATTCTTCAATTCCTCATCTATCCTTCGATCACAATCGTTATCCATACCATCTGCCGGCGTATCCACGCCCACACACTCCCCTGTGATATCGGCGAGCCGCAACCCCCCGGGATAACCGTAGGAATCTCTCCACGCGTATCCGTACATAAAGGCACCGAAGGTGACGATGGGTGAAGTATGATCGACCCTGTGTACACCTTTTGTCACGCTGACAGCCGAAGCCGAATACGGGGTACCGGTGATACGCTTGAAGGAGTTGGTTCGGTGCGCGGGCTTTCCATCGACCAGCACCCCCCGGTAATGTTCGGTGAGCACAATAACGTTGATGTAACTTTGGAAGTACTGTTGTCGTGGTCGGTCGGGGGTTGATAGGGTATAGCGGGATCCGTATTGTTCTATAGGGGGTATCATGATCATGAAGGGATCGGTGTCGGTAGCATCTGAGTCAGCGCCTTTGCTATACTGGAACAACATGCAAGGTTTGGTTGCCGTAATGAACTTGTACTCATCTGAGGGGATGTCGCGTTCCATGAATCCGCCCGCCTGGAGAAGTTCCTGGTCGTTGGGATGGAACCTGACCAAGGTGTCGTCTTGTGACGCTACGATTCGGAAGAAGTCGCCTGCCTTTCGGCTGAACAGCGGAGCGGTGACAAACCTTCGTCCCCAGGTGCTCGTGGGCGTCAACATCTCTACCAAATGGTCGCAATAGCCGTGTTCTTTGGGTACATTGGCACATTCGTTACCGCTGTACACAGATACAACTTGAGTGGAGGCGATGCGGGTACCCGTGAGGTCTTCGGTGTGACTGAGTTGGAAGGTCTCCAGTCGGTTCATTTCAATGATCATTGTATCGCCATTTCGGTACACGGCACCTTGATAGACCAAAGGAACGTCCCTGGTCATTCGTACGGTGATGTACACGATGGTGTTGTCATAGATACCCACGATGCCAATGAGCGAATGTTGGCTGACGGTATAGGATATCGCGAAGTACTCAGTTCCTTGGATATCCGTCGGCAAAGCGAGGTAAGCGTCCGTGCTGTGGGGCATGATGTTCAATCCATAAACAACCATCTCGTTCTCTGCCGTCACCAGGATTCCCTTCTTTTCCTTCCTCGTACCTAAAAGTCACACATTGGCAGTTATAGGATGTTTGAAGATTTTTCATGAAAGTTTGCGCGTTCTCATAACTAAATGTAATCACACTTTCTACTGGTTTCATAAAGAATAACAAAAGATATAATCGATTAAATGATAAAGAATGGATTTGTATTTCGATATTCCTTTCTGAGCGGCGCTGATTGACTAACATACGTAGTCGAGATCACTTGGATGTCATGTTACTGGCAGGTCTGACAGTCTTTTATTCGCTCTATTTCAACGTATATTTAATAATGATGGTCATTTGGGAATACTAAGTTGGATGGAACTAAGCAAGGAAAGTTGAGAAAAGAATCGAACTTAAGCATCTGCTATCCCAGAGCTCTCGTAAGATGTAATATTTTCTTTCTGTTCTGATTTTTCGGGAGCTTTAGCAGCGATTACGAGTTCATGATTCGTCATTCCCGCGCGTTGCTTGCTCACGCCACCAGCCATAACTCGTGGTCGTCGAGCTTTTGAGTACGAGTCAGTGGTACGAGTTTGTTGATAAATTGCGTACTCGAAAGCCCAACGACTACGAGTTTCGTCAGATGGCGTGGACAAAAGCACCGAGTTTGGCGCGAAAATGATGAATCCTGTACTCGTTGTCACTCCTAAAGCTCCCTATCGCTCCTTACCTGTCATGCGCACTCTGATAGGCAGATCGACCCTCACCAATTCGTCGGGTTGCAGTGGTATCTCTTCCCTGTAGCTTATTCCAGGAGCGTGTATGGTCGCAACGGTGTTATTATCGGATGTAATAAACAAACTCACCGAACCAGCCTTCTTATTAAGATATTGTTGCATAAATCCAAGCATGAACTCCCGTCCACGATTGTCCGGTATGCCTAGTTTAAAAAAAATTGGAAAAGTTGAGCAAAATGATGAAAAAAACCTCATTTCGATCTTTGAGAACAAGAGCTTTGAAAATATCGCGACTCAATTTTGTAATTTTACTTGCATTGGTATGATCATCATATGATCAATTTTTTCGCAAGATAAAAATTGATCGATTGACAGATCAGTGCGAATTTAAATTGTTTATTAAATTGTGATCCTTACCGACGGTAAACTGATGATCAATAAGTGGATTGGAGTTTCCTTGGGGATCTTTGGCCCTAACCTTCACCCTGTGGGGGCCTTCGGGCACATCTTTGAGCACCAATTTTCCTTCGGTCCCGTTTCCACACCACTTGTAGTTATTGAAATCATCCAACGCGCACTCGAACACAGCTTCCTCGTTCACTGTCCACGTGATGATCGGGTTTCTATTCGTGAGACGAGGCAGCGGTCCGACATCAACAAGGAGTGGGGCGACCAAGTCTATAAGGCAAGCGAGAATTTACCAAAGTGAGTATAAATCACTTATTGATTCAGTGTTACTATAAGAGGAACCCTCACTATAAACCAAACTAACTTTATTTATACTGGATAGCTCTATCAGTTCTAAACTGTTCTTCCTAGAGGTCCAGTATGGATCATCTCATATTGATCCAGTGTTACTACAGGAGGAAACCTAAACCAAACTAACTTTATTTATACTGGATAGCTCTATCAGTTCTAAACTGTTCTTCCTAGAGGTCCAGTATGGATCATCTCATATTGATCCAGTGTTACTACAGGAGGAAACCTAAACCAAACTAACTTTATTTATACTGGATAGCTCTATCAGTTCCAAACTGTTCTTCCTAGAGACCCAGTAAGGATCATCTCATATTGATCCAGTGTTACTGCAGGAGGAAACCTAAACCAAACTAACTTTATTTATACTGGATAGCTCTATCAGTTCCAAATTGTTCTTCCTAGAGACCCAGTAAGGATCATCTCTTATTGATCCAGTGTTATTACAGGAGGAAACCTAAACTAAACTAACTTTATTAATACTGAATAGCTCTATCAGTTCTAAACTGTTCTTCCTAGAGGTCCAGTAAGGATCATCTCTTATTGATCCAGTGTTACTACAGGAAGAAACCTAAACTAAACTAACTTTATTTATACTGGATAGCTCTATCAGTTCTGTTCCTCCTAGAGGTCCGGTAAGCATAATTGTTGTCCAGTTAAGTGAAACCTAAGCCAAGATAACCTAAATTGTGTCATCGCCTATTAATCAGATGGTGTTGCCACCAGAAACTAACCTACAATCCATCTGGCTGCGATGGTATCACCAACATTACCATACTCATCAGTTCCCCTAACGTACAAGACATGCGGGCCATTTCTCCTCAAATTATCAGACCTCAACTGGGACTCGAATCCCTGTCCGCAAGGGAAGAAATTATTGAGACTGTCCAAAGAACAGTTAAACTTGGCTCGTTCGTTGCTTCGCCACGAGAACCTTACACTTCTACCACTTTTCTTCGGAACCGGTTGGTTGAAGAACAGAGTCGGACCCTTGGTATCTAAAAAAAGAAGACGTCATTGTGGCACGAATGTATTAAAAATGCCTTTAAAAAAGATGTTCTAAGTTAGTTGAGAGTGGCAAAGCTTTCTTTTAAACACACGTTATAACAACACCATGTCTGGTGACAAACGAAAAAAAAATTTCTTATTTTTCAAGAGTTGGGTATCTTCTTTTTAAACACAGTATAACAAACACCACGTCTAGTGACAAACTCAAAAAGAAGTTCTTAAAGTGCCTTTTAAACACGTAATAAACAAACAACATGCCTTGTTAGAAACTTAAAAAGAGAAGTATTCAGGTGTTGGCACGAAAGAGCAAAGAATTTTCATCCATAAACACTCCTAGGCCATTCATAACCTACCTACAATCCATTCATGGTGCAATGGTTTACCACGATTACCGACTTCATCTTCTCCTAAAACCCAGAAACGATGTTTTCCTTCAGGTAAATTCGTCTCCAGCCAGTTTCCTCTCAAACTCAAATTGCCGCATTTCTCCATATCTTCAATCTTCTCGTGGGCGCAGTAAAAGTCCGCGATCTCGTTAGATTTCCACCTGAATCGCACACGTTTGCCTGTCACATCTTTGACCTTCTTTCTCCAAGCTAAAACTGGTGGCGTGTTGTCTGAAATGAGGTAAACGTGGCAAACAAATAAGTAAAATACATTTATAAATACCATAACCATAGCAATAGCCATAGCCATATCTATAGCCATAGCCATAGCCATAGCCATAGCCATAGCATAGCATAGCATAGCATAGCATAGCATAGCATAGCATAGCATAGCATAGCATAGCATACTATACCATACCATACCATACCATACCATACCATATCATACCATACCATACCATACCATACCATACCATACCACACCACACCACACCACACCACACCACACCACACCACACCACACCACACCACACCACACCACACCACACCACCACACACACCACACCACACACACCACACCACACCACACCACACCACACCACACCACACCACACCACACCACACCACACCACACCACACCACACCACACCACACCACACCACACCACACCACACCACACCACACCACACCACACCACACCACATCATACCACTACCTTATACCTCACCATGTACCATACCATCTCATACCGTATCATATACAATATCATATACAATATCACACCTTACCATATAGAATCCCATCCCATCCCATCCCATCCCATCCCATCCCATCCCATCCTTCAAAGTACCACACAATCTCATAACACGCCAGTTATCAAGTACCACACCACACTGCAACGTTCAACCGCTCCTACACCTCAATTCACACAATTTTTACACTGGAAAATAAACACGTACCAACTACCCACGTATGAACAATTCTTATAGTATTTCCAAACTCATCCGTAGCTTCAACATAAAAGTTGTGTTGCGGTATATGGCGCCATCCGTCAAATTCTTTTTAGACGAGTTGCCCGAGTGTCCAACACCACAATCTACAAGATTGTTCGGGTCGGTGCCACATTTGAACTTCGTGGACTCCTTAGCTCGCCAGAAGAACGACACATCGCCGCCAGTTTTATCGGGAAGATTCGATGTAAAATCAAGCTCTGGAGGCTTGGAATCTAGGAAAAAAGCACGATTGAACCACAGCTAGAAAGAGCATTTTAAGACGACCTAAATTACAAAATTTAACAGCGAAATTTTGTGAAATGTGAAAAATGTAACCAGGCAAGCTACACTAAGTTTCTTTGGACGAGGCGAATAAAAACAACTTCTTTCGGCTCAAAACCGGCTATTTTCATCAAGCACACTATAAGAATGTACAAAATTACTATTTTTGCAATGTTACGCCTGTATTCTAACTCATTCAAACTCATTGAGTGGGAGATCTCAATCTTCTCATTAAAATTTTCCATAGCGGTATTTTCAGTCAAACAATAGCTTGAATTTCAATGTTTTACCATAAACCTTTTCAATGATTAAAAAAGAAGTTTAACATTGATCAGTAATAACAAAATTTCTCTGTCACACTCAGTAATGAGTCACACTCAATTCAAACTGAACTCATCTTTGTCACACTCAAAGAGTTTGAGTGCGAGCGAGCTTTTTGAATACAGGCGCTATTCTGACGTTCTAAGATGTCTTTCCTAGCTATAATTGGACATTTCGCTCTCCTTGCTATAAATCACGAAGTCACAAGGTTTTACGTACTGAATTGCCAGGCAGAAATACATAAAAAATGGTTAAAATTTACCCAGGCAGCCAGGGATGGACTACAACTAAACAAGACATTCCTAAGCTACTACATCGCAACATACCGACTCTCCAAGTGTGTTTCGTCCAAGGAGCAACATTGCCCAAAACATCCTCCGCTTTGATCCAAACCGTATGAAAACCATCTGACAGATCTTTCAATTTTAGCTCACCGGATCGACCCGCTCCACAATCCCTGTTGTCGAAAATGGAGTCCACAGCACATTGGAATATCGCGTTTTCGTTTGCCCTCCATTTCAACGTGATGTTGTGGGCTGAAACGCGTTCCGTGTTTTCATCCAATGTCACTATCGGCGGCTTGGTGTCTGTAGTGGATAAAGCAGCGAAGAAAATGTAAGATTGGTTCACTGGCATCAAAAGTAAACGCCTGACCGGAGTATTGAATAGCAAGTTCTAGAAAAGGCTGCCTAAAGTTTTAGGTCACAGTCAGTTACTGGAATTGAGAAAGGTTGAAAGCTATGAGCTAATGCACCGCTAAATTTCTTTATGTGAAATGAAAGATAACTGGCTGTGAAAAGCGAGGCCAAATATGACATCATAAAATTTGATAACAGAAACGGAGACAAAAACTGAAGTTTTTAATAATAATAATATTTTAATAAGGAGCTTTAGCAGTGACTACCAGCATAGGCAGCCGAGAAATCTATTTATACTCGGTCTTCGACTGCACTACCAGTACAAAATTCGTCATTTTCGCGTTGTTTGCTTACGCCATCAGCCAAAACTCGTAGTCGTGAAGCTTTTGAATTAAAGTTTGTCGATTAATTTCGTACTCAAAAGCTCAACTAATACACGTTTCGTCAGATGGCGTAAGCAAAAGCACCGAGTTTTGCGCGAGAATGACGAATCTTGTACTCGCACTCGTAGTGACGTAGTCGCTGCTAAAACTCCCTATTAAAAGACTGAAGTGCTGAAACTGACGTCACAGAGGAATCCTTAAACTGTGCTGACGTAGAGCTGACGTGTGCATGCGTGATCCAAACGCGATATGACGTGTTGACTTTTTCCCGCCAAATGCCAGTTATAATTTCAGATAGCTCAGTGTTTCAGATAAAGAAATTAAGTTCACCGGCATGCACAGGACTTCCCATCTGAATACTTTCCACAGGACTTTCCCATACTCACCAATTTCCCATCTGTACTCCACAGGGTTCGCTTGATTTCCGTTGTTGTCTGTTGCAAAGAGATAGAACACGTGTTTTCCGTCATCCAGTTTGGGTGATATCCAGTTCTCTCGCATACCACTGCCACACGAGGTCCCAGACTCGGCCAGGTCGACGGCACATTCGTAGTTCGCGTGCTCGTCAGACAACCAGTAAAACGACCCTGTGTCGTAGGTTGAACGTCTGGGAGGTCTACCGATCAGCCTCACCTGGGGAACTTTAGTGTCTAAAAAGAAAGAAATCATGAAGACGCTCAAACAAACAAAGATCGACCATGGGCGGACGCGCAGGGAGACCGACTGACAGAGAACGACCGAAGGATGGACGGACAGACAGAACGACCAATGGAAAGATGACAAACGGACCGATTGACCTACGGACAGAGATTGGCCAATGGATGGAGGGGGGACAAACTAATAAACCTACGGACAGAGACCGACTAATGGATGGAGGGTGGACAAACTAATAAACCTACGGACAGAGACCGACTAATGGATGGAGGGGGGACAAACTAAAAGACCTACGGACAGAGACCGACTAATGGATGGAGGGTGGACAAACTAAAAGACCTACGGACAGAGACCGACTAATGGATGGAGGGTGGACAAACCGATAGACCAAATATGAAAAACCTACCAACTTTCCAGCTGTGTGACTTGATTTGACCATAATCACCAAATGAATCTTTAGCTCGAACATACAACGTGTGATCTCCATCCGGGACGCTGTTGTTTGTCCAGGACCCTGTTGTGCCTGCGCCGCACGATCTCATATATCTCACATTGTCCAACGCGCACTCAAACTCCGCAGGTTTGTTTGATGTGGTCTTCCATAGGAGCGTGATGTCAGCGTCAGAGACTGTAGGCTGGTTTGGTAGAAACTCGACTTCCGGTTTGGTTTTGTCTGATAAACGGAAATAGGTTTGTCTGAACGGCAATTACTCAATTGAATATTTTTGCCCATTCGTTTATTTACACTGGATAGCTCTATCAGTTCTAAGCTGTTCTTCCTAGAGGTCCAGTAAGGATCATCTCTTATTGATCCAGTGTTACTACAGGAGGAAACCTAAACTAAACGAACTTTATTTATACTGGATAGCTCTATCAGTTCTAAATGTTCTTCCTAGAAGTCCAGTAAGGATCATCTCTTATTGATCCAGTGTTACTACAGGAGGAAACCTAAACTAAACGAACTTTATTTATACTGGATAACTCCATCAGTTCTAAACTGTTCTTCCTAGAGATCCAGTAAGGATCATCTCTTATTGATTCACTGTTACTACAAGAGGAAACTTAAACTGAACTAACTTTATTCATTAATTATTATATTGGATAACTCTATCGGTTCTAAATTGTTCTTTCTGGTCGGTCCGTCTCTTGTTGACCTAGTTTTACTACAGGAAGGAAAAAACTAAACTTACCAACTTCCCATCTGTGCGAAACCACTTTAGCATTATTCCCTAATTCGTCCTCCCCCAGAAGGTAGAACCTGTGCCGACCATCGGGAAGCGGTTCCGTCGTGAAGCGACCGTTCATGCCGAAGCCACACTTCTGCCGATATCGTAAACTGTTAACTGCGCAAGTGAAATTCGTCATTTCGTCCGAGCTCCATGTGAATGTCCATGATGCCTCCTTTGTCTTGCTGGGCAGCGGTGGCAAAAGTTTGATGGTTGGTGAAATCGTGTCTAAAAGAAAAATGATCCATCAGCTTTCAAAATTAAAACAACATTTCTTTCGATTTGTCGACTTGGTGGTCGATTTCTCGATACGAGCTTCATAATAATCCTACAGACGGTCTATATTTGTGTTGTCGTTACCAAAAATCCATGGAATTGCAATAGACCTTCTCATAATGATGTCAAACGCAGAATGCCTGATGTTATACACGAAGTTTGATTGGTTAAGCAGCCAGCTAAGCAACCATAACCAGCCAATCAAACTTCGTGTATTATCAGGTTTTGACGAGAAAGTCTATAACACGATTATCCAGGTTAATTGTATATTTTCTTACTGTTGAATTTGACTAGCCAATAGAGTTTCATTACTATAAGAACTATTTTCTTTCAATTTCCACAGTGTGGATTTTCAAAATTTCTTTCCCTGTCAAGTGGAAAGAATTTTGTTTCAAACCAATCAGCAAATTTGTTTACACTTTCAGTACCCCAATCAGAAATCAGAAATATTGACTACTTCTGGTAAAAAGGTACATTATTTATCATTTTACATGAAGTATTAGAAACTTGAGCATTCTGATTGGCTAAAAAAATTTCAACAAAATTTCTCGATTGGTCAAAACAAAATTCCTCCTTGTTTCCAGTGTTTCAACTCAGCTGCACTCAAACACATGTTTCGTACCTATTTCAATGCTCAACGAAATGGGCTCCCCAACGTTTCCCTTGTTATCACGTCCTCGTACTCGGAATCTGTGCGAACCAGATGGAATTTCATTCTGGGTGTAGCTTCCCCGCATGCCACTGCCACATCGTGTGTAATCGGCGTCGTTCAGCGAGCACTCGAAATATGCATATTCGTTCGAGGTCCAGCGAATGCGAGGCAGTCTTCTCGATCGAGTAGGATATTCTCCCACAAAACGTAGCCTTGGACCGCTTTCATCTAAAACGAAAACATGACAGTTTAAATGTGGAGATGTTTTACCCGTTTTTATCCAATATTCTTGTAATTTTTCGGCTGACCGCGTATAATCTGCTATATACTGTATGTGGTGTACCTACAAACTGAACTGGACTTAATATATGTTTTATCAGTTCTAAACTGTTCTTCCTAGAGGTCCAGTAAGGATCATCTTTTATTGATCCAGTGTTACTACAGGAAGAAACCTAAACTAAACTAACTTTATTTATACAGGATAGCTCTATCAGTTCTAAACTCTTCTTCCTAGAGGAAGATCCAGTGTTAGTACAGGAAGGATCATCTCTTATTGATCCAATTTTACTACAACAGGAAACCTCAACTAAACTAACTATACCATTACATCGCAGCTCAAAACAACAAAGTTCCTTTTTTCTCAACAGTACTTGGCTAGTTTAAAAATCGGCGTATCAATTTTCGTAGAAGTATTTCAGCCACAAACTGTCTTGGGTATATAATATAATACCCTTGACAGCAATAAAAGATTGAACTGTACACCTACCAACAACCCATGATCTTGAAATAAATTGACCTGTATTTCCCAATCTATCAGTACCGCGTACTGACAGCGAGTGGGAGCCATCGCTCAGGTCGCTTCCAGTCCACGAGCCACGCTCACCGCTACCACAATTAAAGATCACACCATCCTCTAGTTTGCACTCGAACGTTGCGTATTCTGTCGAGGACCACGAAAGTGTTGGGTCTCTGCCTGTTGTCTCCGGAAGGTCACCTGAGAATGTTATCTGAGGCGGGGATAAATCTAAAAAGGAAAAATGTAAAATGTTAATTCCAGTGAAAAGTTCAAACTTTGCTCTATTTAGTAGTGAAACGCAACATCCCAAAATAGCGTCTCCTATTTGCCTGTATTCAAAACGCTAACTCGCACTCAAAAACTGGAAAGGAAGGGAAGTGTTCATGAATGGAAAGATTAAAGGTTTCCTCCTGTAGTAACACTGGATCAATAAGAGATGATCCTTACTGGACCTCTAGGAAGAACAGTTTAGAACTGATAGAACTATCCAGTATAAATAAAGTTAGTTTAGTTTAGGTTTCCTCCTGTAGTAACACTGGATCAATAAGAGATGATCCTTACTGGACCTCTAGGAAGAACAGTTTAGAACTGATAGAACTATCCAGTATAAATAAAGTTAGTTTAGTTTAGGTTTCCTCCTGTAGTAACACTGGATCAATAAGAGATGATCCTTACTGGACCTCTAGGAAGAACAGTTTAGAACTGATAGAACTATCCAGTATAAATAAAGTTAGTTTAGTTTAGGTTTCCTCCTGTAGTAACACTGGATCAATAAGAGATGATCCTTACTGGACCTCTAGGAAGAACAGTTTAGAACTGATAGAACTATCCAGTATAAATAAAGTTAGTTTAGTTTAGGTTTCCTCCTGTAGTAACACTGGATCAATAAGAGATGATCCTTACTGGACCTCTAGGAAGAACAGTTTAGAACTGATAGAGCTATCCAGTATAAATAAAGTTTGTTTAGTTAAGGTTTCCTCCTGTAGTAATGGATCAATAAGAGATGATCCTTACTGGACCTCTAGGAAGAACAGTTTAGAACTGATAGAGCTATCCAGTATAAATAAAGTTGGTTTAGTTTAGGTTTCCTTCTATAGTAACACTGGATCAATAAGAGATGATGACCTCAAGAAGAACAGTTTAGAATTGATAGAGCTATCCAGAAAAATACATGCTATTGCAGCTATCTATAAACTCACCAACGGTAAACTTATGCCCAGCTGTTGGTCCTCTGTTGTTTTGATCGTCTGTACCATAAACCACAAACTTGAATTCGCCATCAGGTATATTTCGTCCAGTCCACTGACCGCTAGTACCTTCACCACAATCCATGAATTCAAAGCGATCGTCATCAATGCGGCACTTAAACTTGGCTGATTCAGACGACGTCCATTGGAACGTTACGTTGCCTCGTGTCAGAGTTGGTTGGTTAGGACGGAAGGAAATCGATGGTCCAACTGAATCTAAGTTGAGACAATTTTTTGTTAATATCATGTGGAGGAAACTGTGTTTACGAGTTACTGATTGCACAGTGGCCACTCCATGCGCATTATTTAACAGAACAAACTTTATTTCTATGGGATAGCTCTAAACTGTTCTTCCTAGAGGTCCAGTAAGGATCATCTCTTATTGATCAAGTTTTACCACAGGAGGAAACCCAAACTAAACTAACTTTATTTATACTGGATAGTTCTATCAGTTCTAAACTATTCTTCCTAGAGGTCCAGTAAGGATCAAATGTATCTAGAATAAGCCCAAAATAAGGAACTGTATAGATAGTGACCAGCTCGTTAATTCAAAAAGAATGGACCCAAAATATACTGTACAGACTCTGTAGAAAACGAGATTTACTTACCAACATTGAAACTATGATGCGCTGGTTCACCAAGATTGTTATTACTATCTCTCCCTCTCACGGATAGCCGATGTCTGCCATGCGGTATATTCTGACCATTCCATTCACCGCTGCGTCCGCGTCCGCACTCCTCGTAATCACCGCCATCAAGAGAGCACTCGAAATCTGCATCTTCGTCAGAGGAGAACGTGAATTGTGGGTTTCTTCCAGTTACACTTTCAGCATCGTCAAACCTTACGGTGGGACCGCTATTATCTGTAACAAAAGATAAGCGTCGATTATAAAACGTGTATTATAACAAGAATTTGGGTAAATTGGACTTTCTTTGCAATTTGGCACCATTCCTCCCGATGAAGACCGAAAATCGATCATTCTAAGACGGTTTTTTAACCATGCCGTGTGAAATAGCTGAAAGAACTGGGACTAGTTGTCAAATATGAATCCATTTCTCGGTTGAAACAACTTAATGTCTCTTCAAATTAACGTAATTTCGTTTTCAAATTAATGTCACAGCTATAGTTCTTATAACTAAACATAATCACAAAATTTCGAGCAGTTTCATAAAGAATAACAAAAGATATCGTCGATTAAATACAGCATGCACAATGGATTACTATTTCGACAAACCTTCTAAGCCTTTATTATAGCAATTAATTTCGCTTTTCTTGTTGTCATTTAGACATCAAAGATGAATCACAGTATATCAAACAAAGCCTCGCAACCTCAACTCTCCCGCCCCATCCCCGTTTAACCATATAATAACTATTTTATCAACTTACCAACAGTGAATGTATGCTCAGTTATTGGCCCTCTGTTTTTCATATCATCCACGCCATAAACTTTAAACTTAGTGGGACCATCTGGGACGTTGTCCGTTGTCCACGTGCCGCTCGTGCCTTTCCCGCAATCAACGAAGTTCACGCGACCATCGCCGACAGCGCATTTGAATTCGGCAGGTTCAGATGATTTCCACGAGAATGATGGATTTTTCTTTGTAACAGTCGGGGTGTCAGGGGGGAGTGTGATAACGGGTCCAGTTGCATCTTTAAATAAAGTAAAAAATAATCATAAGAGTGTTCTATTACCGTTACTAAAAGAACTGCAAGGATCTATTATTGATCAAGTGTAACTACAGGAGAAAAACTAAACTAAACCAGGAAGAAACCTAAACGAAACTAACTTTATTTATACTGGATAGCTCTATCAGTTCTAAACTGTTCTTCCTAGAGGTCCAGTAAAGATCATCTCTTATTGATCCAGTGTTACTACAAGAGGAAACATAGACTAAACTAACTTTATTTATACTGGATAACTCTATCAGTTCTAAACTGTTCTTCCTAGAGGTCCAGTAAGGATCATCTCTTATTGATCCACTGTTACTACAGGAGAAAACCTAAGCTAAACTAGCTTTATTTATCTGTAAACAACTCTAAAAGCTCTAAGCCGTTCCTCCTAGAAACCACAATAGGATCATCTTCCTCTTTGATACAGAATATAACCAGCAATTCTTCAGTTCCTGCCCCAACCTCAGATGTCATGAACTGGCTACTCACCAACATTGAAATCTAATTCGGACACAGGTCCCCTGTTGTTCATCTCATCCACACCATACACGATTAATTTATGCGGACCATCCGAAACTCTGTTTCCAGTCCACGCGCCGGTCTCCCCATCCCCACAATCCACCTCGTTAAAGCTGTTCTCCATGCGGCATTTGAATGTCGCGGGCTCGGACGATGACCACGTGAACGTTGGATTATTTCGCGTGTTTTTCGGCTGTTCATCGAATGTTATGTCTGGACCAACAGAATCTTAAAACGAACATTCAACGTGTTGGAAACTTATTTTATTGACAAGATAGTTTAAACTCCTGGGGCCGTTTAGCTTAAACGGTGGATAAGCCAAAGTTTAAAAACACTCTCATACATCTTGTGAATGACTGAACCTGCATCTCATGCATTTAATATGTACTTCCAATGACAATTAAACTATCCACATCGAAATATTTCAGCTCAGTTGTTCAATAAATAGATAATTTGGTTTTCCATTTTTAACTTATCCACCGTTTAAGCTAAACGCCTTTCGAACAACTGGCCCCAGAGCCGGTTGTTCGAAAGGCGTTTAGCTTAAACGGTGGATAAGTTCAAAATGAAGACAAAATTATCTATATATTAAACAACCGAGCTGAAATATTTCGATTTAAATGGTTTAATTTTCAAAGGAAGCATATATATACTTAATGCATAAGATGCAGGTTCAATCATTCACAAGATCACAAGATTCACAAGATTATGAGAGTATTTTTCAACTATCGTTTAAGCTGAACGCCTTTCGAAAGACCGGCTTCTGTACGGCAAACCGTGTACATAAAAACAATACCATATATAACTAAAGAGAAATAAATGGTTTTATGAAATTTTGCAGCGGATGTTTGAGCCTGTTCAAATGTCTATCGACTTCAAAGATGAAAAAGTATAAAACACCGTCCATTTTAAATTTGTCTAACTTCAACTGGTTAACCATCTCCACAAGTTTATATAATTGTATTTTTCATTACGGCGTTTAAAATAATATTTAACTGGGCATTGTTTTAGAATAGAATTTGGAGAAAAAAAAGGAAGATTGTGACAAACACGTCAGAGAGTTTGGAGCAGTGAACTTTATATCGTTCCAGTTCACATATAGAGTTCACTGGCAGTACAAAGCTCAAAAACCATGACCAGCCGACAATTTAAAAAAGTAAAGTAAAAAGCAAATTCCGAATAAACAAGACATCTTGAGAATCAAAATATAATTCAAACAAGACACAGATTGAGACTGTCGAGATAAATAAAGTCGAAAATTTACAGTCTCGATCTGTGTCTTGTTTGAATTATATTTTGATTTTCAAGATGTCTTGTTTATTCGGAATTTGCTTTTTACAGTACAAAGCTCGTAAGCTCAATCCCAAGTGACATAATTTCCATCTAGCACGACGAAGTTCCACGAAAAGCGTGTTATCGTGAAAATTCATTGCTCTTACCGACATCAAAGATGTATGGTGTCCAGTCTCCAACATTACCACGGTTATCCGTGCCGCGCACCCAGAACGTGTGAGGACCATTAGGGATATTCAGCCCGTTCCATCTACCAGATGTTCCAGTATCACACCTGACATTTCTCGATTTATCATCCAAGGCGCAATCAAAGACGGCATCTTCAGAACTAGTCCAGGTCACCCGAGGACTCGAGCTAGTCTTGACGGGAAGGGACGAGGGGAATGTTATTTCTGGAGCCGTTGAATCTAAGAATAATTGCAAGATAATGGTAAAAAGCTCGATTATTTAAAACTGGATAGCTCTATCAGTTCTAAACTCTTCTTTCTAGAGGCCCAGTAAGGATAATCTCTTATTGATCCAGTGTTACTACAGAAGGAAACCTGAACTAAACTAACTTTATTTAATCAACTGTTCTTCCTAAAGTTCCAGTAGGGATCATCGCTTATTAATTCCGTCTCGTATACAGCTCTAATACTGGACTCTCTACTCTAGGGCAGAGAGAGCTGGGTGTTTATGACTTCATGCTTACCAGTATTCCATCGTACACTGACTGGATCGCCTTTGTTTCCAACCTTATCAACCGACTCCACGGTGAACGTGTGTTCTCCGTCGTTCAGATCTGGCGTTGTATAATCTCCTTCCGTGCCATCCCCACAGGGGACTTCGACATCATCGAGCGTACACTTGAACGTGCCTTTCTCGTCGGCAGACCAGGTAATTCTTGTTTGTTTGTTCTTTGTCTCGCGCGGGACTTGGTTTGTTATTTGGATTCTAGGACCTCTTGTATCTGAGAAAAACAATTTGAAACTCAGGAAATGCTCGCACAACGAACTCGATCTTTTTCAAACTTTGCATTCAATTCTGGAAGGCGACGATTCTTTCTTAATATTAGGGAACATTAGATTCGTCTCGTACGACTTTTAAATCTGGTACAACTACCGAATGCATCCAAAAATCTCAGCAAAGCGAGTTATCCCGGTAAGGCGAGGTAAAAAGCACATCACATCAAAGGCTTAACCTGATTAGTCTTTCATTGTATTCAGTTTTCACCTCGCCTAGCCTGGATAACTCGCTCCATGTAACCAGGCCCTCACACTCATTGTTTTACCACTGTACAATGAGATTTCTCCTTTTCCATCAATGGAAAGATTTAAGGTAAAAAAAAATATTCATTACAACCCTTATTCGAGTGGAAATACCGCCATGGAAACGTTATGAGAAGATTGAGATCTTCTACTCAATGAGTTTGAACGTGAGTGAGCTTTTCGAGTACAGGCGTAAAGCCTGTGTTCAAAAAGACATGGAAATTCCGTTATTACAGAGCAGTGTGAAGTTCCTTTCTTAATCAAGGTTGAGTGGAAACACCACTCGAGTGGAAATACCTTCATGGAAATGTTACGACGTCATTAAAATCTAACAGCACTGGCCTAATTTGGCCCTTTTTCTAAGCGTTTTCTAATACCCAACGAAGCTGCTTCAACATCCTCACCTGTTGACCACCTTACTCTCTGTTCTGTTCCCCTGTTACCCAAGGAATCCACAGCATTCACTTCAAAGGAATGAGGACCATCGGGCAAGCTGGTTGTAGTATATTGGCCAGTAGTTCCTCTCCCACAATTCACAACGCGGCCATCAACCCTACACTCGAAATTGGCTGGTTCACTTGACGTCCACGTGATGGTTTGTCTTCTGTCGCTAGTCTTGGGGGGATTATTGCTTGTTATTGTTATTCCCGGCCCTCGTTTGTCTAAAAACAAGCAACGGAAAAAGACAAGAGTTGGCAGAAAAGTGCACTTACAAAAAGAATAATTTGATTTTGAAATTTGGGAGGAAGGGGGAGGTGGCGGGATGTGGGGGGAAGTTGGGGGGAGTTGGGGGGACGTGGGGATATATGCCCCAAATTCTTCCCAATTTCCCCCCCCCTGTCCCTGCGTTTAATAACCTATTCTTTCGGTAGCAGTCGATGACATCGGTCTCTTACCTGTAGTCCACGTTACAACTCTAGGCGCCCCCTTGTTACCCAATCCATCCACAGGAGTAACTTCAAACTTATGGTTACCGTCAGGCAGGTTAGGCGTGGTGTACCCCCCGGTTTCACCGGATCCGCAGTTCACAACCGTGTCGTCCAGTTTGCACTCAAAGTCTGCGGGCTCGTTTGACTCCCAGGTTATTGTCTGTCTCGGGTTGTTCGTTCGCGATGGATTGTTGCTCGTTATTTCAAGGATGGGACCAGTTGTGTCTAAACGTAATACGATAAATGTCTTCGGTTATTAGAGAGCTTTAGCAGTGACTACGACTACGAGATTCGTCATTCTCGCGCGTTGTTTGCTTACGCCATCAGCCAAAACTCGTAGTCGTTGAGCTTTTGAGTACGAAATTTATCAAAAAACTCGTACTCAAAAGCCCAACGACTACGAGTTTTGGCTGATGGCGTAAGCAAACAACGCACGAGAGTGACGAATCTCGTACTCGTAGTCGTAATCGTAGTCACTGCTAAAGCTCCCTAATATTGTAGCCAGCGAGGAGCCTGGCAGGAATCAAATTCTCAATACAAAGATTAATGCCCAATAAATAACTTTTTACGTTCTTTTCAAATGCATGAAGATCCCACGAGTGATATAATAAATACGAAGAAAACAGTAATACTACCTTAGTGTTACATGACATACCTTTTGTCCACCTCACGAACTGCGGTGAACCCCTGTTACCCACTTTATCCACAGCATTCAATTCAAACGTATGTCTTCCATCGGGCAAGTTACCCGTCGTGTAGTCTCCCCTCGTTCCTTTACCACACTCCACAACTCTGCCATTCAGTTTGCATTCAAAATCAGCCTTTTCATCTGTGTCCCAGGTAATTTTGTATGTTGGATCGCTGGTTTTCGAAGGATATGTCCCTCGTATTGCAACGACGGGTGGTCGTCGATCTACAGAAATCAAAGAAATCAAAAACAGGCCAGTTAGAAATGACTGAGCTATGCTGTATGAGTAGTCTGGTTTAGGTTTTTTCCTCCTGTAGTAACACTGGATCTATAAGAGATGATCCTTACTGGACCCTAAGGAAGAACAGTTTAGAACTGGTAGAGATATCCAGTATAAATAAAGTTAGTTTAGTTTAGGTTTCCTCCTGTAGTAACACTGGATCAATAAGAGATGATCCTTACTGATCCTTACCGCATTTGATCATATATTAGCATGTTAATTTGCGCATTATAAAATTTTTAAATATTATTATTATACATTAAAGTAGTAAAAGCAATTTGATTGGCTAATAGTTGACAGATAAATCGCGCAATCACGCAAAATTCAGTTATAACTGAGTTATCTGCAAGTGAGCTTGCGGTGGTTAACAAGCGGTATTCATTTGAATTTATTTATGTATTAATAATTGATGTATTTTTTGATGTTGCTATTAAATAAGCTTTTTCATTCGTTAATACTATGTTTACTATTCTGCATATGTATAATATTCGGCGGGGCTGATAACGCTTACCTCGACCTTGATAACTCTGCATATCAATAAACCGAATTCAATAATTGTTTATTATTATTACTGGACCTGGTAGCCAAAGTCTTTAGTAGAAGAATGATGGCTTTTTGGCCTTACACACCTGATGTCCACTTCACGACCTGAGGTTCACCCTTATTGCCGACTCCATCCACAGCGTTTACAGAAAACGTATGTTCTCCGTCAGGTAATATGGGAGTGGTATATCTACCATTCAGTCCAGACCCGCAACTTACAACCTTACCATCGATGGTACATTCGAACGTAGCCGGCTCGGTTGAGCTCCATGTAATTGTCTGTCTCGGATCGTTCGTTGCCGTTGGATTATTGCTAGTTATTGAGACATCAGGACTTTCGTTGTCTGAAAAACAACAATAAGAGACGATGCTTACTGCACCTCTAGGATGAACAGTTTAGAACTGATAGAACTATCCAGTAGAAATAAAGTTAGTTTAGTTTAGGTTTCCTCCTGTAGTACCACTGAATCAATAAGAGATGATCCTTACTGACCACTAGGAATAATAGTTTAGAACTGATAGAGTTATCCAGTATAAATAAAGTTAGTTTAGTTTAGGTTTCTTCCTGTAGTAACACTGGATCAATAAGAGATGATCCTTACTGGACCTCTGGGAAGAACAGTTTAGAACTGATAGAGCTATCCAGTATAAATAAAGTTAGTTGAGTTTAGGTTTCTTCCTGTAGTGACACTGGATCAATAAGAGATGATCCTTACTAAACCTGTCAAGTAAATGACCACTTACCAACATTCCAATTGAAACGAGCAGGTTCGCCGGTATTGTTATTTTTGTCAACACCCCGCACAGAGAACGTGTGTCTACCATCAGGAACATTTTCCCCGGTCCACAATCCGTTCAATCCCTCTCCGCAATCCTCATAATCTTGTCCATTCAGTGAACACTGGAAACGGGCACTCTCCGAGGATGTCCATCTTATTTGTGGCTTGGAATTTGTCGGTGTTGGATTCGTTCGGAAGGAGATCACAGGAACGGTGTTGTCTGCAACGTTTTACAAACGAATTAGTTTTGTTTGTAATGCACGAGACTGCAGGGGCGTATGAGGAATCCATCTCCAGATTGGGGTGGGGGGGCATGAGGAATCCATCTCCAGATTGGGGGGGCATGAGCAATCCATATCCAGATTGGGGTGGGGGGCATGAGGAATCCATCTCCAGATTGAGGGGGGGGGGCATGAGGAATCCATATCCAGATTGGGGGGGCATAAGGAATCCATATCCAGATTGGGGGGGGGGCATGAGGAATCCGTATCCAGATTGGGGGGGCATGAGGAATTCGTATCCAGATTGGGGGGGGGCATGAGAAGTCCATATCCAGATTAGGGGGGGGGGCATGAGGAATCCATATCCAGATTGGGGGGGCACCAGTTTCCAGGGGCACTTTTGGGTAATAAAAAGGGCAGCTAACGCGGTTTATATTTATGCTCTAAAAATTTTCCTGTGTGTACTTTTGCAAGGGTGTAAATAAAGTGATTTTTAACCGACATTCAGTTGGAGAATTTAGTGCCCAGGGGCAAACACCAATTTGTGAGGGCTCTTTTTCTAGGGGATTTGTTAACCCTTAATTTTTTTCACTCGAATCCCCCTTAAATCTGGGCCCTGGGCCAGCACACGTGACACTTACCGACTTCAAATCTGTGTTGCGCGTATGGTCCTCTATTGTTAAACGAATCGGTGCCGTAAACTATGAACACGTGTGACCCATCCGGGATATTCTCCCCAGTCCACCTGCCGTTAGCACCATCCCCACAATCCACTAGGTTAAAGCTGTTATCAACACCACATTTGAAGTCGGCGTCTTCGGAGGATGTCCATCTAAACGTTGGATTGCTTTTCGTAACCTTTGGTGTGTCCGGTGGGAATGATATGACTGGGCCGTCTCCATCTGCAAGTGGAGAAAGTTTTTTACATGTTTCTAATAGGCTCAATTAATACGGTTTGAATAAGTGATCATTCTGAAACTTGAACTAGCAAACCAAAGGTATCGAGGTTCGACTTCCATCGTGGTCAAGCCTTACAGGAAGTATAAAACTGTTTCAGACGTCAACTCTTTATGCACTGAAACTAATATAATTGAGCTCAAGTCCTTGTTTAGTACAATTAGAAAGTCTAGCGGCAAAAAACTTTGCGAAATAACGTCGCACGCTGATATTTTTCGTATTTTTCAACATTTTACAGCTGAACTTTCCTATTTTACTAATTTTGGAATGCTCATTTCTGCTGTGCATCTCAGAACCGATTAATTTTGTCTAGTTCAGGATGTAGTTTAACAGGGAAATGGTCCCTTGTTCTTTGTCGTATTATTTGTGCGTACAATGTAGCCGTATAAATTATCTCAATTCGGATTTTCTCGGTTCTAATGGGACTGGATTCGGGATCAAGTTTCTCGGATTGCATTGGACTCGGATTTATCAATCAATTTTTTTCGGGATCAAGTTTCTCGGATTGGATTGGACTCGGATTTATCAATCGATTATTAAAAATACATCATTTTTTAAACCAATTAACGTTTGGAGCAAACAGATGATTTTATTTTGCTTGTTGAATGTTGATTAAACATTTAACAAGTTGGAGCCAGAAGACGGACATTTAACTGTTTGAAACGTTGCTAAAATAAAACATAAAAACCTCTTGCGGAATCCTGTTTTGAAACTAAATTAAATTATGTCATTAACAATGAACAGAGGTAGATAAGTTCCAATATAACCAAGGAGTAGCGTGGCAGCGTCTTCAAACAACTTAGCATCAAATGTGGTATAACAACTGCCTAAATAGACAAAACACTTCTCGACGTTTCGACCTGAGGGCCTTCGTCAGGAGAGATAGTATGAGAGTTAGTACGAAGGCCCTCAGGTCGAAACGTCGAGTGTTTTGTCTATTTAGGCAGTTGTTGTACCACATTTGATGCTAACAATGAACAGAGGTTAAAGTTTTAGAAGGAAAATTTTCTTACCAGCTTCAAAAGTGTGACGAGCCCATTCGCCCACATTGCCATTTCTGTCAGTACCTCTCACCGAGAACGTGTGGGGACCTTTGCGTACTTCAAAGGTCATATCCTTCGATGTACCCTGACCGCACGGGATTCTCTGCTCGCCGTCAAGGTCACATTCATAGTACGCGTATTCCGAGCTAGTCCATGACATCGTCGGTTTTCTGGAGGTTTCAATGGGTAGATTGGGATCGAATGAGATCACTGGACCGCTTGAGTCTGGAATAGACAGCATGGTAAGAATGGAGTGAATAAAGAGTCTTTATGACCGGCGATGAAATAGCTGTTTGGAACCGTTGTAAAAAAGTACACTGCAGGGGCCGGTTGTATCAAGCCCGTGTAGCTTAAACGGTGGATAAGTTCAAAATAGAAAGCAAGCCTGCCGTTTTATTCAAGAAGCAAACAAAATGTTTTTGACCTTAATACAAAGATACTGTTTACAGCTACATATTCAGTGCATAATATTCAAGTTGACTCATTCAAGAGAGTTGTAAGAGTGTTATTTAATTTTGACTTATCTACCGTTTAAGCTAAACGGGCTTGATACAACCGGGCCCTGAAACACTAAATTGGTTACCAATTTTTTTATTGGTTAAAACATTAAAAACGTGGTTTAAACAACCAATTTTTTGGTTGTTTTCACCAAATAAAATTGATCAAAGAGGGACTGATGAATCTTAGCCAACCAACTTTAAATTAGTTGTTTTAACCACCTGATTTTACAGAGTATTTTGGAAAAGGTATATGAAATTAAAACAGCCTAGGAGTTTCATACAGCGAGCCGATAGGTATATCGAATTCATGCTTTCGAAAACATTCTTCTTATCAACGATAGTCGATAGAAACACTTCGAAATACCTGTTACCCAGTTGGCAGTCACAGGCGTTCCTTTGTTACCCAATTCATCCACCAGGTTCAGCTCGAACTTATGGGGTCCATTGGAGAGTGGCTCTGTCGTAAATTGACCGGTGGAACCAGAACCGCAGCGGACTGTTTTGTCGTCAACGGTACACGTGAAGTTCGCTTTCTCGTTGGAATACCAGGAGAGCCGCAGTCGTTGCTTGTTCGTGGTTTCTGGGACATTGCTAGTCAAAAATGCTCGGGGCCCAGTCGTATCTAGCGATGAGACATACAAAGATTGCTACGTTTAGTTGGAAAGCCCCGGGGGCAGCAGAGAAAACTGTCCTCATGCCTTTTACCAGCAGAAAAACCGGGACAAGGGGGTAAAGAATACTGAAAGCCCCGGGGGCAGCAGAGAAAACTGTCCTCATGCCTTTTACCAGCAGAAAAACCGGGACAAGGGGGGTAAAGAATACTGAAAGCCCCGGGGGCAGCAGAGAAAACTGTCCTCATGCCTTTTACCAGCAGAAAAACCGGGACAAGGGGGGTAAAGAATACTCTTTCATTTTAAAACGTAGCATCCTTGGTTGCAAAATTTCGACTTTGATCACAAAAACTTTGACAGTAAAAAAAGAGCCCCATATCACTCACCGACAGAGAACACGTGTCTAGCATGTGGACCAACGTTTCCAGCTTTATCTGTTCCCTGTACGAAGAAAGCGTGTCGACCTTCTCGTACATTACTTGCCGTATATTCACCATTAAAACCGTCGCCACAAGGCCTATAGTTCAGCGTGGAGTCGATAGCACATTTGAACGTCGAGTTTTCCGACGAACGCCATGTGAACGATGGATCTCTGGTGCTATAAGCCGTTGTTTTTGTGGTTATTTCAACATTTGGAGGTGTGTTATCTGCAGAAAAAAGGTTAAAAAGGCTTTTGTACATCGCTGTTTCAAATTAGTTTACACGGGCCGTTTGTTGACACTGTATAAAATCTTAATTTATGTAATTATATTATTAAGGCGGTGTTAAGGCCAGCGCAAACTAGAGCTACAGAATACCTATCAGAAGAATAACTCTATGCGATATTGCTAAATTTTGGCAGGGGGGTGACTGCCTCAAAAAAATGCACTTGCTAAGTGACGAATCATGACGAATCACACTTACGAAATAAGTACAGGAGTTCTACTTCTGGTAGGTATTCTGTGCTAGAGCTATGTGCAGTTAGCAAAAAGTTATTCGTGGTCATTGGCGTACAAGCCAGTTGCTCTTGTGTGCGGCCGACTTTTCGGGCGACTGGCTTACGCCAATGACCACGAATGACTTTTTGCTAACTGCACATAGCTCTAGTAAGCGCCGGTCTTTACAGTATGCAACTTTCCTCGCAAAATGTAATGCAATTCTACTTCTGAGGCATCTAAAGTTATCAAATACGAACATTTCATACGATCTGCTAATGTTTTCTTAGCATTTTGAACACTCTTCACAAATTAACATCCCTCAAAATTAAAATTGCGATTATTGCATTGCAAGTTGCAAGGAAAATTGCACCGCCTTTACATTAATTATTGTTGACAAAATTGCAGAAAAATTTTTCGCGTTCAAATTATCACGTAAATTTGGTTGACTATGAGTCACCATAGCATTCGCTCCAGCTTCGAACATTGAGTTCAGTGTTTGTTATGAAGACACACTCTTCACCAATCTTACTACTCACCCACATCAAATGTTCGCGAAGCTGGGCTACCCGTATTTCTGCGCATGTCCCGACCACGAACGTAGAATGTATGCCGACCATCGGAAAGATCGTAGAACTGTCGACTACCACTCGTACCAGACCCACAATATCGCCACGCGGTAGGATCGTCAATAGCGCAATAGAAATAAGCTCGTTTATTTGATGTCCACTGGAACAACACTCTTCTCCGTCTCAAACGTGGAGCATCTAATGAAATAACTGGACCAGTGGCGTCTAGATAACCGTAAACGATATTTACTAACAACTTGTTGACAATTAGAAACTATTATTCTCACATGCTCTTCGACATACTTCAAGCAATAGTGTGATTTAGGGTAAAGGGGTTCCCTGCTCTCGAGGATTCTGAGATGAATGTTGAACTAAACAGTACACTGGATGCTGAATTGAACATTGAACTGAACACTGAACTGAACATTGAACTGAACACTGAACTGAACACTGAACTGAACATTGAACTGAACATTGAACTGAACACTGAACTGAACACTGAACTGAACAATGATGTAATAAACACTAAGCTCTGAACTGGTAATTGAACATCAAACGCAAGATCAAGAGCAAGAGCCTACCAATATTCCACGTGTGCTCAATAGGCCCTCCCACATTTCCATTGGAATCGGTTGCTTTTACGGAGAACTTGTGGCTTCCACCAGGGACGTTCTCTTTTCGCCATCTTCCATCGTATCCGCCACCACAGGCTTCATATTCGCTATCATCCAACGAGCATTTAAAGTTAGCTTGTTCACTTGAAGTCCAGCCAAATTGTGGTGAAGTATCTGAGCTGTGTGGAAACTGATTGAACTCTATTTGTGGTGGTACACTGTCTGTCAAAAAAGAAGCAAGCAAACTGTTTCAACTTTCAAAACCAAATCCATCGTCCGGTCTCTCTTATAGCATTGATTTGTGAATACTAAAAAAATTGGAGCCCTTTTCTTCAAGCAGCCAAAATGGTCAAACCGGTCATATTTCAAATTGAATAGAGTATTTCGTTACGAATATGGCGTTGAGACTTTTATTTTTGTGCAAGGCAGATGTAAATAACGATATACTTGAATGCAGAGTTCTTGAAACACTCTAAAATACCAGTAATCTGTCTACACTGAACTTCAACAGGACCAGTCTGGCCGTTTTTAAAAGCGCCCCAGGTGAAAAACAAACAAACTTTGTGCTACCTTGTGTCCAGGTGAAGGTATGCCGACCACGGTTTTCTGTTTTATCTTTGCCTTCAATAACAAACGAGTGGGGACCATCTGGTATATTATCACCAGTCCACGTTCCAGAATCTCCCTCGCCACAGTCGAAGAATGTGCGATAATCCAAGGAACATTTAAATTCCACATCCTCACTGGAGGTCCACTCAATGGTAGGATTAGAGGAGTTCGTCCTGGGCCTGGATGAGATTTGGATCGTAGGAGCTGTGTTGTCTACAAATAGGTGAATAAGTATAAGTAGGTGAGGTATGTGAAGGGAAGGTGGGGTGAGACAAAGTAAGGTGAGTTGGAGGGGGGGCGAGTTGAGATGGGATAAGGTGGGGTGAGGAGATAAAGTACGATGAGGTGGGGTGAAATGAGTTAGGATAAGGTGATCTAAAGTGGGATAAGGTGGGGCGAGTTGAGACAAGGGAAGGTGGGGTGAGTTGAGATAAGGGAAGGCGGGATGAGTTGAGATAAGAGAAGGTGGGATGAGTTGAGATAAGAGAAGGTGGGATGAGTTGAGATAAGGGAAGGTGGGGTGAGTTGAGACAAGAGAAGGTGGGATGAGTTCAGATAAGGGAAGGTGGGATGAGTTGAGATAAGGGAGGGTGGGGTGAGTTGAGACAAGGGAGGGTGGGGTGAGTTGAGATAAGAGAAGGTGGGATGAGTTGAGATAAGAGAAGGTGGGATGAGTTGAGATAAGAGAAGGTGGGATGAGTTGAGACAAGAGAAGGTGGGGTGAGTTGAGACAAGGGAGGGTGGGGTGAGTTGAGACAAGGGAAGGTAGGATGAGTTGAGACAAGGGAAGGTGGGGTGAGCTGAGGCAAGGGAAGGTGGGTGAGTTGAGATAAGAGAAGGTGGGATGAGTTGAGATAAGAGAAGATGGAGTGAGTTGAGACAAGCGAAGGTGGGGTGAGTTGAGACAAGGGGAGGTGGGGTGAGTTGGAGGTGAAATGAGTTAGGATAAGGTGATCTAAAATGGGGTGATATCAGATAAGGTGGGGTGAATTAGGATAAGGGAAGGTGGGGTGAGGTTAATTAAGGAAACACAAATCAAGGTAGATAAATTGCACACATGCAGTTTATCAACCAATCCTCACTAAGTTATGATGCAAACATACCAACACTGAAACTGTGGGTAGATGGAGTACCAACGTTGTTATTACGATCTCTTCCACGCACAGATAACTCATAATCTCCATCTGGTTTTGATCTCTGCCAAGCTCCGGTATCTCCCGCGCCACATTGTTGGATGTCTTGAGTGAATCCATCAAGGGAGCATTCAAAGTTCGCGGGCTCACTAGATTTCCACGTGAACCTGGGATATCGCAATGTAATCTTGGGTTGATTTGGATCAAATGTGATCGCCGGGCCTGATGAATCTGTAGGACAAATATCACAGATTTATACAAAGTTATTTATTTACAGGGTGCGAGGTGAATATCGCTGGATAAAAACAGAGACGAAGTTTAGATTTTTAATAATTATCCAGTCCAAGGCATATAATTGTTTTAATTACAAAATTTGTTCAATTCTTAAAAGGAAATCCGTTGAAGAGAATACATTTCTTACAAACGTAAACAAATTTAAGATAACTAGACTTTCTCACGATGACGAATATGTCACCATTTTTGGGGTACTTTTTTTCAAAACCGTCAGCGTAAAACCTCGTAACGGCGACTATCTTTATTTATAGGCTGAATTTATTCTTCAAATGGTCTGTTCATTCGAAAAAAATGCTTTTCATGTTGTTATAAATTTATAAACCCATTTGAGAAAATTGAAACCATCCCAAAAACGTCATCGTGAGAAAGGCTAATTAAGGTAAGGAAAGAGTTCCAGTGAGTGAAATCTCTGTATAACATTATCTCTCGAATACATCTGAATTATGCAGCCTCAGTTTTCTCTGCATGAGTGAGAAAACTGGACTCGAATACGACCTGGAACATCGCAATTCCATGCATTACGAAGATAGTCATACCTTTGTTCCAAGTGAAGGTGTTTTGGCCGGTATTAAGAACGGGATCTTTTCCTCTTATGACAAACTTATGAGGACCATCAAGCAGATTACGGCCGACCCAAGAGCCAGTTTTACCATTGCCGCAGTCGAAGAAATCGCCGTCATCAAGTGCACATTCGAAATTCACGTCTTCGTCTGACGTCCATCTGATATTAGGAGTTGACGTTCCAAGGTCTGTAGATTGGACGATTTGAATTCTTGGCGCTGTGTTGTCTAAGTTGTAAAAAACATAGTTGTATCAAGCTTAAAGGACAAGCTAAGGACAGGTAGCTACTACAGATGAAAAATGTAATATTAGAATTATCGGCTTTTTCATCGAGCTATACTAAAGTATAGGCTAGTGGTTATTCCAATATTTTGTCAAAGATGGCTTGGTTGTCGAAGAGATGCAGAAAGCTTTCCTGCCGGTTGAAGGTAATAAATATAACAGTTATGTAGATAATGAACTAGAATTTATATATTTGTAGGACCTAACAGGAAGCAGTTACGAAAAAATTAGCAACTATTCGCCGATCGGCAGAAATCGAACCTTAAGCATCGCCCTTGAGCCAAAACTGAACCTCGAAAATGCACAAGGAAAAGAGTAGGTCAGGTCTTAACTCGGGACCATTTCTTAACGGCATTGCAGACCTAAGTTCAGATTCAGCTTTGCCCGTTTGCCGTATGTGTCTCACGTTCGCCGTATAAGACTTTATGTTTGAACGACTGCATGTCTGCATACACCCACAACCGCTCAAACAATAAACTTTAAACACGGCGAACGTGAAAACACATACGGCAAAGCTGAATTTTCTACTTTGCTAAATACATCAGAAATAGTCTATTGCATTCTTGCATAACTGCTGAATATCACGAGTTTTAAGTGCAGAACGTTTCTAATTTAGCGAAATTGCGGCACACTTAAAGATAGTGGAGTTAAAACACAAAGTTTATTAGCAGTCTGGCGTTTGCCGTGAACGTCAAGCTAAGGGTCTCTATTATCGAAACTCACCGACTTTGAAGTTGTGTTCAGAGGGTGTGCCAGTGTTTCCGTTAAAATCTTGTCCTCGAACGGATAAAATGTAGTTGCCATCGGGCTTGTACTGCTGCCAGGAACCGGAGGTCCCGGAACCACAATCTTCTTTTGTTTCAAACCCGTCCAAGGAACACTCGAAGCGCGCGGGCTCGCTCGATTTCCACGTAAATCTTGGAGTACTTAGTGTAACTGAAGGTTGATCAGGATCGAAAGTAATCGCCGGGGCTGAGGAATCTAAAAAAGATCGAAGACCATAACGTACCATACGAAGCAAGCTAAACTTAGGTCCGTTTCAGACGTCCAACTTTTCATGTGTCCAACCTAATGTTAATGAGCTAAAGTCTTTGTTAAGTTCATTTGCATTCGATTCGGCAAATGAAAAGTTCGACGTCTGAAACGGGTCTTAAGTAAGTTTACTTTGTCTGAATAGCTCTATTAGTTCTAAACTGATCTTCATAGAGGTCCAGTAAGGATCATCTCTTATTGATGATGTGTTACTACAGGAGGAAACCTAAACTAAACTAACTTTATTTATACTGGATAGTTCTATCAGTTATAAACTGTTCTTCCTAGAGGTCCAGAAAAGATCATCTCTTTTTGATCCAGCGTTACTACATAACTTAGTTCATGTAATCGTCACAACATTTTCTAAACAATCGCCACATTACCTTTTCTCCAGGTGTATGTATATATTCCCTCATTATCAACTTCATCTTTGGCTTTTATAACAAGCTTACGAGGACCATCAGGCACATTTCGCCCAGTCCACGAGCCCGTGGTACCTTCTCCGCAATCAATCTCTTCACCGTCATCATACCTGCATTTGAATTCAACATCTTCCGTGGCTTTGAATCTAATAGTTGGTGTGGATGAGGATGTATCAGGCGGGGTTGTTATGCTTATCCTCGGAGGAGTGGAATCTAGAAATTAAAGAAATATATTTCACTTAAATGAAGCGGCTCTACCAGTTCTAACAAACAACTATCTCTCAATTATCCGGGTTTTTCAAGGAAAAAACGTACACTCTAAACAGCTTTCATTCATACCGGATAGCTTTATCAGTTCTTATTTACCCACTGTTACTACAGAAGGAAACCTTAACTAAACTAACTTTATTTATACTGGATAGCTCTATCAGTTATAAACTGTTCTTCCTAGAGGTCCAATAAGGATCATCTCATATTGGCCCAGTGTTACTACAGGAGGAAACCTAAACTAAATTAACTTTATTTATACTGGATAGCTCTATCAGTTCTAAACTGTTCTTCCTTCAGGCCCAGTAAGGATCATCTCTTATTGACCCAGCGTTACTACAGGAGGAAACCTAAACAACATGAATAAAATGTGCTTACCAACAGTGAATGGATGCGATATTTCAGGTCCAGTGTTGCCAAGATCGTCCGTGCCTCGTACAAAGAACCTATGTGGGCCGTCTGGTACATTGTACTGCTGCCATAGGCCGGTTTTTCCGTTACCACACAATTCCCAGTTGGTTGGATCATCCAGGGCACATTGGAACCTGTCAGCGGGTTCGTCTGAGGTCCAGTTGAACCACGGATTAGAGAGAGTGTGTGTTGGGAGATTATCCGAGAAAGTTAGCCTCGGACCGGCGGTATCTGTGGATAAATAGCACAAAAGCATGTAGATAATCCAGTGGAAGAAAATGAAAATCTTTTGAGGATACACGGCCAATTTTAACAATGAATGGAAATAGAGAAAGCCGAATGCTTGTTATCATGAAAAGGAGAATGTCAATAATCTTCAAGTTTCCAAAAAAATTCGCAAAATTCAGCATTTTTGAGGACTATATATGAAATATTTTGCATACCAACAGTCCATTTTGAGTCAAAAATTGGAGCTTTGTTTCCAAGATTGTCAGTGGCGACGACCGAGAAGTCGTGCTCCCCGTCAGGGAGAGGCTCCGTCGTGAAAACCCCGTTCTCTCCCGCGCCACACTTCACCGGGTCATTCTGGTCAAGGAGACAGTCATAGTTCGCGTCTTCGCTTGTTCGCCATTTGAATGTCGCACGTTGCTTGTTCGTTCGCCTTGGGGGCCCTGTGACCGCAAAGCCAGTAGGAGGTGTGGTATCTGGAGAAATGACGTAGTATTGAGACACTGTGACCTACGTACTGAACTCTAATATAACTGGAACAATGACTGGTCGTAAACATGACCATATTAGCCTGAAGCCAAAATAGTTTTGAGCCAAATGCTTTGCCTCAAAGGTCTGACAGCATATTAAAATGAAACCGTTAAAATGTTTAGTACAAAAGTGAAATGACATTCGACAAAACAGTGGAGTAAGTCAGGACAAATCACTACAGCTCTAACTTGCAATCATATTGGCAGATTTCTATGTAGAAATATCGTTCAGAAATATAAAACCAAAGCAAAAAATGATGATAACATTAGACTTATTCATTTAATAATCTGGCAACACTGCCCTTTACTGCATTTTCCCCAATTCACCCAAGAGTAAAGCAAACGAACATTGACATCTCAACCTACCGACGTCAAATGGAAAACTGTATGGATCATTCTGGTTTCCGAAGTCGTCACGGGCTCGGACGAGGAAAGTTCGTTTACCATCCGGGACATTGGTCTTGCTCCACGTTCCACTCGTCCCAGTTCCACAGTCTTCGAACGCGGTCACTCCCTTGATGGCGCACTGGAACTTCGCCGGCTCGTCAGACGTCCACGAAAAACTTGGAGCTCCCGTTGTGCTTTTGGTGGTGGAGTCCGCGGAGAATGTCACGATCGGAGCCTTGTTATCTACGAAGGGATTGAGAACGAGTATTAGTTGCCACGGTAACGTGATTTGACGCGTGTATCATGTCAAGAGATCTCAATAAATGCTGAACGAAAACATATAATGATATATTCGTGTATTTAGGATTTACTGAATATTCATTTACTGAATTACCAGTTTACGTTTCAATTACGTAAAAGTTAGTCAAAATCTGGAATGCTTGACGAAGAAGTAACCTCAAGAACTATTTTGGTTGTAAAGTACATCATAATTTATTTTTGGACGCCATCTCTGTAAAATTCATTTGTGCTTTTGAAGAGAACAGACTAAATTGTTTTTCTTTTTTCTCTGTGGATAGTAGTGCATTACTGTGCATTACTGTGCAGTTATTAAAATACAGTAACGGTAATTGTGATGTAATGATTCGTGCAGAGCTCGAAGATTCTACGAAATATCCCGACGACCTACCGACGGTCCAGGTGACTAAAACGGGCTCGGCTCTGTTGCCGTGGTAATCCTCAGCAATCAACCAGAACTTTTGTGGACCTCGTCTCAAATACGGCGTTGTCCAACTTCCCGTATTTCCTTGCCCGCATTCTATGATGTTTCCGACGTCACCGATTGCGCAATAAAACTTTGATTGTTCGTTGGCGTTCCACGAGAGCGTGACACGCGGGGTGCCCACGATCGAGTCAACGGGATCGACAACGGCCCGGGGAGGAGTGGAATCTGATAGAAAATTTTTTTTCAAACAATCAGGTGATCTGATATAGGGGAAAAGGACTAGGATTAGCTGTAAAAATCCATTTTTCGCTTGAAACAACTAAATACTTCATGAAATATACTTTCTTTCGGTTCCAAATTTATGTCAGAGCTAAGGTTCTTATAACTAAACATAATCACAAAATTTCGACCAGTTTGGTAAAGAATAGCAAAAGATATAATCGATTAAATACTGCAGAATGGATTTCTATTCTATTCCTTTCTGAGGGTAAGATTGGCTAAAATATACGAGGCAAGATTAGCTGGAATTCAATGTCAAAGTTGTTTCGTTCAACACGCTTACCGACAGTCCAAGAGTGTGATATTGGTGTCCCAATATTATCTAAAGAGTCTCTGGCGCGGACATAGAATGTGTGTGGTCCTTCGGTGAGATCTCGTAGCGTTCGACTCCCTCTCATACCTCGGCCGCACGGGGCGAAGTTTGCCATATCGTCGACGGCACATTCAAATTTCGATTCCTCGGTCGATTTCCACGAGAAAGGAATGGTCTTCTTCGAGAATGCGGGCAAGTCGCCCGTGAACTCGATATCAGGTGGATTAATGTCTAACAGAAGATGAAAGAGTGTTAATTTCAGTGTTGTTTTTTAATATCCCACGAAATTCGAGAGCAAAGCGAGAATCGTGGACCGAGGTATCGTTCCGGTTCACATAGAGAGATCACAGGCGCCAACTTAGGATTTGAATGGTCTCAAAAGCCAACTCAGGGAGTTTAAGATGACACAACGAACAACGGATACGGACTACGGTTAAGTCTTTGTTTTCAAAGTGCTTAAACTAAGACAAATTACGGGGAAAACAAAATTTACATATTCCTAAAGGTAGACTTTACACTAGTGACCCTGATTTATTCTGCCCACGAAATACTCTTTAGTAAGTGCAGAATGAAAAACGTAGTAACGAAACTGACCCAGTAACGTTAACGTTATTGTGGAGAGTGGTTGTTTTAACAAGGCATGAGACTGTAAATGTTTCAAACTTGGGAAACACGAGGCTTCCTCGTATAAAATCACCTTGGGATGAATTGTAAATCACAAGTATTTGCAAGCAGTAGACAAAAACAACTCAACCGTATTCGGTAACCCGCGGTCAACATCTTAAACTCCCTGATAATGCTGAGAGCAGAGAAACTCATACTCACCTACAGTCCACCGATGTGGCACAAAATCTCCAACATTTCCAGCTCCGTCCTTTCCACGGACCCAGAAAACTCTGTCACCTTTGGGAAGCCCTGTAAGTATTTTTTGGCCTAACGAACCTTTTTCACAGGAGTCGGCATTTGCCGTGTCATCAAGAGCACACTCGAACTCCGCTGGTTCTGTCGAAGACCACTTAAATGTTACGGCGTCTTTAGACCGTTTTGGAGGTGTGCTGAGGTAAGAAACATGAGGAGGACTTGTATCTAGAAAAAATTTAGAATTGGTTAAAAATCATCACCAGCACCACATTCAACACCAGCACATCACCACCTTCAGCACCATCACCATCACCATCATCATCCTCATCACCATACACTCACCATCACCATCATCATCATTATCACCATCATTATTATCATCACCATTACACCCCATCACCATAACCATAACCATCATCACCATCATTATTATCATCACCATAACCATAACCATCATCACCATCATCATTATTACCATCATTATTATCATCACCATTACCATCATCATTACCAACCATTCATCATCACCATAACCATAACCATCACCATCATCATCATTATCACCATCATTATTATCATCACCATTACCATCATCATTACCAAACCATCACCATCATCATCACCATCATTATTATCATCACCATAACCATAACCATCACCATCATCATCATTATTACCATCACCATAACCACCACATAACCATCATCATTACCAAACCATCACCATCATCATCACCATCATTATTATCATCACCATAACCATAACCATCATCACCATCATCATTATTACCATCACCATAACCACCACATAACCATCATCATCATCATCATCGCATTGGAATAACTTCACTTTTTGGTAAGCAAAAATGAATCTAAAACTGGGGTATACCTTTCACCCATCTTCTTTCCAATGTTCGTCCTTCGTTTTCTGCTTTGTCAATTGGTCTAACCTGTTACATGTGTATATCGATATATGATTAATAAAATAGACATGGAAGGAAAAGTGAGATGGGGGAACCCCGGGGAGGAGGCAAACGAGAAAGGGGGAAAGGAAGGGGATTGGGGGAGGGGTAGAACAAAGAGGAGCTGAGGGTCTGGGGGTAGGAAAAGCAGTGACGGAGGGGGCAAAAGAGAGAAAAATTTGAAAGGAACGCAAAATGAATTAAAGCAGAGTGATGAGGGAAGAGAGTCTGGTCAGTGAGAGGGGGGGAGGCAAGGGCAGTGGGGTATTGAAAAGAATATTAAAATACCTGGAAAACGTGTCTACCATCAGGCAAGTTTGGTGGCATTCTGAGCTGACCATTAGTTCCCTCGCCACAATCGGTCTCCTCTCGTTCGTCAACTTTACATTTGAATGTCACTGGCTCATTTGCACTCCAAGTAAACGTATCTGCCGCATTTTTTGAAGGTGATTTAAAGTCGTCTGTAAATCTGGCCGTAGGCGGTGTTCGATCTGAAAGTCGAAGGAGACAATTGTTAAAAAAATCCAAATATTAATCCTCGGCACCGAAAGTCCGATTTTCTGCTCCACGATTTCGACAAGCCAGCAGTACGAAGTCTGGGTAGCTCTATTCACCAAATAGTGATTTTTTTAACAGTTGTAAAAAGGCTTTAAAAGCTACGGAACTACAGGAAATGAGGCCGTAAATTATCAAAGAGGAATTCTTTTCAAGGTTTCCATAGTTTAATCTAGGTTATACCAAAATACAAGAATTTTGTGGGAAGTTTTGAAAGCCACTATCCTGTGGATAGCACAACTACATATTCAGTGCATAATACTCAAGTTGATTAATTCAAGAGAAATGTAAGAGTGTTACTTAATTTTGACTTATCCACCGTTTAAACTAAACAAACGGGCTTGATACAACCGACCCCTGTAGTCTATCCTAACCATTGAACTGTAAACAAACTGGAATGATAAACCAGGGGGGGGGAATTGAAGCCAGTGCTTTTTACTTTTTCTGAGTTTTGAGCCGAAATACTTAACGCCTAATGTTGAGTTGTATATGAAATTGAAGCGATTAAAAAGTTCTATTTCGTGTAGAAATTTCGAGACGTTAGCTTAAAATATTTGAAAATTTCCCGGTTTTTTGCCGATTTGTAATTGTTTTTGTTTTTTTTAAATATTTCCTTTCCAGTTCAAGTCTTGAAATTTCCACACCAAATATAACTTTTCAATAGCTTTAATTTGACACACAGCCCAACGTCTGGCGTCAAGTATTGGTCTCAAAACTCAGAAAAACTATTTTGGCTTCAAGCTAAATAGGGATGTTTGTCAGGAGTTATCGTTCCAGTTGTATAGAGTTCACTGATCCTAACACGACGCTAACACGCAGCAACATTCCCCACCTGTAGTGACAGTGTATATGCTCGGTTCACCAACATTTCCCACATCGTCTTTTCCTCTGACGTACAGTTTATGCTCGCCATCTGAAAGATCATCTTTCTGGAATCCACCCGTCTTTCCCATGCCACATTCCTCGTACTGCGTGGGGTCGTCCACCGCACATTCGAACTCCGCATCCTCAGAGGACTTCCACGTAACAGCAAGATCCTTCTCGGGGGTGGTGGGGTCGGGTTTGTCGAATGTTATCACCGGACGGCTGGTATCTGATATAGGATTTGTAAGAGTCGATTGTTTGTTCATTTAAGCATTTGAAATAGACGATTTTTTATAGTAAACATGTTTCGACGTAACTATAAGCCATCTTCAGTGCGACTGAAACAATTATTTACCATACCAAAGGTAGAAATATGATACACGCAAGATGATACTCTATGAATAGTTAAATTATTTACAAACATGATTTATTTAATTTACCAACTTCAAAATGACAAATGCGCACAATATAGAAGCTAACAGCACAATCTTTACGATAAAAAGTTTATATAAAGTTGAAGTTTTGATCAGCAGGACTTTGTCCTGTTCATTCTGAAAACCAGTGTCACATAAATACGTTGCAAAAGAAATAAATCGAAGACTATAAACTGTATTCTAAAAGCCAGTTGAATACAGGCGTGAATATCGCCTCATATTAACAAGCAGAAGTCTACCATTCTTGTACGTTTGCATGGTGACATCAATAAGTAAATTACCTTGTAGGTACAACACGTAAGTATTTATTACTGCAAAGCTTTCGGTCCGTTAACCCTGGCCTTCATCAGTGCAATAGACTGATACCTACAGTAAATTGCAATGATGAAGGCCCGGGTTAACGGACCGAAGCTTTGCTAATAAATACTTACGTGGTGTACCTACAAGCTAATTTACTGAAACAGAAGTCTTTTAATAAAAACGAGGTAAGAGATACATACTTCATCCACGATAATTTAAGGCAAGAAGGATTGCAAAATACTACACAGTTTGGGTGTAAGGTGCTTACCTACGTTGAAACTCGAGCGTATCAATGGCGCCAAATTACCGACATTATCCTCAACCAACAACCTGAACTCGTGTTCACCATCAACCAAAGTTGGCGACAGATATTCCCCGTCCGTCCCCTCGCCACACTCTTCTCCCTCACCGTCATCTAACGCGCACGTGAACTTAGATTCCTCGCTTGATTTCCAACTAAACTTAGTCCTTGGCGTATTTATCGTTTCCGGTACTTTATCGAGGCGTACTTTGGGAGCTTTGGTGTCTAGAATCCAACAAAAAGACTTAGCGATGCTTGTAAAGACATGTTTACGTCCATCTTAATGATTTGGCCATGCATTAATGGCGAGCTCTAATTAATCCAGTGTTAATTAATCGTACAGGAGGAAACTTAAACTAAACTCATTTTATTTATACTAGATAGCTCTAACGGGTTTTCATAGGGGTTCAGTGAGGATCATCACTTATTAATCTATAGTGTTACTACAGGGGAACACCTAAACCTAACTAATTTTATTAATATTGGATAGCTCTATCAGTTCTAAACTGTTCTTCCTAGAGGTCCAGTAAGGATCATCTCTTATTGATCCAGTGTTACTACAGGAGGAAACCTAAACTAAACTAACTTTATTTTTACTGGATAGCTCTATCAGTTCTAAACTGTTCTTCCTAGAGGTCCAGTAAGGATAATCTCTTATTGATCAAGTGTTACTACAGGAGGAAACCTAAACTAAACTAACTTTATTTATACTGGATAGCTCTTTCAGTTCTAAACTGTTCTTCCTAGAGGTCTAGTAAGGATCATCTCTTAGTGGTCCAGTGTTACTACAGGAGGAAACCTAAACTAAACTAACTTTATTTATATTGGATAGCTCTATCAGTTCTAAACTGTTCTTCCTAGAGGTCCAGTAAGGATCATCTCTTATTGATCCAGTGTTACTAGGAAACCTAAACTAAACTAACTTTATTTATATTGGATAGCTCTATCAGTTCTAAACTGTTCTTCCTAGAGGTCCAGTAAGGATCATCTCTTATTGATCCAGTGTTACTACAGGATGAAACCTAAACTAAACTAACTTTATTTATACTGGATAGCTCTATCAGTTCTGAACTGTTCTTTCTAGAGCTCCGGTACAGATCATTTCAATTTTCTTACCAATTTTCCAAGTGTGTCGAATAACAGGTCCTTGATTTCCATGCTCATCTGTTCCAAATACTCCAAACGTATGTTCGCCATCAGTCAATTCATTAGAGGTCCAGCTTCCTCCATTTCCAGATCCACACGATTCAGACTGTACCTCAGAATCAATGAAACATCTGAACCTGGCGTATTCTGAAGAGGTCCATGAAAATCTCTGCTTGTTTTTATTCACATTGTTCGGGAGTTCTCCAGTAAACCTCAATATTGGTGCAACGTTATCTAAAAGAAGAATGTCATAGTAGTCTTGCTGGTAATTAATGAAATAACTACAAGCGACTTGACCAAACTTCATCCAGTCCTAAGACTTGATCAAACTTCATCCAGTCCTAAGACTTAATCAAACTTCATCCAGTCCTAAGACTTGATCAAACTTCATCCAGTCCTAAGACTGATTAAACTTCATCCAGTCCTAAGACTTGATCAAACTTCATCCAGTCCTAAGACTTGATCAAACTTCATCCAGTCCTAAGACTTGATCAAACTTCATCCAGTCCTAAGACTTGATCAAACTTCATTTAGTCCTAAGACTTGATCAAATTTCATCCATCAAACTTCATTTAGTCCTAAGACTTGATCAAACTTCATCCAGTCCTAAGACTTGATCAAACTTCATTTAGTCCTAAGACTTGATCAAATTTCATCCAGTCCTAAGACTTGATCAAACTTCATTTAGTCCTAAGACTTGATCAAACTTCATCCAGTCCTAAGACTTGATCAAACTTCATCCAGTCCTAAGACTTGGTCAAATTTCATCTAATCCTAAGACTTGGTCAAACTTCATCCAGTCCTAAAACTTGGAACGAACTTGATCAAAGACGACATCATAAACTTACCGATATCCCAAGAGTGACTCAGCCTTGGAGCAACATTTCCAACTTCGTCCTTTGCCGTCAAGAAGAATGTATGCGGTCCGTTATCCAATGACGGTGTTGTAAAGTCTCCATTCGTGCCACTGCCACAATCTTGGAAGTTTGTAACGTCGTCAACAGCGCATTGGAATTCGGCAAACTCATTACTAGTCCATCTGAACGTTTCTGTTGGGGTAGAAGTCGTTGAAGGAAGAGGTCGATTAAGATAGACAATTGGGTACTTGTTATCTGAAAAGAGATGAAAACAGATTACTCAGTATTTGATCCAGGCGTCGTAGTTTCCTTCACGTTTGGAGCTTGCAGGCTGCCTAGCAATCACCTTGCCTCGAAATTATAAATCAGTGGCGTAGCCAGCCTGACGATTTAGTCATGCTATGCAAATTTTACGTTATTATCATTATTCATTTCTCTAGAAATGCATTGTTTTCACAGTCAATAAACACCAAAATATTAGCATAGCATGACTAAATTGTCGGGCTGGCTACGCCAGTCATTATAATATCCGTCAGGTACACACCAATAGCCTTGATCCCTTCGGCAAAGGTTGTAAAACACATACTTTAGATGGAGAACCGTGACAAACGGCCACCTCACTTACCTATCGAGAACCTGAAGCTCTCAGTTGGGCCAACGTTGTTGTGTCGGTCGATGCCGCGAACATAGAAATCATGAATACCCTCGGGTACCCGCTCCTTGGTCCACATGCCCTGTGTCCCTCTTCCGCAGTCGTTGAACAGCACGTTGTCATTGAGGGCGCATTCGAACCTGGCATATTCCGTTGAGGTCCAGGTCACTTTGGGTTTCTCCCGGAATTTGGTCGGCAATCCGGGGGTAAAGAGGATGTTAGGTGATGTTTTGTCTAAACAAGTGAAATGTAGGGACGTTAGGAGCACAGGGTTTGTGTGTTTGTTTACCGTCGCAATCAATTATATTTTTACAAAGGTGTGAACAGACTTAAATGCATGCACTTGGCTTGAGTAAAAAAACATACCGGAATTCCATCTGAGAGAAATCGGATCGGCTACATTTCCTGCTTCGTCTTTAGCCTTTACTCTCAGCTCATGGGGACCTTCTGCCAGATTTTGTGCTCTAAATCTTCCTTGCCGGCCCGTACCACAGGCCACGTATTCCTGACCATCAATAGAGCAGGAAAAGTTCGCAATTTCATTTGATAGAATGGGGAGGTCCACTCTGGAGTTGAGAGTAGGTCGGTTGGTTTTACCAAACTTTATACGAGGTGGTGTAGAATCTAGGTTATGGTTGGTAGTTGCGTTAACAAATGGTTGAGCAATACCATAGCTTATCATAATATACCATAGCATACCATACAATACTATATACCATACCACACCAAACCACACCTCACCATACCAAACCACACCACACCACACCAAGCCACACCACACCACACCAAACCAAACCACACCACACCACACCACACCACACCACACCACACCACACCACACCACACCACACCACACCACACCACACCACACCACACCACACCAAACCACACCACACCAAACCACACCAAACAACACCACACCACACCAAACCACACCACATTACACCACACCACACCACACTACCCCACACCACACTAAACCAAACCACACACCACACCACACCAAACCACACCACATTACACCACACCGCACCGCACCACACCGCACCAAACCACACTAAACCACACCACACCACACCACACCATACCACACTTACTCCTACATAACATCAACATATCGTACGACATCACTTCATATCGTGCAATATCAAAAGTGCTGCACAACAAACAACTCAAAAAAATACCCACCTATTCTGAACGTGTGTCTTATAAACCTGGCCTCGTTGCCAACTTTATCGACGGCTCCGACATAGAAGTTGTAAGAACCATCCTGTAGGTCTCTTCTGTAGTCTTTCCCCTCTACTCCTGAACCACACTGCTCCAATCTGTCCGGATTCAGACCACATTTAAATCTTGCCATTTCATTAGACCTCCATTTGATTGCCAAAGGTCCCCGGCTTAGCGATGCTAAAGGCTGTATGAAACTTAGTCGCGGACCAGTGTTATCTTAAACAAACAGAACAGAGCCTATTAGTTGTGAACGAAAAGCAGACAAGCTGTCTTTGCATTAGAGTTTTATAAAAAATCATGCCCTTGTGAAAATCACACAAGAGTTTTGAAAGAACTGATAGAGCTATCTAGTGTAAATAAAATTAGTTTAGTTTAGGTTTCCTCCTGAAGTAACACTGGATCACTAAGAGATGATCCTTACTGGACCTCTAGGAAGAACAGTTTAGAACTGATAGAGCTATCCAATATAAATAAAGTTAGTTTAGTTCAGGCTTTTTCGTGGTAGCTTAGCAATACATACCGACTTGGAATGGATGTCTTATATACCCGCCAGTGTTGCCCGCCTTGTCAGTTGCTCGGACCCAGAACACATTTTTCCCGTCTCGTAATTCACGCTTCGAAAACGTGCCTTCCCAACCCTTTCCGCAAGGACGTGGATTGTTCGGTCCATCCAAAGAGCACTCGAACGTAGATTCCTCACTGGCGTTCCAGTTGATTCTAAAGTCTCTCTTAACGCTATACTGCAGTTTGCCGACGAAGCTGACTTTCGGGGGAGTAACATCTTAGAAAATAAAGAGTACTTTTCGAGCAACGTTGAAAATATCCATACAGTGAAACGAGACATAGATTCTTGCTCAGGGGGGGGTGTAAATAAAAAGTACTTTTTGAGCAAGGTTGAAAAATCCATACAGTGAAACGAGACATAGATTCTTGGTAAGGGGGGGTGGTGTAAATAAAAAGAAATTTATGAGCGAGGTTGAAAATATCCGTACAGTGAAACGAGACATAGATTCTTGGTCAGGGGGTGTAACCCCAAATTTTTTCTCAGGGGGAAAGTTAACCAGGGGGGTACATCCACAGATAATCTATATAAGGGAAGTCCCTTTTTCCAAATGTAAACGGTGAATAAAAAATGATGGTGATTTATAGTTGTGGCCCTTCATTTGGCCCCATCAAGATTCAAGGATTCTTTAAGATTCAAGGACATTTGAATGTCCGACATACCAGGCAACAGTTTCTGTATGTCTTTGATAACACTACCACACGATGCCTTCACCGTCCATTCTCTGCCTATGGTTCTTCCGCGTCGTATGCACTCGACCAATGCCGGGCTATCCCGATACTTCACCGAAAACCGATCGTCCCTACAGCTCATTTTCACCTTAGGCTCGCCCACCTCAGACAAATCCTGAAATAGTGATGAAGCGACGTAGAAAGCTTTTCTTTATAGGTTAAAATCGGCCAGACGAATGACGCCTGTATTCAAAAAGCTCACACTCATTGAAAGCGACAAAAAATTGTTATTGCTGATCAATGTTAAAGTTCTTTCCTAATCAATGGAGAGATTTAAGGTAAAACATTGAAAATCAAGCACTTATTACACTGAAAATGCCATAATGGAAACGTTATGAGAAGATTGGGATCTCCCCGTCAATGAGTTTGAGTGTGAGTGAGCTTTTACAGTGCGGCCGTTAAAATTGTCTACAACTAAAAATTGACGAAGTGAGGTTAGTCGTCGACAATAAAACAGTCCACTTTTAGTTGTCGACGACTAACGGGATTTCCGATTTTCTGAGGGCAACTCGTCACTTGTCAACAACTTTCTCTGGGCGACAAGCTAAATTTCAACAAGCTAATTTTTCAATAATACTGAAACAGTAGCCAACTATTTTTCACTTTGTAACACAATTCTCTTTAAAAGAAAATTTGAAAAATTAGGGGAAATTAAAAAAGAATATTTGAAGAATATTTTGCGTTCTCACGTGTCATTGAAAAGTTTGTTATGCGTGGGATAACATGCACAAAATTTTTAACAAAATAGCGGCAGCTTACCTCGCCCAAATGGCATTTTCCTCGAACATCTTCCGGGAAAGTCACGCTCATTTCCGGCCTCCTGATTCGTATCTCCTGCGTGACATTCGCGAGATTTCCGCAGCCGTCCCGCACGAGCCACATTCTGTCGATGTACTGCACGCAATCCTTTTCCACCACATTGTCGACGAACGACAATTTGAATGGTCCTCTACTGGTGCACAGGGGCGCCGAGATAACGGTCGGTTCTTGGAGTTTTCCTATTACATCAGCTGGACACCCGTTCAGAATGACCGTGTCTAGATCCAGGATGATTCGTGGCGGTTCTGTTACCAAATCCTCGTCGATAAGTCCTGGAAGAAAGGTTAAAAAGTGAACCAAAAACAAGTTTGCGGTGTCCATCGCCAGAGTCTCATATTAACTCAGAAATACACGACTCTGATTGGCCAACTTTGTTATAACTGCAGTTAAAAGTGAACTAGTCTTTTATAAAACTGGCCCAAGGGCCGGTTGTATAAAACTCTTTAACTATATTTTGCATGGTAAAGTCCTAGTTAACTAGAGCGAGTGCTTGAAAAACATTAAAAAGACATGAATAACCATTACCATCATCGTCATCATCAATGTAGTTCTTGATTTCCTCGTCTATCCTTCGATCACAATCATTGTCCAAGCCATCCCCAGGGTTCCCTGGCACACAGTCCAATGTAAGATCGGCCAATCGTAGCCCGCCCGGGTAACCGTACGAATCTGCTCGGGCGTAGCCGTAGAGGAAAACAGCGAAGGGTACGATCGGGGAATCGTGCATCACTCGATGAACGCCGAACGTCACCGCGATCTGCGCGGCCGAGTGGGTTGTGCCCCAGACTGGTACCCACTTCTCTTCACGGAGGGACCTGCCGTCCAATCGGAGCCCGTCGATTTCCTTCGTGTCTATGATGATGTTGATGTAGCTATGGAAATACTTCTCATTCTGATCTGGCGTGGAAATGGTGTACTGCGCTGTGTACTGTTCAACGGGCGGAATCATTACCATGAAGGGGTCGGTGTATGTGCTGTCAACTCGCTGGCCTTTGCTGAACTGTACAACGAGACAAGGTTTGCTTGTTTCAATATACTGATAGCGATCAGATGATACGTCGACTTCAATGAATCTAGAGAAAACAAACGAGAGTAAACCGATTTTGTTTCAGTTTATATCAGATAATTCTTATCAGTTCTAAACTGTTCTTCCTAGTAAGGATCATCTCTTATTGATCCAGTGTTACTACAGAAGGAAACCTAAACTAAACTAACTTTAATTAAACTGGATAGCTCTATCAGTTCTAAACTGTTCTTCCTAGAGGTCCAGTAAGGATCATCTCTTATCAGTGACCCAGTGTTACTACAGGAGGAAACCTAAACTGAACTAACTTTATTTATACTGGATAGCTTTATCAGTTCTAAACTGTTCTTCCTAGAGGTTCAGTAAAGATCATCTCTTATTCATCCAGTATTACTACAGAAGGAAACCTAAACTAAACTAACTTTATTTATACTGGATAGCTCTATCAGTTTAAAACTGTTCTTCCTAGAGGTCTAGTAAGGATCATCTCTGATTAATCCAGTGTTACTACAGGAGGAAACCTAAACTAAACTAACTTTATTTATACTGGATAGCTCTATCAATTCTAAACTGTTCTTCCTAGAGGTCAAGTAAGGATCATCTCTTATTGATCCAGTGTTACTACAGGAGGAAACTGGAAACCTAAACTAAACTAACTTTATTTATACTGGATATCTTTTTTAGGCTCAGAGAAAATCTAAACTAACCGAAGATACTTACTTTCCTTCACCCAGGGTATCAATATATTTTCCATTGATTCTAACATCAGTGCTCTGATTTGCAGCCATGATCCTGAAGAAGTCTCCACCGCGACGACCAGCCAGGGGGGCGGTGATAAACCGTTGTCCCCACGTGTTCACGGGGGGGATGTGCTCTACCAAATGATCACAATATCCTTTATCGGTGGGAACATTCGCGCACTCGTTCCCAGAAAACACGGAAATTGGTTTTGTTGAGAAAATACGGGTTCCCGACATATCTTTGGTGTGTGAAATTTGGAAAGACTGAAGACTGTTCAAAGTCACGGATAGGGTGTCCCTGTGCCTGTAATTTCTCCCGCGGAATCTGAACGATGACCGACGATCAGCGAACTGGAATGTTACAAAGATCGTCGTGCGGTCGCGGATGGCGATGATTCCTATCAATGACGTATAACTCGGCGTGAACGATGGTATAATGTACTTTGTGCTCTGAATATCGACCGGCAGTGCAAGGTATGCGTCTGTCGTGAATTTCTTGATATTCAAACCGTACACGACGATTTCCGCGTCTGCCTTGATATGGATGCCTTTCTCCTCGATCGCCGTGCCACGCATGCGCACGGACGTCGGAAAGTCGACGGGATACAGTTCACGTGATTTGATTTCAATTTCCTTTCTAACGTTTGTCTCGCGCGATTTGATGACCGCGCGCGTGTTGTAATCGGACGTGATGAAGAGCCTCGTAGCACCGTCTAACTCCTTTCGGAACTGCTGGAGGAATCCCACCACGAATTCCGTTCCTCTGTTATCAGGGATTTCTACGGTAAAACACAAGAAAAGATTACTAGAGACTAGAACTACCAATCACAGATTCTGACATTTTGCACGATTCAATTTTGTCGGATCTAATTCTACTTCTGGGGCCGGCTGTATCAAGCCCGTTTAGCTTAAATGGCTTAAACGGTGGATAAGTCAAAATTAAATAACACTCTTACTTCTCTCTTGAATACGTCACCTTGAATATTATACACTGAATATGTAGGTGTGAACAGTATCGTTGTTTTCAGGTTAAAAACATTTTGTTTGCTTCTTGAATAAAACGATAGACTTGCTTTCTATTTTGAACTTATCCACCGTTTAAGCTAAACGGGCTTGATACAACCGACCCCAGACGTACAACATAAAACATATAACAATCTTACTACTCTCTTGAGTAAGTGAACTTGAATATTATGCACTGAATATGTAGTTGTAAACAGTATCTTTGTATTATGGTTAAAAAGTTATATATAGTATTATAGTTTGCTTCTTGAATAAAACGATAGACTTGCTTTTCTATGACTTAACCGCCCTCAGTGCTATTTTTGATCGTCGCGTTTAATTCACTTACGTTTATAAACAACTTTGTACTCTTGCTGATGCGTCATAAGTGGCGAAAAGCTGAGAAAAACAACGAATAGCACGACCGCTTGCATTGCAAGGTTTCCCTAAGAACATGAAAAGACAAAGTTAACAGTGTGACAATAACACACAGTAAATGATGAACCTTACTGGACCTCAAGGAAGAACAGTTTAAAACTGATAGAGCTATCCAGTAAAGTTAGTTTAGTTTAGGTTTTCTTCTTTAGTAAAACTGGGTCAATAAGAGATGATCCTTAATAGACCTCAAGGAGGAACAGTTTAGAACTATCCAATGTAAATAAAGTTAGTTTGGTTTAGGTTTCCTTCTGTAGTAACACTGGATCAATAAGAGATGATCCTTACTGGACCTCTAGGAAGAACAGTTTAGAACTGATAGAGCTATCCAGTATCAATAAAGTTAGTTTAGTTTAGGTTTCCTCCTGTAGTAACACTGGATGAATAAGAGATGATCCTTACTGGACCTCTAGGAAGAAGAACAGTTTAGAACTGATATAGCTATCCAGTATAAATAAAGGTAGTTTAGTTTAGGTTTCCTCCTCTAGTAACACTGGATCAATAAGAGATGATCCTTACTGGATCTCTAGGAAGAACAGTTTAGAACTGATTTTGTACCCATAGAGTTTGTTAAATTTAGATATCGCCTTACAAAGAATGCCTCGGAGAAATTACGAACGTCTTAAAGCATGCAGAGCTGACGAGTATAAATTGCGCAAAGATACTTCGGTTTCCGAAGGCTTGACCTTGTTTCAGCTGCACGTAGGTGGAAACGTATATTTAACTTCCTAAAATATACCGTTTATTCATAAATAAGGTATTCAAGATATGGAATGTACAAAGTGTCAGGAATTTTTCGCTACCGTGGTTTGCACTTGCGTGACCTTGAAACGACATTCCGCCCGAATGACCTCTCTCAGTGTTTTGAAAGGAAAAAAGAACGAAGGAATGTTTCATGTCTTTAAAAGGAAGCATGAATTCACAGCCGGGTAACAAGACTGAACACGCTGCTAGGGGCATAATAGGTAGACCTCGAAAGCACGTTCGCCCAGTTTCGATTGGCATTCAATGTATACGACGAATATAACAAGAGAATTCTGCCTAACGACTTCAAATAGACCTCGAAACGTTCAACAAATGATAAAGCTAAACCCTGCAGAATATTCAACGACAGTTTTCTTTTAATCTTCCTCTTGAAGCAAAAACGGATTGAAAAGAATCTGCCCGTACATGCAACATCCTTATTTCACGATTTTTTTTTCTACCAAGCAGCAATGTCAGATTTTAGCATCGGAATTATGTTATTGTCATAGACGATAGTCCTTCAAAATACGTTCACGATCGAGCTAAACACAGTACAGTGAATTATTTTCGAGTTCAAAGAATGATCGTAGCGTTCGCAAACAAGGGGAAATAAGTAACATATTGTCTGCCTTTTTTCTCACTTGTCAAATGAAAAATGTCAAGAACTTCAGCCTCTAGCGTGAGACGATGACTTTCTCTAATTAACACCTTAAAACATGCCTTTGACAGACCAATCACGCCTTTAAAACTCTCAAGTTTAAACGATATAGAAAGGAAAACAAATATCCTTTCTGTGTTTACAATTTGGAGATTTTGGAAACGGATACTAAATCCAATATAGGGGACCTTTTGCTTGTGGGAACGATGATTCTCATCCTGGTGTATGAGATCCAAGTCACTCGCGTACAAACGTCTGGATTTAAAGCTTTGCTATGAGCGAGCGAATAAGCATAAAATGTGGCATACCGTAGTTGGCATCGGTGTTTGTTTCCGTTCAGGGCAACAATACTGAATAAACGGGTTTGTACATGACAGAAATCTAACATTATTAAACAAGTATTTACAATCGATGCAACAAATATTTTGCATAAATGACTGACTGTCATGCCATACGTAATGCTGATAATGAAAGCTACAATTCATTAAACTTCTTGTCAATATTTAGCATGCAATTGAGTGGTAGCCATTATTCAAAAGCGAAAAAAAACCCCAGCAATGCATAGGAACTATGTAAATAAAATAACCAAATCAAGATGTAATTAACTTGAAAATTAATTTCGGATGACGAGGAATCTTCTAAATATACTATTATATGTTTGGGCTGTCGCCATAAGAACGTCTTTCCTAACTTTACTTAGACTTAGTAAATAATGTTTTGTTCGAAATGACAAGCACTCAGGTGAAATTCAACTCGACAGTTGCATAGATGAAATTTCGTGACAAGATTTATTGGATTATAAAAAGCATCCGTACAATTTTTTGCTTTCAAAATCGGTTTAACCACACAGCTCTTGGTCTCTATCCAATTTTATGTAAAACTATAATTTACCAAGCATCGTTGATCAACTGATCCAATTATGTACAAGGAGCTTCGGGCTTCGATTCCCATCTTAAATTGGTACCATCGATGCTACTATTAAATGCTCTTCGTTTTCGAAGGATAAAGACGTGCTATACCATTATTTAATTGGGATGACGTGCATGTAATTACATTGGCATTGCCCTTGTAATCTTGAAGAAAGATAAATACGCATGTATAGAGGGGATTTGTAAGTTGGATTACGCTAATTTTGTCATTTTTCATTCCATGTCTGGCACTGGCTTTCTGCTCTCAGACGTTATCATAACAAGATGCTTTGCGTAGGTGAAACATTAAACAAAATTGAATCGTGGCAAAAATAGAATAATGACGAAACTTAGATTAAGGTTTTATTCTTTGGAGCTCTGACGTAGAGAAGATAGGTCATATCGTGGAGTGCTTCAACAATTCGTAACGACCACAAGGTCAAAGCTAGTTTACAGACGGTGAAATCTGAAATTACCTAGAGTTTAGATTCGTCCTCGGAGCATAAAAAGTATATTTTTTTTACACAATTTGAAATCAATTAAAAAGATTATTCCTAGCTTAATGGACCTCTCATATTCAGATTACTCAGTAGAGAAAAAAAATGTGGAGAGAATATTCGAGAGCTGTAAACGTTGAATGATGCTTGTTGAACCTTTGGGAAGAACACTCAGAGGAAGTATAAATAAAGTTAGTTTAAATCAATTGTGATTTTTGGCACTTCACTCGATGCAGGTAAATTCTAGAGGTTCAAAGGGTCTTACACATTAACCTTTGTCAGCTACCTCTCTAGCTCAGTGGCAAGAGCGTAGGTTTGATTCCTGCCGGAGGACCTATAGTTGACTCATTTTTCCATCAACTGTTCCTGGCTTGACTTTGAAGTGTGTAAAATTTACACCTGCATCAAGTGAAGTGTCAAAAATCGCAATTGATTTAAAGTTAGTTTAGTTTAGGTTTCCTCCTGTAGTAACACTGGATCAATAAGAGATGATCCTTACTGGACCTCTAGGAAGAACAGTTTAGAACTGATAAAGCTATCCAGTATAAATAAAGATAGTTTAGTTGAGGTTTTCTCCTGTAGTAACACTGGATCAATAAGAGATGATCCTTGCTGGACCTCTAGGAAGAACAGTTTAGAACTAATAGAGCTATCCAGTAAAAATAAAGTTAGTTTAGTTTAGGTTTCCTCCTGTAGTACCACTGGATTGAAGAACAGTTTAGAACAGATGAAGCTATCCAATATAAGCAAAAGTAGTTTAGCTAGTTTACTGGACCTCTGAAAAGAACAGTTTAGAAGTGATAAAGCTATCCAGTATAAATAAAGTAACAAAGTTACTTCAGCCTACGTAAGGTTAGGGACGACCCCAACCTAAATTTGAGCTGTTTATGTTACGGGTTTATATTGACTAATCGGATTGAGGTATTACGCTGTTCTTAATCCTTTCTATTTCCTGATTAACTTTCCACGGTGTAACATGTTTGGCAAATTATTATTTGCATGAAATTCACCACAGTTTTTTTATCTTCCTGTACATCCGTAGTTTTACTTCGAATGCACGTTTGATGAAAAAGGACACTGCTTCAATGAAGATAAACTTTTGACGCAATGTGAACGCAGAAAATTTGCACTTGGGCGCTCTGTCTTGTCATAGCTCAAGCGTGCCTTGCCAAGAGCTTCAAACCGCGGCTTTCCTTCGTATACGAGTTATTGCTCAAATAAATATCTCGTATATTGGATGATTATAATATTATAATGACCACATTAACACGCGCGGCAGCGTGCCACGTATAACCTTACAAGATCTCTATAAGTAAACACGGTATGTCAATAGAAAACATCTAAGCAAATATTTGTAAACAAAACTAAAGGGAATCGGAAAAATGCGCACATGCATGCATTCGTCGTAGGTTTCTTGGAAAATGCACACAATAAATGGATGCGTTTCATTCTTTACAGTTCTTTCAGTTCTTTACATTCTGTAGTTCTGCAGAGTCAAATTTCTCAGCTTGAATACTCAAATTTGAGTATCTAGACTTAAATCTTAGTACAAATTGCCCCTGATATGTCATGAACAAAAGGACTAATTTTCCTTCTATCGCTGGGCAAATTTGCCAGTGATTTTGGGAGATTTTGCGTCGCAAAGAAAAGGTTTCTTGTACAAATTTTTAGCCATTTTTGCGGGGTAAAATTTGAGAAATCGTAGAGGAGCTGGCGGTATATTTGCACAGATGAATACGATAATAAAACAGTAGAACAAGGCAGAGTTTAATCTAGAACACATTTCATAATAAAATAGCAAGCCACACGCCAACTTTAGATGTAAACAGAAAATTGACAACGCAGCGTTGAAACTTTAAGCTTATTCACAGGTGTGAGTCTGGGACGCAGCAAGCGTTGATAAATTGATATGGCATATCGCGAACGCGGTGGAACATTAACTCAGCTTATGGTTCAAAAAATATTGACAAACTGATGGCAAATATGTAAACAAAAGCTCGCGAATTATCGATGTCAAAACACTGGTCATTCAGAACGTTGAGAATGCGACGCGCAGTTTAATTGACACATGCACATAATGAATTGGCCACTCTAAACAGTACGTCAACAATGCCCGTTTTAAAACAAATATACCTCGAGCGAATGGATAAACATGTGAATGATTTGGCAATTTGCAGCAATTTAGTTTGACGTTCGAATACGATGTTTACGAAACATTTCGACTGCCCCACTGTGTTTGTCGCAATATGAGAAATTCCGATACAAACGAACTTAGCTCTGATGACAAACGGTAGCTGGTGAAAATACCACAGCCTTAACATCTGTTTTTTAACACGCAATATCTACCTGCCTATTCCAGATATTCATCTAAACAATGCTCATATATCATCGCGAAACCTTCAGAGAGGAAGCATATCTCACGCACACAATGCAAAAATATGGATTTTTTTTACATATATCTTTCATTTAAATCTGAAGCAATCAACATACCGCGCGTCTATTTCAAGAGATATGGAGTCCAGCTCTTGACAGCGTTCTCGCAAAATTATCTCGAAAGTCCAGGAAGGGAAATTATCACGCGCGCACCTTATGCTAATTGGATAAAATTTTGCAAGTGCTGCGCGCCACATATTCATGAACTGCCGTTCGCTGGGTCCACGACTTCAAGCGAGTTAAAATTGAGTTGAAAATTACCCAGCGCTTCTTATGTTAATTATATGGAACCTCGCCACGGCCTTTATACTAATTACATAGATTTTCCCAAAGAGGGGTTATGGCACTCTGTTAAACGATCCAAAGGCCGCGCGCGCGGCTATCTCGACAGCATATACCGGCTGTACATTATCGCAAGACATTCATGCTGCACAATTATCACCCGCGCCTATGCTAATTGCAAATAATATTTTTTAAATTAGGAAGGACATTCCGAAACCGTCCATACAGGATGCCTTCGCATTTGAACATGGAGTAATGCGGTACCAATGCCATACGAAGCTTTCGTGAAACATTTACAAAATAACTGAACGCCATAAACAGATCGGACTGTGGATGGCGATGCTTTAGTAACGCACGCTCGAAATGCTAATGAGAGAGCATACATGCCATTCAGGAACCTGCATACCCCGCATACATTTGTAGCTAAAAATATATCATCGACTGTAGGAGACCGCATTCTAGAATAATCTTCGAGTTCATTTGTATATCAGTCCATCAAGACAACCATTAGACGTTTAGACAAGAACCATAAGTTTGCATTTTATGCTAATTAGATTTCTCAAACACCAGATGCGGTTCAACACGATCAACACATGTCGTGCGCCCTTTTCACGCAATGTAAGATATCCCACTAAACGACGCTTTGACCCGTTTGGAGAATAATATAAGGTCTATCAGGCAATCAGAGCTTTCAGCAGAATCAAATAACTAACAACTGACAAATACTTCATTTAGGACAATTGGAAACCACAAAGTCCTTGAATTAAGAGAGTGACATAACGCTCATTGTCACGAACAGGAAAGACACGAGACAACAGTCTTCGCGTTGGAAGAACATTAATATATACATTAATTATGTGCATAACATATACTAATACTCGAAATCTAATAGGGATTGTACGCTTGGATGTCAAAAAGAAATTGTATACTGTCTTACGGTTTGAAAATGGCTAAAATGAGACACGAAGGAATGTTCAAACCCACTGTGCATGTAGACGACGGATAGGGAAGATGGGGATTCGTGATTTATGCTAATATGTCGTTAAAAAGTTCACGAAATATTAACTAAACCTAGCGCTCAAACTTCGTTTTAGTAAAAACACGAAGCGCATCGGGGCTAAATTCCTCTTACCTTGTCAAATCTCAAGTGGTAGGCCATCTTGTATTCGTGTAAACCAACCAAACTTGCTCGCCAGACAAGCGCGCACTGAATACGCTGCGCAGCTACGCTCCTACAGCGTTGAATAAATTGCGCACGAGTAAGAGCGGAGAGTATGTTCGGGAGGATGTAACTCGAGACGCGCGCAGTAACTGGATAAGCGTGCGCCGTGCAAATGCGCTTGCCAATTTTAATAACCCAATCGAAAAAGCTCGCGCCGATGAGTGCTGTGCGATTATCTTCGAGCTCTTCAGATGCGCTCTAACGTGTTGCGCAAAAAGCACGTATAAAAAAATATTGGACATGAAAAGATTTTTTTACAACAAACTGCGGTGGACACTTCGCGTTAGGGTGAAATATTTTTCTTCCTCGATCATCATAACTTTGTGATGAAAGGCCCAGACGCGCCAATCGAGTGCATGCTGCCAGATTTGGTAGATTCTGCAAGAGTTTCGAATTCATCGCCGCATTACAACACCGATTGTCTCGGCGAGAAAAATGTTTCAAAAATGAAAAATCAAGACGGGGAGTCTGTCGGCCGTGAAAATAGCAAGACATGGGGTAGACATTTTCACGATCTTGGCTCTCCCACTCCTTATATCCCATCGTTCACAAGGCAATGAATGGGACAGGAGAGATGTGCCCGTCTTACTAGACATGAACAGACCTTGACTGTTATTATTAGAACGAAATACATAAATGACGATACATAATCTTAGTCCACCAAACTAGACTAAACTGCCGCGTGCACCCGAAAGCCTCGACTGTTTAAGCAGACAACTTGCGGTCCTCTTGTGGTAGGTATGGGCATGAGCTAAGGTAGTGCTGGGAGTCCGGGCGCCGTGCTTCTTTACACAGGAGGCATGCTTTTGAAACACTTTTGTCAAAAGTGACAAAACGCTAATGGTGAAAGAATCCAGCTAACAGATCTTACAGACTAAGGGCTGGTTTCCAGTCAGGGAAATTATCCTCAGGACCGGATCGGACAGTATGGTTGCCTCTGTGCTTAAGACAATTAGTTTTGGTTGAGAATACATGGATAAAAGAAACTTTTCTGTCCGACACGGTCCGGCGGACAATTTTTTTGACTGGAAACTAGCCTTAGGAAACCCAGCCTTTTATTTCATCATTTTTATCACAAAACTTGGCATATTTTACTTCAAAATGCAGTTTGAAAATGAGACAGGTGGCTTTCAGTAGACTGGTCAGTACACCAAATTGCATGAAGTTTCATTGAATTATATCGAATCTCACTCAAGCTGCGCCTGCTGTTTCGTGCATGAAATATCGAGATATATATACTTCATGCAATGTTCTGCAATTCGTGGACCTTGCTTAGAGCCACGTTTTCGACACCATTCGCTCTTTTGTGCTTGTAAGGTGATCAAAAAGTGACCTATATGCTACCCAAAGGTGTGACCATCAATCAAGCTTAATGCAAACAGCAAGAAAAGGCTAGACAAGGCGAGGTCACTTACATAATCAGATGGTTATGACGTAGCACAATTCTATCGAAGTGAGGTCATCGCTAATCACTCGCAATCCTGCAATCGTGAATGCCTTGAAATCCCGGGAGGATGTGTGCACCACTGGAAATCGGAAATTGCAATCTCGGGTGCGTTTCTGGGCTCGTCTGTAGAAAAAACACAAAAAACGATCAAACCTTCCTGATGATAATCAGAACAGGAAGACCCAATTAATAAACAAAGGAACTTTATACAAACTTCTTTGAACTGTTTTTTAAACCCCGCACGTTTATTTTAAATGCAACTTCTTTGGATAGAAAAATTTCATCGCAATTTCTACGCTTTTTACATGCAGTCTATTTTAAGTTGTATATTTTTTAAACGTACAGGGGGTTTGGCGAAAATCCAACACAATTTGTTAACCGCTTTGAGACGTTTTTTTTACATTTTCTGTCCTGTTGTTACAAATTATAGACTTAATGCATGCTTGATTGCATGTGTTAATTTCATTATCGAATACCACGTAGCTATAGCATCGAATCTCTGGATGTGAAGGCTTTAGAATTGAGTGAAAGAAGTCTTTACATTCAACAATGCAGTTCATTCGATTTGTAAAACAAATTGACGACCAACACTATGGTCATTGTATGATTATCTATGATTTCTCTGTACTTCCACCCTGGCAAGTCCATACTTATTCCTTACTACGAAAATTTCCACACAAATTACATTTACTAAGGATTTTGAACATGTTTTCATTGTTGGTCTTACGAAAGGAGAACTTTGAATGTTTGACCTCTCAGCTCTGGTCAATATGAGATTGTTCGTAGTTCGTATAATGAAATCCTCGCAAGTTAGTGAAGTTAAATCAATCATACGATCTTGAATCATGGTGTTTCCACGGATTGAAATGAGCAGGCTTTCTGTGAGGACGAATTTCAAGCGAGAATTTGTCACATTTCCCCCCCTCCCCTTTCTTTATCCTGCCCGTCCATTGGCACACCGGGGGTAATACTGAATGGTCTGCAAACTGGAATACTGAGACCATCGTTTTAAAACACCGCAGGTTGCAGTTACCACAGGGGGTGAAGGGTTGGGGCAGTCAAAAAGGAAATACCAAGGATGAAACAAGGTCATTGCAATGATTGAAAGATATGAGTTAGGCTGTGATATTACTGCAATACATAAGACAGACCAGGCAGGTTAAACTAGGCAGACCATAGTATCACAGTTAGAACTAGAATTGTTATGGTAGACACTGAATTTACGAAAGTTAAGGATGGAAAAAAACTAACTGATTAAACATATCGCTATAGCGGCATGAATTTAATATTCACGGCTGTCTTTTAGGAGAACTAAAGCAGATACGATTATTTGCACCTTAAACTTCTAAAGCGGGAATCAAACCCATGCCTCTGTGAATTACAAGCAGCGGTCTGGCAACAAAGCGAGAGAGAACATTGCTTGCTTGTGGGGGAAGAGCATATATAAGTTCACGAGCATATATGAGTTCACGTATATGTGGTAAACTAATAATAGTTAAAGTTAAAGGCTATATATTATATCGTAACAGGATTCCAGCAATGTTGCGACGAATTCTTGGTATTAAGGAAGGTTAAAAGAGGTTATTGCCAAAGATTTAGGGTCTGTTTACCTGCCCCCGAGATTAAATGAAACGTAAAATGAATTTAAAGTATTGAAATAAGTAAATATCATGATTCTGGTTAGTGGTGTGGTCATCCAGACAATAGCATGCGATTGTGTAGTTTCGTGCAGGCTCGTTTCAATACCTCAAAATCACTTCACTCTTCTTTCAACCTCAGCTAAACCACCGAATGATGTAAACAGGCTCTTAACACAGAAAACGTGCGGGTAATTTTTGATGATTTGCAGGCATGCAAGGAAAGCGAGCTAGCCCGCTTGAAAACATTTCAAAAGGTCAATGTGACTGCAACAACAAACAAAACTCCCTTGCCTTGGTAAGACATTCCACAATGTCTACACAACAATTCACACGTATGTCACAACTTATGTAATGTTCGATCGATTAATCTTTCAACGATCACAGATTAACAGTTTTTCAACTGTTTTTAAGCAGTAGGGATTCTTTAATCGAATCGTTTAGCGTGTTTAGCATTGCGAGCATATTCCTCTACTCCCACACATTACGAAGCCGTTTTATTCACAATACAAAATCATTGTTCCTTGGGGGAACAAGAAGTTCCATACAAAGGATATCAAACTGCGTCGTTTAATACACGTCATTTTAGGCGGGGCATTATTTTTCGCCACGCAGCCAAACAGTGCGAACAAGGTCAACTTGACAAGGGATTGTTCTCAAAATCATGTTAACGACTTATGAACTCTCGGTCAAGTGCCAAAGTCTCATGACTGAATGATGCCTGATAAAAAATTGAGAGTTAGGTAAAGACTTTTCAGGCTATGTACAACTGGATTAAGTCTTGATCATGTTTTAAAAGTGGTTGAAAGGCACAATAGACACGGTCATGTCTTAAACCACGATAAATATCGATTAAATCGTAAAAATAGATGAAGATTGATAACATCCTAAGGTTGGATGAGTATTGATCCTAAAATCCTAAGACTATATAGGTAAGGATTATAATGCCATAAATTCGATGAAGATTAATTTGGGGAGCTCCGTATATGACTTTGAAACAAGACATGATTAAACAAAATCTTAGGACCGAATGATTATATCTGGATGAAGGTTGATCAAATCCCATATAGGACCATAACTGAAAAGTTTGGTGATATTTTCTTCACAAGATTTGACTCAAATTTTAGCCACAAGTAAATCCAGTAAGACAGGAAAAGGCACTTAATGACATCCGGAAGGATCCTAAAATATTTCTATGCGAGGTGAAATGGGCAAGTACATTTACAAGACATTGTATCGGAAAAAAAGGCGATACAATCCTACCAAATATGGCTCAACCTTTGGTCCTGAACTTCCATCCATGAATACGCCTCCCCCACGAAGTCCTGGAAATACCTTTTGATAAATTTCAGCGGCATACAATGCCAGGCATAGTTTATTGGCCTCCTAGGCTACAGAAAAACGATGTCCCCCTTAAACCAACAATTATCGCGATTACTTCGTTTGTCATCGTAAATAGAGCGGTATTTTATACTGTGTCTCGAATTATCACAAAAACCGGGAAGCCATTATTGTAAACACGTTTATGGACCCTTGTTGTCACAACTCAAATTTTACAAATTCCTATAACGGCTTGAACAAGAAGAGCCGTGTAGCTAAATGCTGGCGATTTTACTCGCAGAGTTAAGCCTGGTTTCCACTTAATCGTATAATTGTGGTGAAAATGTCAGCGTGGTCGATGTAATAGAGTATTGTTATACGTGTGTGCAGTCAACATTGGCTGATTTGGACACAGAAAATAAGAGAACTACGAAGCCGAAGTTTTTCACATCGCTGAAAATGACTTGTTGACGACAGTTACGACGTAATGTAAACCAGGCATCAGGATTCCCGCGCGCGATATTTGACAAAACATTTGGTCGAAGTTTGAGAATAAAGAGTTCACAGGTCATTTTACAGACTTCAAATGCATTTAAATCGACTGATAGGTCTGCTAAA